AGTAGTTCGCAGTCATATCCCCAGGGTCATCCTCAAATATTGACTCGTCCCCATCATCTTCATTGTAGTTGGAGATCTTGGCAGCATTGCGCGTCGAGAAGCGGACCTCACTGAGAGAAGGCTCCATGCCTGCAGCCTCCTTCATGCGACGGCGCCTGGCCTTGCTTGACTTCCCGCCATACTCATCACTGTCGGATTCTGAAAATGATGAGGCAGTGGCCGATCGCGAAGTTTTTGAGGGCTGTTGGGAGGGTTCTTTGCGCCGGCGCTTCGGGCGAGATGCAACCGCGTCGGAGTCAGAATCTGACGATTCGACGATGTGACGGGTTGGGCGCGCCCGACCACTGCGCCGCAGACCATAAAGATCTGGATTTTGTCGCATGTACTCCGTTTCGTCCGCCGGCGACGACCTATGCTTCCCATCTTGGTTGTGGTGCGGTGATGAAGAGTTTTCACGGCTGGACGGATTTAGATCATCGCCACTGTGACCCATCACAACGTCTTCATCTTCAGGGTCCGATGCCTGAGACTCTGCATCATATGAATCATCGGCGGCATCGTGCTCGGGGGAGGACTCGGAGGCGGGATGGGACTCGTCGGGCTCGGGTGAACTGGGCTCGCTTTTGGCAGTCATGTCGACTTCGGCTGGATCATGATCGACAGCCATTGAGTGACTATAGCCGTTGGGCATTGAAGAAGAGGAAGGAGGTTCTAGACCCGATGGGATCACCATGCTGGAGGCTATAGTCGAGGGGCAGTCAGCATTGTAGCTCAATTCTGCGGGTTCGGAGGTTAAGCGACGCAGAGAAGGGTAAAGGAAGTATCCGCGACACATATGGAAGCAAAATGAAGGCCGAGAATAGTAGATATAGGCTGAATATCATGCTTGATGGGTGATGATGGAATTTGATGATGGGTGGGATGGACGCGGGCACGAGTCGCGAGAGATCCAGGAGGAGATCACCAACAATGAGCAGCCCAGTGGAAAAGACCGGATTGAATATAGATACTCCGAAGATCGAATTCCCCGATTCTTCAGTGTAAACTGGAAAATCCCAGGATGGTATGGTGGGTCGAGCAACGCGGAGAAGTACCCGGGTAAAATGGGATCGATGGAGATGACAGGGCAAGAAAAAGGAATAAAGAAGACTTACACTCCATTGCGTGGTGACCCCGCAAGAGGGGGGACTAGGGTATCAATGTGGGAAATGAATGGTGGGCGGGGGGGTCGGCGATGATGGGGTTGGAGCGTAGAAAGAGACGAGTGGAGGGAAGACTTGGAGGTGAGTTTGGGGGGGAGAACGGGCGGCTGTAGAGTGGTCAGTGGTCAGTGGTGGGCAGTCACACTGTACTTTGGGCCTAGTGTTAACCTGCAGTGATGGCCTGTCCCTTCAGGCAGGAGGGCAGTTAGGCAGCCAGGCAGCCAGGCATCAATTTTTCGCTTACTCACGTGGGGTCATGTGAATTCATGTGTAGTGACGTGGGTTTGCAATCACGTGGTATGGTTATCAGCACATCACCTGACCCCATCCCAGCCAGCCAATCAGCGGCCGTCCAATATAATGCGGGCATTCAAGGCGGTCGCTGGGAGTTGCCGCCTCAGGCCGCCCGCCCACAATCAAGAAAGAAAGTCCTTTTCTGCCCCTCGACGGTCCATTCTCATTCTGAAGCCATTGTTTCTCCAGCTTGAGCCTGCGCACTGGTGCTACTTTGCACCCTTCTCTTCTAGTCGCGGCGCTTCCCTATACCTCTCTCTTCGGTCAACCCATTACACTCGGTACTCTGTACTCTGTACTCTATACCCACTACCGATCAGATTGTTCACCAGTCCCTGGTTACCCACTTTCTTAACACTGGCACCCGGTTTCACGAAGCCAACCCACCACCATGTCTGACAAGCTGACCCGGTATGTTCTGGATGAGATTCCTTTGGTAGAAGAGTCGCGCATCGCTAACGGTTCATTTTTCTCTATAGTATTGCCATTGTCAACACTGACAAGGTTCGTTGAATACCCCACTAACCCGCATCTCTTTCGCTCATTCAAGCCCGACTGACTCGATGTCTTCTCGATCTACAGTGCAAACCGAAGGTATGGAATCCAGTTGCCACTTGCGGATAGTTCATAATAACTGATTCGTCCAGAAATGTCGTCAAGAGTGCAAGAAGTCGTGCCCCGTCGTCCGTACCGGTAAACTCTGCATCGAAGTCGACAACACCTCCAAGATCGCTTTCATCTCCGAACGCCTGTGTATTGGTTGCGGTATCTGCCCCAAGAAGTGCCCCTTCGGCGCCATTCACATCATCAACTTGCCCACCAACCTGGAAAGTCAGGTCACCCACCGCTACTCGGCCAACAGCTTCAAGCTTCACCGACTTCCCATGCCCCGCCCCGGTCAGGTTCTTGGTCTCGTTGGAACAAACGGTATCGGAAAGAGTACCGCCTTGAAGATTCTTAGTGGCAAGCTCAAGCCCAACCTGGGACGTTACGACAACCCGCCCGACTGGGAGGAGATTCTGAAGTACTTCCGTGGTTCCGAGCTGCAGAGTAAGCACTTCTCAAATCGCATGCACCTGCGTACTGCTACGAATACTGATCGAATCAAAAACAGACTACTTCACCAAGGTTTTGGAGGATGACCTGAAGGCCGTCGTCAAGCCCCAATATGTCGATCAGATCCCTCGTGCCGTCAAGGGTCCTGTCAAGCAGGTCAGAGATCTCATCTCGGCACGCAACCAATTGGGCAACCTGGAAGAAATTATGGACGTTCTCGGTACGAAATACCCACACATGTCTGTTGCCTAATGGTCAAATCATGCTGACAATTTTCACAGAGCTTGGCCCGGTTGCTGACCGTGAGATTGAGCACCTGTCTGGTGGTGAACTGCAACGTTTCGCTATTGGTCTGGTCTGTGTGCAGAAGGCTGATGTGTAAGTTGGGGTTCTCTACTCATCCATCCGTTGCAGTTCTCGGTTACTAATATACCCCTGCAGATACATGTTTGACGAACCTTCCTCTTATCTCGATGTCAAGCAGCGTCTGGCTGCTGCCCGTACTATCCGTGGCCTGCTCCGCCCCGATGACTATGTTATCGTTGTTGAGCACGATTTGTCTGTTCTTGATTACCTTTCCGACTTCATTTGCGTGCTCTACGGTCGTCCCGCTGTCTATGGTGTTGTGACTCTGCCCTCGTCCGTCCGTGAAGGTATCAACATCTTCTTGGACGGTCACATTCCCACCGAGAACTTGCGATTCCGTGAGGACTCCCTCACTTTCCGTCTCGCCGAAGCTGGTGACGATTTCATTGTCGACAAGGACCGCGCTTTCTCCTACCCCGCCATGGAGAAGACCCAGGGTGACTTCCACCTCAGCATCGAGCCCGGTAACTTCACCGACTCCGAGATTCTCGTCATGATGGGTGAGAACGGTACCGGAAAGACCACTTTCTGTAAGATGTTGGCTGGTGCCATCCAGCCAGACGGCACCGCCAAGGTCCCCAAGATGAACATCAGCATGAAGCCCCAGAAGATCACTCCCAAGTTCCAGGGTACTGTTCGTCAGCTCTTCTTCAAGCGTATCAAGACCGCTTTCCTGTCTCCCCAGTTCCAGACCGATGTCTACAAGCCTCTCAAACTCGACGATTTCATCGACCAAGAAGTTCAGAACCTGTCTGGTGGTGAATTGCAACGTGTCGCCATTGTCCTGGCTCTGGGTATGCCCGCCGACCTCTACCTGATTGACGAGCCTTCCGCCTACCTGGATTCCGAGCAGCGTATTATCGCCGCCCGTGTCATCAAGCGTTTCATCATGCACACCAAGAAGACTGCCTTCATCGTCGAGCACGATTTCATCATGGCCACCTACCTGGCTGACCGTGTCATTGTCTTCGACGGACAGCCCTCCATCGATGCTCGCGCCAAGTCCCCCGAGTCCCTGGTCACCGGTTGCAACCGCTTCCTGAAGAGCCTGGACGTGACTTTCCGTCGTGACCCCAACAGCTACCGCCCTCGTATCAACAAGTTCAACAGTCAGATGGACCAGGAGCAGAAGCTGGCGGGTAACTACTACTTCTTGGAGGAAGAGAACTGAAGAGGGCATTGTTCATGAGCATCACCGCCGCCGTCACAACCGTGATGGCCGCGATTCTGAACGGCGGCGCAAGCGGCGCCGCGGCAACCGAGGGATTGGGTGGTTAATGACGTTCCCTGGAGTTTCTCGAGTCTCGGTGGCTCAGAGCAGTGGTCCCCTTTGCCGCGATGGCTTGCCTTTGGGCAAAGGGGATGGCCTTTTGGATGATGATGCGGCCGACGGCGACGGCGACTACGATGAAGGGAGCGATGTTGATTATGTCTACGGTGTTGATGAGGACTTTGGCTAGCAGGCTGTGACTTGATTCACCCACCTCCAGGTCAATACTCGTCATCACCGGTCGAGACTCACGTCAATCATTTCATCCTATGCCCGTCGTTGTCATGTGCCCAATCATCTTTCTTTACCTGCTACAATCCCTGGGGTTCTTTCGGCCATTGTCAACTTTCAGAATTTCCGGCAACGAGACAGTTCAAACTTCGTTGTCTGACTTTCTTCCACCGAAGACCCTTTTTTTTAATTCGATGAACATATGGTCGAGGGATCTCTGCTCGGCATAATTTTGTATCGGAGTTTTGTTTATTTTTATCGGGTATGGTTTGGATTATCAAAAGCTTTCCCATGATTTCATGATTGGCATAGAGATGCAGCTCGTCCTGTTAAGGCTGGCTGAAAATGTGATTTGACCTGGAGGATGGTCATTGTTAAATAGCTATGGTTTTTATTTTGCATCAGGTTGACATCGTTTAGGTACCTAGGTACATTTTACTATGATTCGATTTACTGGTATTCTGATTCTTGATTTATCTCCACTTTTCAAGCCCTTATCTCCTTGTATTTTCTTCAAGTTCTATCTCTCGACCACTAGCAAGTGTCAAGTTGATGCAGCAACACCTTTGCTATGATAACTACTAGTTTGTAGTAGTAAAAGAACGAACCATCCTCACACAAGCGTCAAAGTCGTCCACTTTGACAAAATCTTCCCGCTCTAAAGAATCAAGGTCGGCTTTTCGTGGATCGGCCCCTCGCTTCAGCAGTAGGTCTACCAACAGTACCTCGCCACGAGTAACCATTTTGGAGAGCAGAGTGTATTCGTCCTCATCTCCTCTCCTCATGAGGAAATCTACCTCTGCCCCCTGATCAAGAAGAAAATGCATCATTTCCGTATGAGAATTTCTGCAGGCCAGAGCAAGTGGTGTTTCCCCGAATTTATCTGGAGTATCAATATCCGCTTCTCCTTCGCGCAGGAGTACTGATATGACACCTGAGTTGCCATGGGTCGCAGCCCAATGAATTGGATACTCTCCTCGATTCGCTTTCACCTTCGTATCAACGCCTTCTTTAATCAATCGTCGGACGACATCTTCGTCCCCTTGACAGACCGCCTCGCGAAATGCCGCTTGTCGAAACCACCTCTCAGCCTCGGAATCTTTGCCCTGATAATTGAGTATGAGACGAATGATCTCATTGGCTCCATGTATGGCCGCTCTCTCCAAAACCGTTTGTCCATCTCCGCATCGAATCTCAGGATCGGCACCATGGTCCAGAAGCATCTTGAACATCTCAATCCTCTCATCTGTAACACGTGTTGAAAGAAGATGTAAAGCTGTCAGACCCGTGCCGGACTGTAGATTGACATTCGCTCCATGATCCAAAGCAAACTCGACCACTTCCTTCGAGTCATGGCATGCCGAAAAGTGCAAAAGCGTCCATTCACTGTTGATATGTCCCTTCACAGCTCTCGTGATGTCCGCTCCGTGCTCAACCAAAACCTTGACCATGTCGATATTAGCGTAAGTATGATGCAGCGGGGTATATCCGTCCAGATTTCCAGTCGCATTAGGATCGGCGCCATTTTCGAGAAGTGACTTCACGATTTCAATCTGATGAGCTTTCGCTGCCACAGAAAGTGCTGTGTCGCCCCTCATATTTCGCTCGCTCAGGTCAAACCCACTGGATATGACCCCTCGTACTGCTTCCTCGAAGCCCCAACCGCATGCTGTAAAAATCGGGGATTTGGAAGGACTGAGGCTGGCCGCCATTCTGGATTCGAATCCATGTTTCTCCTTCCGACTTTCAAACTCCAGTATTACCTTTGGCCAAGTATCCACGCACAGCAGCCAGCTTTCGCTGGGCGGATCGGCTGCTAGGAACTTGTTGAGAAGCTTATGGAGTGCGGTATATTTTTCCTCTTCCCCTCGCAGCCAGCTGCAATGCAGCGGCCAGTAAACAACTGCATATTCAAGCAAGTCGTCCCGTTTGTCGTTTTTGGCGTCGTTGGAAGTGGAACTGCAGGCAGCTAAATACACGAGAGTGGTCTTCGCTACCTGTATATGCGCATCGATGATCGTATAATTCAGCTTAGTGTCGCTCATCAAGTACTCTCGAACCGACAAATGCGCGAATTGAACCATGTTGTTATGATCCACGATGATAAAGTTACTGCAGATGTCAAGGATATACTCAGCAGTGACCTGCTCATCAACATTTCCCTCATAGTCATAGTAAGAGACCGCCTTTACCATCATTTCAATGCTTAGTGGTCTCTTGCAGCACATAACCCATTTCAGTGCTCGCTCTGCAACTTGACGGTCTTCGGGCTCTGGGGTGTTGATGTCGTAGATGTCATCATAGACATCTGCCAGTACTGGAACTCCAACTTCCTTATTAAGTTTGTCCAGTTTTCTCTTGAAAGCATCTCGGCGCTTGATAGGAGACTTTGTATTGAAAAAGATGTTCAATTGCAGCTCTACCCATCGGAACCTATTTCCTCTCCATTAGCCAAGATGTACGTAGGAAGAATATCCCGGCTCCAGTACTCACATGCCTTGAGCTCGATGGCTCAATACTCTCGTCATGCTATCCCTAAGGTCAAGTGCATTGCACTGTGTAAGATGTCGCAAATTCCGTTCCATCTCTGTGGCAATGAAAAAATCAATATCTTCCTTGCCATCCTGCCCAACCTCGACTGTGGCGCTTTCAGAAAAGAACTGATGGACAGGAACATTCATTCGACTCGAAAGAAGATATCTGACTTTCCCCTCGCATGCTGAGGATATATCCACCAGATGCGACAAGAGTTCAAAAAAGTCCGAACACTCATCTAGGGCATCGATGACGATTGTGACTTGCTGATAACGTGCGATCAGCTGTTTCAACAACTGAAGGCAGTCATATACCAATAGTCCACTCGTTCCAGAAGCCGGATTTTGCTGTGCTGTCGTGTATTTCGCTTTGATAGACGGTGAAATTGATAGATCGCTTGTTGACCAGGCTAACTGTCGAAGAAGGCTTTGCAGTACAGACTTTGGACTATTCGCCTCTCCTGTGCCTTGTTTTTTCGAGCAGTAGCAGTATGCGATACGGCTAGTTTCCAGTATCGGGCCTTTGAGAAACTTTTCAATGGTGAGACAGCTGTACATTTATCATTAGAAGGTTCTTATGAAGCAAGTGACTTGACTTACACAAGGGAGCTCTTGCCTGTGCCGACTATAGATTCCCGAGGGAATTAATTTAGCAATTTGGGATACCCAACGGAATACATCCGATATCACTTACCAGGACCACGCAACCAAAGTGTCGAGACTTTTTCGTTCTCAACACTACTCCAAGACTGAAACCCCGGGCAAGAAAATAGCCATCTACCCGAGTCCGCATACTCGCTGTTCAGTTTGCCGTGCTCTAGAATACGTGTATGGTCATCGTTTGGGGATGAGGGCGAGATCCAGTTCAGAATCCTCTTATTCTCTGCTAGCATGTCAGCCTCAATCAAATTGTAGCCCAATAGTGTTTGCGTACCATTCTGTTGAACCTGACTGATGAGAACTTGGTTTTGTTCGTATAGCTGGCTTAATTGAGTCGATACACTTTCCATCTGTTGATCCTGTTCCTCTAGAATCTGCTTGAGTTCACGATGTTGAAAAATCTTGTCTATAAATCATCAGTCGCCTGTTCTATTTAAGTAATGAGTTACAAGCAGATAAATACCTTCCGAGTCAAAGATTTGAGTAAACTTTCTACACTCTGCATCCACCTTTGAAATACCTTCCAACAGTCCATTCCAATCATCAAGTTTCGGAATAGCTCTGACGTATTGCGCTAGAAAGAAAAAAGGAACACTATTAGATACTAGGAAGAAAGAAAATACTCTCGTCCGGTCCGAATTCAACTCACTTATAGTGTGTCTTTGACAATGGGAGATAATCGCAACCTGATACGCCAAGATTTTGGCATAAAGATCAACGACTTGTGTCCTAAAATCTTTGCTGAGATTCGTGCTTTTATTCTTCTGTCTCTTTTCGATATAGATTTCCTCAACCCTCGCATAGCGCGTGATGATAGGTGCTATTTGAGCAAGCCCCTCAATTGCAGCAGCATTTTGCTCGGATCCTCCCAAAATGATCTGTTATGAATTAGTTAGATCATAATTCGCTTGTGCTTATATTCAACCTTGAATTCTCCTCCCTACCTGTAGGACCAAATTGACACCTGACCAAGCAACCCCAACATGCGAGGGCTCAATCTCCGCCAAAACCTTCCCCATATCACGAAAGACAACCACGGCCTTGAGAATCGTGTCCATGGCCTTTCGCACTTTGGCCTTTTCGCCTTCATCTCGCATTCGCCAGCAACCTGGTAAATTTCGCTCTTCTAGTCGACTTTGATTGGCTTGGATGGACTTGGCTATCTGACTCGACATATCTGATAGAGAGAGAGGTTGTTTCTGCGTCGCTAATATTCGTTCCAGCTGTTGGTGAACGTCCGGGTCTTCTGTCGGTAACTTCTCTAATGCTTCCTGCCAGCAAGATTTCTCACACACGGCATCTTCGCAGAGGGTTGTTTGGTATGCCATTGTGAAGGTGTCTTATAGTAACTGTAGGTAGGGTTCATTTGGGGGCTTCGAGCATGAAATATACCCATGTAGTTCTTGAGAGCTGGCGTCTTTCAATGAGGCAGGAAGCAGTAGATATAAAACAAAAGATTTCCAAGGCTGCCTACTATTTTGAGCGCTGACGAAGTGGCTATGTACAACTTCGATTGTCAGCCCCCACCTCGACATTCTGCAGTGCCCCTCTGTTAGCGCCAACTTGAGGAATCTGATTGGGGCGGTCGTAAGTGGACTACTGCTGTATGAGTAGTTAAACTGGGCCTTATCTACGCATATACAAATACTGGTACAAAGGAGGTTTCTCTGGAAATCTAGATCAGTGCCTGGAGGCAATCTTTGGAAGTAATGACAAGAACTTGAAGGTACTGACAATAGAGAAGAATCCCCCATCTCACATCCTCTAATCCTCCTCGATCTCCCCTTCCTCGCTTCCAGAATGAACAGCCTTCTCCTTCTTGACATCTTCCTCAGGAATGGCGGATTGCTCACGTCGTTCCGTTCGACCCTTACTACGATCCCTCTCACGACTATCACGACGATAACGCTTCACAGAGCGACTGGCAACGCTCTCCGAATCACTCTCTCGTCTACGCCGGACACTCCCCGTGCTGCGGCTCTCACCACCGTAGTCAAGCTCATCACGTCCGCCGCGTGGGTCACCACGAGTGCGGTAGAGACGTTCACGCTCGCTTTCGCGACGATCACCATCGCGTCGAGGGGGTCGGCCAACATCACGATCACGCTCACGGTCAAGGTCATCACGCTCACGGTAGCGATCGCGATCGCGGTCATCACGGCGATCTCGGGATGGAGAGAATCCACTGACCTTGCGGTAGGAACGTTCCCGGTCTGCTTGGGCCTTGCGGCGCTCTGCTTCGTAAACGTCCAATTCGGGGGTGCGGCTGACACGGCTTCCGCCTCGTCGCTCGCCGCGACTGCTGCGATACTCGCGGTCACCACGGTCACCGTCACGGCGGCCGCGATCTCGGTCTCTCGTTTCGCGGTCTCGGTCGGTGTCTTCGTCCCTCTCCTTGATACGGCGGATGTACTTTTCAAACGCGGACTCGCGAAGCTCATCCGATTCGAGGGCCTTGTATTCTTCGTACTTCTCGAGTCGAGGCTTCGTCTCTTCCCAGGTGTCGGAGACACGCACAGGAGGCTCGAGGCGCTTGATGCGAGAGCGCAGAGCATCAACGGCCCGGCGCTGGTGACGATCGGCAGCATGCTTTTCATCTTCATCGCGGCGGATTGCCTTCTCTTGGATACGCTGGAAGAGGAGCTGCAGAATATCCGCATCGATATTCGAAGTACGGCGGTCAGCAGTCATAATTGAAGTGAACTCCTCATACGGGGTGCTGGAGGTAACTTCAAAGCGTTTGTCCTAGATGATGGATTAGCAAGTCATCGCAATCGTAATGTGTTTGTAGGGCCATGAACTTACATCAAGAACATCGAGCACATCGTTGCGGGGACCACGGAGCGAGCGCTCTTCTTCCTCGAGCATATCCCAGAAGAGGTCCAGAGGCGTCGATCCAGCTTGGCCAAGAATGCCCTGGTATCTAGCATCATCCTGGAAAAGCGGGCGGATATCCATCCACTTACTACCGGCCTTGATCTTTCCCTGAGAGCGAACCTCCTTCAGAAGTTCCAAATACTTCTCACGGCTCCGGCGTTCCTTTCTGGCGCGAACCGCTTTCTGTTGTTGACGGGCATCATTGAATTCTCGCTCGAGGGTCTTGATGTGGTTTTCAAACGCAGTCAAAATGTCATACTTGCTCAGGGTCTTGAATTTATCATCGGCCTGGACCTTTTCGTTAGACTCAATGACTGCCTGGGCTTCAGCCCAGCGAGTGTATGGCTCAAGGTTCAAAGACCCGAGTATACCGGCCAGCTCGCTCATGGCCTCCTTGCGTGTCGCAGCTTCCTGCTCCATGTGAGTCTTCTTGAGTTCGATAACATACTCCTCAAAGAGCTGGCGTCTCTCATTCTCATCATTGGTGGCCCGGAAAGTAGTCTCTCCCTCGATAATGGGACGAATAGTCTTCCAACGACTGTAGTGCTTGATTTCAGGATGCCGCTTCAGCATGGTATTGAAATCTGCACGCAGCTTAGCGAATCTCTCTTTCGCCCGGTCCTTTTCCTGCATGCGAACCTCGACCGCGTATTTCTCAAAGGCGGCCTTGCGGTCCCGCGGATCCTTGAGTGAGCGGTACTGCGGATCTTTGATCACCACACGCATGGTCTGCTCCCAGGTCCAGTCGGGCTGCGCATTGTGTCGCTTGAGCATTTTCATGAAGGCGCTCTCGGCCTCTTCGACCGATCCATAATCGGGCTCGGACTGAGTCACCAATGCCGGTGCAGCTACCATCCCGTTCGATTCGTAGGACCCATATCCTCCGCGGCGGTCATTATATCCTCGGTCGTAATCATCGCGATCGCGGTCACGGTAGTCACGGTCCCGGTCCCGGTAGTCACGGTCACGCTCGCGCTCGCGCTCCCGGTGCGGAGCCTGTGGGTAAGAGCTACCTCCCCTGCCACAAAAGAAGTTGGACTGCAATGGCATTAGTAAAGATCAACATTACATCGGCGAGATCGTAGACGTACGCAACTGGGGGAGCTGGAGCAGCCTGAGCCTGTTCCAGGGCATCCTTATAGACGTCGGGAATTTCCCATGTGCTTTGCTTATTCTCCGTATTGTACCAATACTTGCGACCTCCTTCCGCAGTATACTCTTTCCAAGGTTGATCCGCCAGAGCACGCTATTGAGAAAAGAAAAAGAAGGCGTTAGTCAACGTTCAAAGTTCAAGAAGGTGGTGGTTGGGATCGCAAACCTCGACGGGGGTCATCAGCTCAGCGGGCTTTTGCCATTGAGTCGCTTTGGTCTGCACATTGTAGTAATATGCGCGACCTTCCGCATTGCGCGCCTCCTGCCAAATCGGAGGATTCATGGTTGATGGCTGAAGGAAAGAAGAAGATAGCAGAGGAAAGAGAGAGAGAGGAAAGAAGTTCAGCGCGTGCCCAAAAGCATCAATGTTTGCATCTGTTTGCACACCGCCTTATCGCATTGCTTTACTCTACTCAAGGGTAACTCCTTATTCTCACTGCGCGACAACAGGATTTGTCGCAATGCCTGGTTTGGAAATTCCCGGCGAGTTTCTTCGGCATGCAGTTCTTGACACCGTCGTGCCTTATGCGCCGACGGTCGATATTGAAGGTTCCTTGACCGCGGCTTTAGAAGACGGAGCCGATGACCTTCCCTCCGTGTTGGCTTCAATTTCTCAGCGGCCACTGTTATTTTTCGGTACGGTTTGGTCCCTGAAATTCTATATTTATATATTGTGGCTTTTCTCCGACTGACATAAAGCTTCATAGACGAATTTCTGCCCGTCCGCATCGTCTTGCGACTCTCCGACTGCACAGAGACAACCCTCAAACATTACCTCCCCCGCCTCGAAGTCAAACTCGATGTTTATGCCGTGGACCCAGCAGAGAATGTCGCCGAGAATCCCACACCTACCCGTGAAGTGATTTTCTCGGGCCTGGTGAACACCGAAGAGGAACCACTAGTGGTGTTCAACGAATTTGAAGGCGAGGATGGGATAGGAAATCATGTATATCTGATATGGACTACTGAGACCGTTCTCAGTGAGTTGAAACCGACTGCCTTGCCTCAATTGGGTGCAAACACCCAACTAACTATTTCGAAGAGCGTCCTCGCAACCGAATCCAGAATCCGTCGCTTTTGTTTATGGCCTCCGCAAGTCTAAATCCCGCTGAGGCCGCACGACAAGAAGACCCGGAAGACGACTACCTCCCTCCACTCGTACCCGCATCTACAAATATGCTACAGCCTTTAGCCGGTGATAAATCGCTTACACACAGAGAGCCCTTTCTCCCCGCCTCGCGACTGTTGCGCGTGGTTCCCACTACCTCCATTGAGGACCCTATATACAACATTCAGCAACAGCATGGCCACCCTTTTCGAGTCGTCCCCGCCGCAAGCGCTAGGATTCGCTACTCCCGTCTCAATAACTATACTGGCCTCCCTTACAACCATCGCCAGTTTGGATTTTGAGATCACACCTTACGTGAACAGTGAAGTGGTATTCGACAAAGCAGACCTCCAGCTATCAGAAGGAACACTTGAATCCCTTTCCGATACCCCAGGTCTATCTCTCCCTCTCACATGTCGCCCCAGAGATGATGTGACCTTGGTTTATAAGCTGACACCCGAATACGGCCCCGAGACCAATGGCTCCTCCACAGTCATGCTGAGCATACTGGATATAGCCCTAGAGGCGGAGATTCAGTTGTCGGATGATTGCAAACCTCGGATTGCAATGCGATGGACGACCAATGTTGATTTCTCAGTGGCTTTGAACCCCACCTATGGGGGACCTAGTCCAGCGCTACAACGGAATAATCGCCCGACAAGCTTATCCATGCCTCCGGGTAACTCGAGTCGGCCCGCGACGGCGACGGCTGCAGCGAACCGTAGCTCTCTACGCGAGCGAGCTTATTCGGTTACAGATATTGGAGTGACGATTTCCTTTTCAGGGCCCGTGAGCGTCGAAGTTGGGGCACCGTTCACCTGGAATATCTTTATTGTGAACCGCTCCAACGTACCTCGGAAGTTCGCATTGATTGCCATTCCCCGGCGGAAGCGCCTAGACCCACGCGGACATACTGCGCGACCGTCCTCTGCATCTATCTCTAGTCGGAAGGAAGATGGAGTGGCGGAGGCCGTGACAGATGACAATATTGTACATGCCATGCAAAAGAGCGTTGCAGGCCAAGAGGCAGAATTGATTAGTCTGAGCACTGACATTCGTGTTGGGTGAGTGAATTTTGAGAGCTTGCAGCTCTGCAGTCCATATGTCCCATGAATCGAACTAACCCATCGATAGTCCCCTCTTGCCTGGCACCTGCCACGCCACAGAGATTAAGCTACTCCCTCTGGCCACTGGGCCCCTTCATCTTGAGGCGGTACGCCTAGTGGATGTAAATACGAACGAAACGACCGACATTCGCGACCTACCGGACATTCTGGCCGAAGATCAGCCGCGGGTGTCATGATGTATAGTAGATGAAAGCATAGGATAGTGGACAAATCAATCAACGAAGATAATGAGAATATTCAGGCGTAATCAAGCATAGAAATGTAAAATATAAAAATAGGACCTGAAGTACCATGTAGTACTCCACTGAGACTGACCGCCCTAAAGATCCGCGTTAGGTCAGAGCGGAGTCGGCGTCGCATCATCCACTCTGGACTTTGGATCTGATCTGGGGTATCTCTCGGATCTCTCTGATCATCTCCTCTCCTCCCTCCTCCCCCCTCATCCTGTTCAACCCAGGGGTATTCGGACCGGAGAACCAAAATCGACCAGTGGAACCTCTGTCCCTCCCCCGACTCACAGTTTGCGTCATACTGGCGCGCAGCAACCAGCAACCAGCTCCCACCCGGAACTTTCGCCTCAATCCCCCAGATCAACGGCCAACCCGCTTTTCTACCATGATTACTGCCACAAAGCGCAAAGTCCTTGATGGACTCAACAGGAGATACATCTACGGTCGCGTGGTAGGCTTTCCCTCCTGTCTCTCGGGCCTGTCAAGCTTTGCTTTGCTGTCAACTCTTACCCTGGATAAACCCGCGCTCACCCGGTGTGCCCTTTTATTCTAGCCCCTTCTGCACACCATCATATTCCTTATCGAGATGGCGGTAGCTACTCGGATCGCCGCCAAATTCAATACCTACTATGCCGAGAAGCCCGGTATGATTTTGCCCTTTGCTCATTGCCCTGTTCTCTTTCCCGCGGGGCTGTCCGCTAATATGTCTGCCTTGATAGTACTCACAACCATGGTCACCAACGCGGTACGTCTCCAATCCATATATCTCTCGCCCTCATCTTCTAAAATATTAAATTAATATTTCGATAACCGCTTGTCCCGACCTCATGACTGACGATATTTCTCATGGATATATAGGTCTTGGGCGGAGTCGCCGATACCGTGGCCCAACTGATAACAGCCTTTCGATCCCGCTCGCAACAAAGATCCGAAGGAGAAGACGGCCTCATCTCGATAGAATTCGAAGACTTTGATAAAGAGAAGCCTCCAGCAATGGGGGAACTGGGTTATGCGCACCGCTCGCCATCACCGTTCGACTTTGAGCGTCTAACCCGCTTCATGGCATATGGTTTCTTCATGGCTCCGGTCCAGTTCCAGTGGTTTGGGTTCTTGTCGAGGGCTTTCCCTTTGACTAAGAAGAATCCGACGGCGCCGGTGTTTAAGCGTGTTGCGTTTGATCAGTTCATCTTTGCACCATTTGGTATGTGGGAATGATTCTCTTTGCGTTCGTGGTGCTGTGCTGACATGGCGGTGATCATATAGGTCTGGCGTGCTTCTTTACTTACATGACCATTGCTGAGGGCGGCGGAAAGCGGGCGTTGACGCAGAAATTCCGAGATGTCTACCTCCCGACTTTGAAGGCCAACTTTGTGCTGTGGCCGGCGGTGCAGATCCTCAATTTCCGGGTTATTCCCATCCAGTTCCAGATTGTAAGTTGATTCTCTTTTCCTCTCGGTCTCCGTGTCTCTGTTTTTCGGAGCCAGAACTGATCGTTGACAGCCATTTGTCTCATGCATTGGTATTGCGTGGACCGCATATCTCTCGCTCACCAACTCCTCCGAGGAGTCTTGAATCAATCACTTCGTCTCGGCGAATGTCACGTTAACGATGTACCCTTTTATCCACTGCACGGGTTCCCTTTGCTTTACTTCACGTTACTTCACTTGACGGTCTCTCTTTCTTCAGGCGTTCGGATACGGTCTCAGTCTCGGTTTCGGTCTCGGTCTCCGTTTTTCTTCTGGCTTGTTGTGTACATGGCATTCATTATTGTTTTTGCGGGGGAAACGACTTGTGTTCCAAAAGGTTAGGGTTATGTTCTGGTTCTTTTCGTTTCTGGGTTATACATTGCGAAGATCAGTCGATCAATTCGGAAGACATTTACTTTTGTTGGGTTTATCACACGCTCCCTCTCTCTCTCTCTGTTTCAAATTCTCTCCTTTCTTGCTTATGATTCAGCTTAATCGGCATGGTTGTCTTTTATGTCTAGGGATATATTGCTCTGGCTTTTCAATTACAACTGCATACTGTTTTCACATGGGATTTCACTGGAATAGTACTCGTAGGGCATTTAGTCACTGCTAGTACTAGTACTCCAAAATAAAAGCGGCTATGTGCAATTCCCGGCCAATAGAGTCGTCAGTCCTTACTAAAGTAACCAATTCCCCCGAGGCTATTCACTACCTGATGGCCCTTCCCGTCCGGCCTGTTCCGCAATAATGGGGAGCTCTGACATCAGTCCCGCAACAGCCCGTTGTTACCCGGGGGAAGTCGGACAAGAGTATACAGAACTGGAGAGGATATGCTTTAGAGAGAGGGGATACTTGCATTAAACGGATATTTGGGTGTCCATCGAAGTATCTTTTTCCTATATACCCCGTAGCTACACCCTAGTACTACTCTACTCCGGTCTACTCAGTGGACTCACCGGAATTGCCCCACCAAAAGTGCCCCTCCTCCAGCCAAACCGCGACTCACCGTCGCCCTGTTTGAGATCCGACTCCTTCTTCTACTTCTCTTACTTCTCTTCCCCGCTCTCCTCCTTCTGGCTTCCTTTTTGCTTCGTCTCTTACGCCCGTCAATGTACGTTACCCTTCCCCTCCCCCTCCCCATTCGTCCTCCTCAGCTGCCATTGAATTGACATTAACATTGACATCATAGACTCTCCAAAATGTCTCTCTCCAGCAAGCTCCCCATCACCGATGTCGACCTCAAGGGCAAGCGTGTCCTGATCCGTGTATGTTCAATCTTCTCCAGCTCTAGCTATACCTCATACCTATATCCATATCCATATCTATACCCATACCCAACCCAATTGCTAATTGCCCCTCCACAGGTCGACTTCAACGTTCCCCTCAATGACAAGAAGGAAATCACCAACAACCAGCGTATCGTTGGTGCCCTGCCCACCATCAAGTACGCCATTGAGAATGGCGCCAAGGCCGTTGTCCTCATGTCCCACCTGGGCCGTCCCGACGGCAAGGTCAACTCCAAGTACAGCCTGAAGCCCGTCGTCGCCGAGCTCGAGAAGCTGCTGGGCAAGTCCGTTCTCTTCACCGAGGACTGCGTTGGCCCCCAGACCGAGGAGACCGTCAACAAGGCCACCGGCGGCCAGGTCGTTCTCCTCGAGAACCTGCGCTTCCACGCCGAGGAGGAAGGTAGCTCCAAGGACGCCGAGGGCAAGAAGGTCAAGGCTGACGCTACCGCCGTCGCCGAGTTCCGCAAGGGCCTGACTGCCCTGGGAGACGTCTACGTCAACGATGCCTTCGGCACCGCCCACCGCGCCCACAGCTCCATGGTCGGCGTCGAGCTCCCCCAAAAGGCGGCCGGATTCCTCGTCAAGAAGGAACTCGAGTACTTCGCCAAGGCCCTGGAGAACCCCCAGCGTCCCTTCCTCGCCATCCTCGGCGGTTCCAAGGTCTCCGACAAGATCCAGTTGATCGATAACCTCCTCCCCAAGGTCGACAGCCTGATCATTACCGGCGGCATGGCTTTCACCTTCAAGAAGACTCTGGAGAACGTCAAGATCGGCTCTTCCCTCTTCGACGAGGCTGGCAGCAAGATCGTCGGCGACATCGTCGAGAAGGCTAAGAAGAACAATGTCGAGATCATCCTCCCCGTCGACTACGTCACTGCCGATAAGTTCTCCGCGGACGCCAATGTCGGCGCTGCCACCGATGCGTCTGGCATCCCTGATGGCTCCCTGGGTCTGGACGTTGGTCCTAAGACTCAGGAGTCTTACAAGAAGGCCATTGCCGCTTCCAAGACTATCCTCTGGAACGGTCCTGCCGGTGTCTTCGAGTTCAAGGCCTTCGAGGCTGGTACCGTTGCTACCCTGAACGCGGCTGTTGATGCTGTCAAGAACGGTGCTACTGTTATCGTTGGTGGTGGTGACACTGCCACCGCGGCTGCCAAGTTCGGCGCTGAGGATAAGCTCTCTCACGTCTCCACTGGTGGTGGTGCTTCTCTCGAGCTTCTCGAGGGTAAGGACCTGCCCGGTGTCTCTGCTCTGTCGAGTAAGTAAATGGATGGTATAGGGGGGTTGATTGATAGATTCAAGCCATGGTTGAATGTGAATGATTGATTTCACACAATGCCCGGCCGGGGTCAAAAAGTACAAATAATGTTTGTTCTTTGGCTCCTCCCCCCTCTCACCTTTGGATTTACATTTTCACGAATCTGTAATGTACACAGCCAATATCCTTGTTTTCCCTTTTTCCTATACTATCCTATTTCCATTTTTTTCACAAAAGAATTACAAAAAATCTCAAAATTGTTCCAAAACTCTGCCTTCTATGACTTACTCCATTTGCGAGCGTTCAAGCCTATACCAATATCCTAAGTCGATTTACTAACCATAGGTTTTGTGTGATCAGATACGAGACCAAAGCTTTAAGGCTACGGGAGGGATGTGTGGATGTGTGACTGTAGCTCGTAGGTACCAGTACTAGTACTACAGAGCCCGTGACGCATGCAGGGAATGAATGGCTAGGCTGAGTAACCCGGCGACCGATACCAAGATTATTATAGATAAAATTGGAATGAGAATTTACACGTTCAGACCTCCCGTCAAGGTCATAAAAGAGACGTGGGAGGGAAGAGAGAGATATGTATCATGGGCCAGGATTCGCAATTATGGCGCGAGGGAGTCCTCAATAGTTCATTAATTCAGAATCACTAGTGCTAGTTCGGTAGGACCAGCATAGTCCGATTCCGATTCCATTTCCCATCGCGACCTAAGGGAGTTTCGACCGCGGTCCGTGGAGCTGAGATACCCAGACCAAACCAGGGTATAGATAGGGTGGCTAGACTCAGCATATGAGATGGTGTAGGGGCCGTAGGTGAGGTGAAGACTGAACTGGGCTTTGCAGTGGATCGGATTGAAGTAAATCTAGAATTGAAATGGGACTGGAACTGGAACGTGTTCGAGAGTGGCATCTGCCATACCGGTGTGGGTGTGCGTGTCGGTGTAAGGAAGTGTGAGTGACCGTATCCCGGTTATCCAAGATGGGGTATAGAAGAGTGAGTATGCCGTGGCGATGTGGTTTGGTGTGGTTTGGTGTGGTTTAGATGACAGAGATGCAAGGTGGTGACGGTCGGGATGGTGGTGGCTTCTTGGTCGGGAATTGTTTTGTTCGTGCGGGGGATGGTTTAGGATGAGGCTTCAACTTTCTTGAGTTCCTCCCTATGGACGGATGGTGTTAGTAGGTGTCTGAGCAGTGCATAGATAGATTTGGGAGGACCAACTTCAACTGCTTTGAGAAATCCTCGGCCGCATCATCGTCATCCCAGCTCTCCTCCCAGAGGTGCTCGTTGGTGCCATTTGCCGATCCGGAGGGTTGCTCTGCTTCCTCCTGGGGCCAGTCTGGTGAGGGGATAGTGGTTAGCAAGGTGTATTCGTGTTTTTTGCAGGACTTTATACGTCGACTGGGCTGGGATCGGTGAGTGCTGAAGGTTGAGCGGAGTTGACCTACCTTCAACGGGGAAGTCCTCAAACTCGTCATCCTCCTCTAGGACCTGGGGCTTTTGTTGCTGGGGCTGGTCGGACTCGACCTTGTTCTGGGCGGGGGTGGAGTTTGACATTGTGAATGAATGATGTGGTGGGGAGGAGAGTGTGTAGGAGGAGGAGGTTAAGGTTGAGGTTGATGTTGTGTGAGGGAGAGCTGTCTGTGAGCGGAGAGAAGTCTTAGTCAGATGACCAATGATGTATTGTTGATCGGCGAGGAATGATAACAATACTTTAGGGTATTACTCTGCAGTGTTATTATTCTAGAGTAGAGTATACTGAATATTATAGTGATAAATAATATATATCTATGGATATATATAGATATACTTACTACTACCATGTTAAGCATAGTTATGATCCCATTTGTGAATGTCCGGCCCCTCCGGAAGGCTTATGCGCCTCATCGGACCCCGTCTGGCCCGGTTTTGACCCCACGGTGAGATTTCTCCCTCTACTCGTATTCAAGTTTTGGTCTTGTGCTCTTTTTCTTTATTCCATTTCTCTTCATCCCTTTCATGCTGGTCCCTGTCTACTCTCCCCCGTTCTCGGAAATCCGTCCGCACACGCACATGCACATGCACATGGGCCCGTTGACATTCTTCCCGATCCGTCTGCTCCTCGGGCCTTGAGCCTGTAATTCTTCTTTGTTTCTTCTTTTGTGTCTTCCCCAGGATTACCGATTACTCCCCCTCCCCATTTCCCCCAACGCCCTCTCAGTCTTCCAGGTACACCGGTGCACAATGCTGCGCGTCGGCTCATGGTTGTACGGCAAGAAGCCCGCCAATGCCTCAACCCAGTCGCTGGACTCGTTGACCGAGTTGAAGGAATGTAAGTACTAACTCAACGGTCTTCGGAGCCTCGTTGTGATCCGTGCACCCCGGGTCTCCCCCAATACTCCAGATTTACCATGTGCTGACCAGGATTTACAGTGGATGAGGCGATGAAAGGTACACACCCACTGCAATCCACCACCCTAACCCTCCGTTTGACATTGTCTATCTATAGCCGCAACCAATATCCTCAATGACGACGTCGACGCCGCTGAGAAGGGCCTCTCCGAAGGCACCTCCACCTTTCATAATGTGCGTGGGATCCGGGCTGCTGCAGATGACGTAGTGGCCCTGCGAGAGTGATACAAGGCAAAAAGATACATCTGGAACGGGGCTGACAATATACGAGTAGTTGGGTAAAGGAGTGGTCGCCTTTGTCCGGGCCACCCTGGGCTTTGAGCAGGAGATTATGCGACAAGGTAGGCATACTGACCTCATCCACCGATCCCCTCTGGCGATCACAGGCTCTAATAAACAACAGCATCCGATCGCCTATACGAGGCGGAAACATCAGCCGCCAGTGAACAGCACCGAGCCCAACATAATTCCAATGCTCCGCATGCGTTTCGTTCGGAGATCTATACTCCCGGCACCGAGTATGCCTTGTGTCAGGCCATTGCCCAATTGATGGGTGCCGTGGTGGGTGTGCTGAACGAAAGTTTGACGGAGAGTATCAAGGCTTTCTATCGCCTGCGAAAGGCATATATCGCACTAGACGCCATTCTGAAAATGGAAGAAAAATTTATGGAACTGAAGGATCCCGGCCGTGTTCTTCTACCCAGTGCTAGTGATGTTACCAAGGGAATTGGCGCAGATACCAAGGGATCGAATAGTTCCGCTTCCTCAATTAAGGGTGCCTCCGTCAGCGCAAAGGCAACACCCACGGATGAAAAAGATTTGTCACAAAAGCTGTCTGGCTTGACCGTCACCCCGGAACCCGCTTCGAATGGCTCGCCTCGCTCTGCTACCCCGAATGGCACGAAAATTATCAATCACGACCCGGACTCCGATATTTTCCAAAACGAAATTGATATCTTCGTGCACTCCGGTGCCAACTTCTGTTTCGGTATCCTCCTCTTGCTCATCTCCATGGTTCCCCCAGCATTCAGCAAGCTGCTGTCTATTATCGGATTCCACGGCGACAAGCAGCGCGGCTTGCGCATGCTTTGGCAGGCGAGTAAGTTCCACAATTTGATTGGTGGCATGGCTGCTCTCGCATTGCTCGGTTACTATAATGGATTCGTCCGCTACTGCGATATCATGCCCGACCCGACTCCTGGTGAAGATGACGTGGAGGGAATTCCCCAAGAGAGACTGACGGCACTGCTCGCTGAGATGCGCACGCGGTTCCCGAACAGTCAGCTCTGGTTACTGGAAGAGTCCCGAATGATGGGCGCCAACAAGGACCTTGAGGGCGCAATGGAACTGCTGAATGGGAAGAATAAGAGTCCCCTCCAGCAGGTCGAAGCTCTGCGGGTCTTTGAGAAGAGTCTGAATGCCTTATTCCTTCATGAATATGAGGTGTGCTCCCAGGCATTCATCGAGGTAAGTCCTATTCTTTTTCGCTGCCTCTAGCAGAATCAAATTATGTATAACTATGATCAGCAAGCTAACATCATCTTTTTCCTTTCTTACTTTAGTGTGTTGATCTCAACTCCTGGTCGAGGTCACTATATTACTACATCGCAGGATCCTGCCATGTCGCACTCTACCGCGACAACATAGATGACCCAAAGAAGGCAGAGTTTCACGCAAAGCAAGCAACCGAGTATATCCGAGCAGCTCCCGCCCACGCAGGGAAAAAGCGCTTCATGGCCCGCCAGCTTCCGTTCGACGTCTTTGTCACTCGCAAGATCGCCAAATGGGAAGCACGAGCCAAGGAGTGGAATGTACCACTAGTCGACGCGATCGGTGTGGACCCGATCGAAGAAATGATCTTCTTCTGGAACGGACACAGCCGTATGACGCGCCTACAACTCGAAGAGTCCCTCGCTCGTCTCGCATGGTGCGAGAGCGAGGCAAACAAGACATGGTCGCGCGAGGGAACGGAGGAAAAGGCTATCCTGGAGTTGCTACGGGCTGCGGTGTTCCGGTCCTTGCGCAAACATGAGAAGGCAAAACACATTATCAAGACCCGTGTGCTGGTCCACGATAAGTCTCTTTTCAAGGGCCACTTGAAGGACGACTGGGTCCACCCTGTTGCGCACTTTGAGATGGCGGCCAACCTCTGGATGGAGCGCCCGACCTACCAAGAGCTGCATGGAGCAGTAACGAGAGATGAGGAACTGTCAGAGAAGGACTCAACTGATGTCGATGAGTCTAAGAAGCAGCCGGATGAAAGACAACTGGTCAAGGAGTGTAAGACTTACTTGGAACATGCGGCCAAATGGGAGAGCTACGAGCTTGATGCTCGAATCGGGCTCAAAGTGACAGCCGCTATGGAGGCAGTGCATAAATGGGAGAATATGCACCCAGCCTCGGAGTAGCCCACCTTGCTCTGATTTTCATCCCGTTCTCGATCTTTTGTTCATATAACCCTCTGCCCCCATTCATCTCCCGATGTATCATTAGAATCTTGGAAGTTCAACTCTCGTAGACAATAGAGACCTGCATGTCATGTGACCACGCAATACAATTTGGAGAACTTTGCAATTTCCCCCGTAAATGCTTCGCCCTGGAGATTCTCATGCCATTGGCTGTCAATGACCCATTGGTTTCTCAGATGGGGTCGCCATCCTCCCCTCCGACCCGCCCCTCTCTGACAGCTCGGATTTGAGGCGTTATTTGTCGTGCTATCTCCGAGTTGATGCCGATACTGATGCTGAAGCTGAAGCACCTCCGACATCCCACCTTCCACCGTCGAACCCCGAGCAATGGGAAACCATCAGATATCAAAATATCATACCACGAAGATGCCAATCATTGTGACCTTATGGCCGCCACTCCGAGCTCGGATCCAACCCGATTGAGAACCCCGAGCTCCACGCCCCACCACCGGCTAACACGGCTTTGATTCTGCTCGGCGTCGGACGTCCGAAAGCTTGAATAAAAGAGCTATCGGCCCCAAGCGACAGTCAAGATGAAGAATATGAATGAATACCACCAAGCAATTTTCCATTTACAACCCTCCACACTGCTTGAATACTTGAGTATCACAGCAAAAACGAAGCAGCGGGTCCGCATACTCGGCGATTTTGTCTCACAGCCGAAGGGGCATGACGTCTAACGGCTCCTACGGTCCCTGGCAATAACTTTTTCCACTCGGCGCATGCCAACTCGAGGCCGAATTTTTAGGCGCGTCTAACAATTGTCATCGACGATCTGGGTTTTCAATTTTACCTTTTTTGGATCTCTCTTCCTCTTTTCTCCGCGCTCTTTGCACAGAGCGACGATCCAGAAAATTAAGCAGATTTCCTTGCGCCGCGCGCGCGGATCGGAATCATGGCCGAACGAACAGAGCACGATCTCCACTCCTCCACCTCCGACGACGATATCGAGTCGCGCGATAGCGACAGCCACAGCCACCATGCCGATAATGCGCAGGGCACGATAGCTCCACTGGGGAAGCAAAGTACCGTTTCCTCAGGATTATCAGTCTTTGAACAGCGCGCGCAATCGACGATATCGCGCATCCGAAGTCGGGATCCGGGACAGACGGCCACATTCAATCACCCGCTCACACATACCAAGACGAGCCAGGATGTCATTGTTGATTTCGATGGTCCCGATGATCCGTATCGGCCTTTGAATTGGAGTTTTACCAAGAAGGCCGTGACGACGGTTCTGTATGGATTAACGACGATGGGTGAGTTGGGTTTAATTTCAATTTGTCTACCCCTCGCGAATGCGGGGAAGTCGAAAATCGATCTGTTGGCTAATAATATGTATTTGAAATCATAGGTGCGACATGGGCAAGTTCCATCTATTCGACCGGTCAAGAGCAGATTAGTGAGGAGTTTGGGGTCTCGTTGGAAGTGTCTACACTTGGTACTTCGTTGTTGCTGTTTGGCTTAGGTCTTGGCCCGTTGCTCTGGGCGCCTCTCTCTGAGGTCTTCGGTCGCAAGCCGGCAGTCCTTGCTCCTTATTTTATCGCGGCTATTATGTCATTTGGTACCGCTACCGCGAAGGATCTTCAAACGATTATGATCACTCGTTTTTTTACTGGTTTCTTTGGCGCCGCCCCGGTAACGAATACCGGCGGTGTGTTAGGTGATATTTGGTCACCCGAAGAGCGCGGCGCTGCTATCGTGGGTTATGCGATGGCTGTCGTTGGCGGACCTGTCTTGGGTCCAATTGTTGGTGGTGCTATCACCCAAAGCTATCTACACTGGCGGTGGACCGAATATGTAGGTTCTACTCGAATTCAACCTTTCCGGAAAGTCTAGGACCAGTAACTAACATATCCCCAGCTTACCGGAATCATGATGATGTTCTTCCTGGTGCTTGATTTAGTATTCGTCGACGAAAGCTATCCTCCCGTCTTACTAGTCTACAAGGCCCGGCGCCTTCGCTTCGAAAGCGGCAACTGGGCCCTCCACGCCCGCCACGAAGAATGGGATGTCACTTTCAAAGAATTAGGCAACAAGTACCTCATTCGACCTTTCCAACTTCTCGCAACTCCAATTTGCTTCTTAGTCGCCCTCTACGCCTCCTTCGTCTACGGTATCCTCTACCTCAGTCTCGCAGCCTTCCCAATCGTCTTCCAAGAGGTACGCGGCTGGAACCAGGTTGTCGGCGCCCTCCCTTTCCTCGCCTACCTAGTCGGTATTTTCTTCGGCGCAGCAATCAACCTCTTCAACCAACGCTTCTACATAAAGCGTTTCAAAGCCAACAATAACCGCGCAGTGCCGGAAGCCCGCCTCCCGCCCATGATGCTCGGCTCTGTAATGTTCGCATCGGGCATGTTCGTCTTTGGCTGGACAAGCCCAGCGCACATCCACTGGATTGGGCCGATCATCGGAGCCGTCATGATGGGTTTCGGCTTCTTCACTATCTTCCAAGCGGCGCTGAATTATCTCATCGATACGTTCCAAACGGTTGCCGCCTCGGCTGTTGCGGCGAATACATTCCTCCGCTCGGTGTTTGCTGGTGCGTTCCCGCTTTTCACGACGGCTATGTTTCATAATATGGGTGTGCCTTGGGCGGCCAGTGTTCTTGGCTTTGTTTCTGTTGCTCTTATTCCGATTCCGTATTTGTTTTATATTTATGGAAAGAGGATACGGGCGAGAGGGAAGTGGTCTGCTGGTTCTCTTTAAGTGGGGCTGTTTCGTTCAAAAAAAGATTCATTGGATTGGGTTGGATATAATCCGGCCAGCTCAAAAGTTGTGAATATGGGTTGTTGTCACGGGTTTTGAGATTCATCTTTGCATATTATAGATACCCTCTACGCTATATCTACTGGTTCTTTTCCGGCATTGCAGGTTCATTACTTAGCTACTTGCCCAGCTGCACATATTTCAAAAATTTCAAATTCTTTCTCCTAATCACAATATGGTTCGTTGTACCAGTAAGACAATCTCATATCATTTTCCTTTCTACTAGTACAATGACTGACCCTTGATCCATTGAAGCTTAGCATGGTATCACTATTTTCCTATCAGCCACCTGCACAGAAGAGGTATCTTCTCGCTAGTGCTATATCTTATTCTCATCCAAGACAGCCTCTGCTTCATGTAGCCATAATCTGCTCTCCCAAACAACAGCCCTGCCGGGCTAGCTCAATCGGTAGAGCGTGAGACTCTTAATCTCAAGGTTGGGGGTTCGACCCCCCCGTTCGGCTATTCCTACAAAAAATCACCTGAGATATCTTTTTGCCAATCGTGTAAGAACAGACAATCTTCTTTATTTGGATGTTCTTTTGGTGGGGTGCTGCCTGCCTGCCATGTTCTATAGTTCCTCAGATGTCCCGTTCCCGCTTCTTTTTCTTCTTCCTCCCCACATTACTTTCTTCGACCCCTACTACACGCTGCCTGATCCCGTATCTTGATCTGCGAGCACCTGAGCATCCTCACACACTCCCTCACACCCAAACCGTCGTCGTCGGAAAAAACACTTCGTTTCAAACAAAGGGATGTCAAATGGACAGGTATCCTGACATAGGCCGTGCGCTAAAAGGTAGAATCCGGCTGTCGCCGATATAAAACCGAAAGCACCAGCCATCTTAGTGATTTCTTCACCTAATTCCACCCTGCCATCTGCTTTCATGAAATGAGCAGTGCAGTTGAAGATGTAGCATAGCTCCAATGCGGCATAAACAACAATGTTCGGAACATTCCTGTGCAGTTTTCAGCATTTTCGCGCAAATTTTGTATACCTAATGCATGGGCATACTTACGTTGGTAGAGAAGCGAGTAAGAAAAGGAAATTCAAAATGCACCAAACTTCACCCAAATTTGTTAGTCCAAGTCCAAGAACAAGTCTGCAGCATTCAATTTGGTAAAGACAGCAAGGGCAGGGGACTAACCTAGCTGGTAGAACGCAAATGCGTTGTAGTACTCGGCCGTTTTTCCACCATAGGACTCTATAACACCTAACGAGGGGGCTAATAATACCCCATATCCGCCGTAATATAATCCTAATATTTATCCAAGCAAGTATCAGCACCGTTTGCACTACTACTAATAACTAGTAGTGTAGATGTGGATAAGTCATTGGCCGATTTATGGCTTACCAAATGCAGCGAGCACTGTGTAGGCAAAAGTGTTACCTTTTATCATCTCCCATTGCGCGGATATAAGAAGGCCGACTCCGGCAAGGAAACAAAGGTTCGATATGAATATTGTCTGGTTTTCGACTCCTCGGAAGCCCATCATGGAAAGCGAAAGGGTCATCAGGGTTGTTGCAAAGCCGCCAAACCCTAGTGGACCCTTAGACAAGTCAGTATCGATGTATGCTGTTGATGTAAAGTTTCCGGAATATTGTTCGAGTACTCACAGGGTTGGCAAGACGATCAATCGCCATTAAAGAGCGACAGTCCTTGGGCGGCGCAGAATGATGTATTCTCGTATCGGGGCCTCTTAAATGTCAAATTTCTAGTCAACAGAGCCTCATAGTATTTTGGAGTTTTTTTTAGGCTAGCCTAAGGATTATAAGTACCGATGCACCAGATGAAAAAAAAACTTAAAGATGAAAAAGAGGCTTCGTCTCCCGGAGGGGTGACGCTGAGAAAATTTGCAACTCAAACACCGCTACTGATAACTTCCTATTCTGGCTGAGAGGAATTCCCAATTATTTCCGCGAGATGACTATAATTTCCCGCTTTGTAGCATGCTATTCGCAACCGAGGAAATGGGCCTGTCTCTCAGATTGGCGACCCGTGATATCGGGAAAGCTTCGGGTTTAACCATAACCTACTTTAACTTCCTGATACAGCGATGGGCTTACCAATCGCGGAGAAGTTATTAAAGTTTCAGACCCTGTAGCAGCTAAAAACTAATCTATAACCGATAATATCCCAAGTCATTGCCTGCAAACATGTTAAATAAACTTTGTCGCCACACACTTTTCCCCACATGAAATAACTTCCTAAACGGGTAAGCATGTACTTGACCGTGATTGGACAATTGACAAATTTCTATGAAATCCGAGAAATTTCCGTCTCACTAGGCACGCTGAAGCTACGTAATTGCGTCCAGTTGGGGTGGAAGAGGTTCAATGTCTGTTCATCTTAGCAAAAAAAAAAATCATGTACACCCTGCGCTGTATTTTGTTTGAATTTTCAAGATGCAATATTTAAACGGTCCCGCCCTCATTTTTGGTATTCAGAAAAGAAATCTGAACCACCTGCACTGGCAAAAGTCCCAACCTTAACGCAGACCTCAAATACTATCAAACACCCCTCATAGCTTTCTTTTTACCCAGATCTCCCTCAACACCGCGACCATGTGCCAGAACGAAGTTGAAGCCAATGGCTGGACCAGCATGCCCGCCAATGCAGGCGCTATCTTTGGAAGCAAGCCTTTCATCAATCAGCCAGGACCTCTGTCTCTCGAAGACATCAAATTCCCATTTGATGAACCTTCGGTCGCAAAGACTTTGGTCTATGCAAAGAAAACCCTTCACCCCAAAACCTTCAACCACTCGATGAGGGTTTACTTCTACGGTAAGACCAGCTATTCCACCAGGCTTGCTCAGTTTGAGCAAAATCCAAGATCTAAATCTAACCAAAACAGGAATGGCAATTTCCAAGGAACAATTCCTGAGCAGTTCGCGAGCCTCAATCCCGTAACTTGGGCTCTGACATGTCTTCTCCACGATCTCGGCACAGCCGAGGAAAATCTCACGGCAACCCGAATGTCCTTTGACATCTACGGCGGCATTAAAGCCATCGACGTCTTGAAGGGCCATGGCGCAACCACAGACCAAGCCGAAGCAGCTGCTGAGGCAATTATCCGGCACGAAGATATGGGGGTTGACGGTACGATCACTTATTTTGGTCAACTCATCCAGTTAGCCACGACATACGACAACACCGGCTTCCATCCGCATGTGAAGGATTTCGGTGAATTGATCTATGAGACTACCCGCGCGAAGATCAATGAGGCTTATCCGCGCATCAAGTGGTGCAAATTCTTTTCTGGTGTCATTCGCAAGGAAGAGACTACCAAGCCCTGGTGCCATTCGACTCATCTTGTCAACTTTGATCAGGAGATCGAGGCTAACACTCTGATGAAACAATGGGAGTGAAAAAAAAGGCAGAATTCACACATTTACCCATGCACTTTCTGATGATTTGTGTTTGTGGCTACTGAGGATAAAAGGCTGATAGAAAGAAAAAGGGCTTTCAGAGGAAAGGGGCTATGAGGTAAGATAGTTGGAAAACATTGACCCATTTTAGGTGATGAGCTTCCATAATCAGCGACAAGGCGACTTGGAGATCAAAGTTCATTGAATCAGACTTTTTTTTCCAACAAAATATCTGCCGGGGAATCTCTGAATGCCCAAATCAACTCTTGGTTGCTTCCAATGTTACTTTCCCATAAGATATAACCGGGTCGAACGGAGAATAACTAGTATTAGTAGTAGCTATGAGCGAGCAGCTAGCCCTCTGATACTCTCATCAGATTCAGTCAATCCCGTATTCTCTTGTAGTCCTTGACTCGGAGAACCAAATGTTCTGGGATTTCATGACAAACATTACAGTGATCGGGTATTTCTCTACTCGCTCACTGGTGGAGACTAAATTGATCGGCACCGCTCGCAATGCCTAATCATCAATTTTCCGACGGGTATTTGCAGCGGGGTATTTCTCAACTGGTCGGACTTGGAGCGATGGCCAGCACAAAATACTTTCTATTCTAGAACCCGAGGCTGTCCTGTTGGATAGGTGGAGAAACGGTCGAGATACATGGGATCTTTCGACTATCCGGCTCTTTAGCCTATTCCAACGCAGAAATCAAAATTCTAAATCATCGGATAGTCCAACGCTCCACAACCCCCAAGCAACACAGCACCAAAATGAGCCTCTCTCGAATTCTCCCTCCCATAATTCTTGGAGGTGCTGGCTTTAGCCACCAAGTTCATCGGAACCCCAATTCGGCCCAAGCACTACAGGTCTTGAAGCGCGCATTTCAATTGGGGTTGCGAGCCATTGATACCTCGGCGTACTATCACCCGTCTGAAATCCTGTTAGGCGAGGCACTCTCACATCCCGACATTACCAGCCACTACACTCGCGACCAATACCTTCTCATGACCAAAGTCGGACGTATCACAGCTGACCAGTTCGACTACTCTCCTGCCTGGATCCGACAGTCGGTCCTGCGTTCTTCAGAGCGCTTGCGCACCCAGTACCTTGATGTTGTATTCTGTCACGATGTTGAATTTGTACCCGAAGAAGAAGTTGTCGAGGCTGTGGGTGTTTTATTTAGAATGGTGGAGGAAGGACACATCAAATATGTTGGGATATCTAGCTACCGAATTGATATTCTCGGTCGCATCGCTCAGCGAGTCCAAGAGGAGTACTCTCGATCCCTTGACATTGTACAGAATTGGGCACAGTTGACTTTGCAAAATAACACTTTGGCTGAAGATGGCCTCGAGGCATTCAAAGAGGCCGGTGTCTCTTGTGTCTGCAGCTCTAGCCCACTGGCTATTGGTCTGCTTCGATCAAATGGCGTGCCAGTTGGGGACTTGGGAGATTTTCATCCGGCGCCTCGAGGATTGAGATTAGCGGCAAAGGAAGCGGCTGATTATGTTGCGACACAAGGAGACGATCTTGCAGCATTGGCGCTGCGATATTCAATCCGTCGTGCCCAGTCTTTGTCCACCCCAGATTTTAGAGTAACGACAATTATGGGGATCACGACAGTTTCTGAACTGGAGGAAAATCTGGCGACGGCAGGACTTGTTCTTCAAGTGTCAGATCGGCTACGTTGGCTTTGGAACGCAGATTCTGGGTCTTGGGTGGGAGTTGATTCATATAGGACGAAGAAAGATAAAGAATTAAGTCTAGCAGTGAAGAATATTCTGGGGGAATGGTATGGTTATTGTTTTCCCAGCCCAGGGGACGGATGGGATCTGTCAACGAAGAAGCCGAAGACTGTTAGTGCTTGATGTTATGAAGAAGTTCAAGTTTTAGATACGGTAGCATTTATAGAATACTGGATAAACTTTCTTTTTTTTCAGTGAGTTTGACATTGTCTATCTGCCTTGATTATGCTTTGGTAGTGCCCTGCTCCTGTGCAGGGACCCGCCGAATCTCATCGTGTGGTAGCATCCCCACAGCATCTCCCCGCATTTTCCTCCACATCCACATCAACATCTCCTTTTTATTTCCGTGGAATCGAATTCGGGGTACCAGTATGCCCCGTCGAAACCAGTCTCGCATCCTACGAGCCTGCGATGCATGTACTCGTTCGAAGCAACGGTGTGATGGACAAAGACCGTGGTGAGTGCCATTTTAAAGCGCCAGGGCTTGAAGCTAAAATACCTTGTCCCAAAGCCGTCGTTGCGCAGGTACTCTAAAAGCCCCTCAGAAACCACCAATTTCCAGACTACAGTCTTCTTACATCTTCATTAGAGCGCCATGAATCGTGTCACTATTTCAAAACTGTCCACAAGCGCGGCCGACGACCGCGCTCGGGCTCAATGCTCGATTTCAGTCCCAGGGATACTAGCTCTTTTGACCAAGAATCCCCTCAAGATTTAGCTACAAGTCCAACTAGTGCACTCTTATTGTCTAGTAGCGCATCGCTTCATGGGAGTTCAGATGGCGCAGGTCCAGAGAAACGTCCACACTCTGAATTAAGTCCCAATGCCGATGATGCAACGCAACTTGAAAACCCGGCTAGCGCAGCATTTGGAGGAATTCCTCAAGTCACTGCTTCATCAAAAAACACTTTCGATGGCATCCTTTCAAACCCATTAAGCGACACTCGCTTCAAAGTCAATCATGCCACACTTGCGTTCGGGCAGGTTAGTATTCACTAAACGGCTCTTTCCACGTGAATACTTCTAAGTATTTCTTTGCGAGTTAGACGTCAATTGAAACGGGAGTCCCACTTCCCACCACTCAACAACCAATATACGAGGCTGTTCCAAGCTTGCTTTCAAGTGGTAATTTGATGCGAAAGCCATATCGCTGCCTAGAGCCCATTTTGATGTCCTTGGAAGGTATTTTGTCGCCTGATGAAGCATCCGAAATGCTTGAGATATACTTCAATGATGGGGGGGAGCTCTCCATTCAAGTCCACCTCGCCTTATATGCTAGTGCATGTCTTGCACCCATCGTCTGTGCTTCATCCTACAGAACCTCGTCCAACATCCCCAGCACTCCTGGCTGTGATACTATTTTCTGTTGCGCAGACTGCGGATATTAGTCTATTCGATGCACCTGGAACGCGAGAACGTACAAGCATGGATCTTTATCGCCTATCACTTGATTTGCTTCAATCAGAAGATCCCGACAATTATTTCAGAACCTCTGGTATGTTTTTATTTGGATCATCAAGGAGGTCCTTATGCTTTCAACCTGACTTTTTTAGATGGTTGGCAGCTCCATCCTCATCCGAACAGCATTCCTCCAAGTATAGATCGGCAACCATCCGGGAAAACAATACTACCAAGGCAACTTGGCTCGACTGATACTATTCTCGCAGTCGTTATCTTAACTATAACAATATCCGGCGGTCATTATAAAGCAGATTCGCTCAAATGGATAGACAAGCTCTTTCGATTAGTCAGGGCAAGTGGACTGAGTTTGGAAGATCAAGACATTGATCTTGGCCCTGTCTTCTGCGGACTATACAATGGTGATGACACCTTCCGTCGATGGATGATAGCAAAAGAAGAGCGCAGACGACTCTTTTGGTTTATCTATTGTCTTGATAGACATCTTGCTCTTTCTTTCAATATGCGATTGAGCATCCCCGAAGGCACATTTTGTGTTCGAGTACCATTGCCTGAAAAGCTTTGGCAATCTCTTGAGACCACCGATTTATCTATTATTCAGACATCCCCAATCGGCCCGCCTATTCAGATTTCCGGTTGTGGATTCTTCGAATACTTCTTACCACTTGCTATCATTTTAGGTCACATAATCGACCTGCATCACTATCGCAGTCATCCTACCTTTGGTTCAATCGTCCCACATGATGCTATCCGTCGGGTTGAATCGATGATTTCTCAGCGCGAGCAGGAGCTAGTTGAATTGGAGAGACAACTTGGCGCCATTCTACCCGAAGAAATGGGTGCGACGCCATTTATAGGTCAAACCAGCGGGTCCTCCTCACACGGCACAGAAAGTCACGGGACTCCCAGCAGTGGCGGCCCTTCGGAAACAAGATTTCCCTTGGTAAAAGCCTACAGTACATATCTGTTACATGTTTTTTACATACTTCTTCATGGAAAATGGGATCCCATCTTGATGATTGAAGACAATGATGACTGGATCACCTCGGAAAGATTTTTGACATGTGCCTCCCATGCCCTGAGTGCTACTGAAGTTATCTCTCAAATTCTGACACTTGATCCCGAAATGACTTTCATGCCCTACCTTTTTGGGATCTATCTTCTTCAAGGGAGTTTCATCCTTCTTCTCTTCGTGGACCGTATGCCAGAGCTTGGCCCAAACAGCTCTGTGGAAGAAGTCTGCGAGACCATCATTCGCGCTCACGAAGTCAGCATTGTCACTCTCGACACAACTTTTCAGGTGCGTAAAATTCCATCCCCTTATCTCATACTAGAAGACCAATCTCTCATGTTCATGCAGAAAAACTTCCGCAAGGTTTTCCGATCCATGCTATACGATGCCCAGCAAGTTGGTCCCCACTCCTGGGATGAGCATAAAGCACGGCGGAGAGAGCTATTATCTTTATACCGCTGGACACCGACAGCGCATGGGCTCGCATACTGAATAGCAATGGGTTTTGCCAAATTCACGAATTTTCAGGATTTCTCATAGATTTCAGATACAAAAGTTAAACAAACACATATTCTTCAAATAGATCAAAAAGCAAAAAAGGAATTGGCCCGAGCCCGGGATCGACGGGGACCTCGCGCAGTCAATGCTTTGGGTGAACCCTAAGCGCGAATCATACCCCTAGCCACCCGGGCAATTGATGTAATCAGTTTCAACTTATGCATATATAATCCTAGAGGAACTTGAAGGGAGTCATACATTGTATAGGCAATGCTTAAGATAAATCTTCAATATAAAATAAAGAATGATATACCTACTAGATCGCCTCCCACTGCCCATATCAAGTGCTGATTTCTTGCCCTTTCACATTGACCATTCTCAATGGTTTCGTTCTCCCATTTACAGTAGCTTCTTTCACAATGCCTTCCTCGTCCCAAGAAAATGTAACACTGCCACCACCACGTATTCCAAGTCCACGAACCGAGCCGCCTCTCCATGAAGGAGGAATTGCGGGGCCCAGGAGTACTTCGTGAACACTATCATCATCATGATACTGGGGCAAATCGCGAATCAAGATAGCAGCCACCGCAGCAACGAACCCAAAATTAGCATCAATCTGGAATGGCGCATCATGACCTGAGTACTGCGACAACCCATTTCCAGCCAGATTTTCCGAAATGCTGAATCGCAGCTCGAAGTTTGCGCGCTCTGTGTTATTCAGGTGTGCCCAGCATGCCGATCGCCACACTTTTGCCCATCCGGGATTATCTTCGCTGTTCTTTCCAGTTCCGCGAGACCACAACATTGTCTCCACGGCTTTTGTCACTCGAGCATCACCAATTAGCGATACACTGTACCCGGGATACCAGCCTGTGAGACCGCTCAAATGACGATGCGTATCGTTTTGAGTATCGATATCGCGCTTCCATTCCTGCAACTGTCCCCAGGATCCGATGTGAATCCCCCTGTCAAGGCGAGCCAGTGCCTTTCTCACGCTTTTATAGAACTCGTCATCGTCATCGTTGCTAATAGACCATGTAGCGAGTATTCTATCAAAAAGCTCAAAAATCTGCTGTTGATGATTAGAGCATCCGAAGGTTGTGGGACCATGTTCGGGAGAGTTGCATGGGTTAACGACCAACGTGCTATCATTGAAATATCGATCTTCTTGAAGTTGCGATAGCCAAAATTGCGCTGCACCTTTAAGCAATGGGTATCCTTGTCTTTGATACCACTTTGTGTCGCCTGAATATTCCAACCAGTTTGGGATATGTAAAGCCATCCAAGTACCCGCAAGAGGATAGTCTGCCCAGGTGGCTTCATTCTTCATTCCAGTGTAGCCGAAAATGTTTATTTCGTCATGGATCGCCCATGAACCATTAAGTGCACCATATATTAGCCGCGCAGTCTCTTCGCCGTATGGAACCCATGTCTGCTCGATGAAATCCCACAACGGTTGTTGAAGAGCTCCAAGGCCCACTTGCGGTGCTGCCCAGTAATTCATTTGTAGGTTGATGTTCGCATGATAGTCAGCGCTCCATGCTGGACTCTGTAGGTCTGCCCATTTTCCTTGAAGATTGGCAGGTAAGGAGTTCTCTCGGGATGAGGAGATGAGAAGATAGCGTCCGTAGTCAACAAAAAGTGACTCTACGAATGGATTCCCATCGGCAGTGTCATAATCCGAGAGCAGTTTGGATGTTTCGACACTGTCAGAGTTGGCGGTGTCTTGCAACACAAGCTCGAAGGAGTCGAAGAGGCTTCTGTAGTCTGTGGTGTGTCTTTCCAGAATTTCTTCGTATGACCTTGATGCAGCAGAGGAAACTGTCTTTTTCACCGATGGGGCTGGATCGACTCCGAGAAAGGAATAGCCATCTGCTTTGTTTCCATGCTTCGCGTCGTAGTTTGTACCAGCCCCGAACACAATAGTAACTTCAGTATGACTACCATTTGCTGGCAGTGCCAATTTATTCCCGCTACAAATCAAACCCGTGGGACGTGTCGATTGGGCTAACCCAATGAACTGCATACCAGGCTGTGCCAGATGACCTGATATCTCTAGTCGACCACGGTCGCAAGTCGTGTTCAGAAGTTTTGCATCGAGAAAAGTATTGTGTAATCCGAAAGAAATAGCTGGTAGTGGCAGGTTCGAGGAGATACTGTAGGCGCAAACATCGTCTGGCTGAGAACACAAGATTGAACTGTTATACCTTTGGCCGCCACTGGTGAAGTTTACTGAATGAACTCCAGAGGTCAAGTCCAGGCCTCGAAAATATGAAGAAATCCCGTCAATCCCATCCATATCGATTGTTAAATTTGCAAGGGGTGTGTAGCTTCCGTATGAAGATATCGGACTGAGAAGACCGTCAACGTTCCCCTCCCCATTGCGAAAGATTTGTTCGCGGATCCCAGTCAAAAAATGAGATCGGTCGTCTGGGGGGTTGCCACCTGAGTAGCTTGCATTTTCAAATGGCCCACCTGCCCAAAGACTGTCTAAATTGATGGTTATAAATTCCGATCCAGGATTCCCGGCAGGCATGAATCCTAAGCGACCATTGCCCAAGGGGTATGTCTGCCGCATAATATCGGATGCATTGGCTGGCGAGCTCGACCATAGCCACTTAGCAGTAGCCTGGATCGTGAAGAGGAATAAAACCGCGAGAACAGTCATTTTTGATCAATGGCAAATGGAAACCGAATTGATGCGGGGGTGGGGGATTTTGTAATTAGCATCGAGCGGAGGCCGATCGGATAAATACAACCCTATGCTGCAGATTAATTAGTCCACGATGGTGATTCACCCGCGACCATCCCCGACCTTACTAGCCAATACATTGAGTTTAAGTAAACGGATAATTATTACGTGGAGGCCTAGATATTAATGAGAGAACCAGACGGAGGTATCAACTAAGTCGAGGCAAAAGAAGCCCATCCAGTTTAATTCCGATTTCTTAGAAAATAGCAACGCGTCCTGGAATTCCAAATAAATGCCTAGAAATTCAAAAGCAAGGTCTCAATCATGGCTGCCCCGGTGCCTATTTTTCTTTCTTGCTTTGCCATAGCTGGTACACCGCATCAATGTGCTGCTTGTAAGAATCTTCCACCTTTTGTCTGATAATGGTCATTTTCAATGTTCGCTGGAATGGCAATGACGGATCAGACAACATGACTGTTTCTCGCGGTATCTGTATCTCTTGGTGACCTTTTTCATTGAGAGATATTATCATCGCGTCATATATCTCATCGATAAATTTTTCATGGTCTTGAATTTCGTTGTGATCTTTAGGTTCCACAATGATGTAGGGCACATCACGTCCCTCCCCACCCATGACCACCGCGTTGACTTGGCTGTGCATATTTATGGCGCTCTCGATATGTGTAGCATGAAATTTGGCAAGCCAGGATAGCTTTACCAAATCGCCCGTGCGTCCACGGAAAGTCCACCTGGTGGAACCGTAACAGTCAACAACTGGTGAATAGATCTCCGATGATGGAATGGTATCGAGGTCAGGAAAGACATAAAACCCTCCTTGAAAGAAGTCATGCTCTGGCATCCGGTCGACCTGTAGCTCATAAATGTCATCGGAAATTTTCTCAAACCTGGGGCCGGACTCGGGAATAAATTCAAAGCTATTCCACATTTTCGCATCGCGCGCTTCAAAAGACGGCTGAGGTCCACGCTCGGTAGATCCAATCACCGGAAATAGGTTGGTATGCCGTGCTAGTTGGTCACCAATGGCACTATCTAGCCCTGCTCCTAGCCAGCAAACGTAATCAAGGCTCTTCAGAAATTCGAAGGCAGACTTATCATTATGAAAGTCTTCAATGAGAGATGGGGGTGTCACAATACTCTTAGCCCCCGTATGCCGGCAAATTTTAATAACCAACTCTCGATCCAGAGGGGATTTCATGTCAGGTGGTAAAAGCACGGTAATCATACCAACAAAGGCTGCCGCATTCAGAGTGAACGCAAAACCACCCAGCCATTGAGGAGCGCAGGTCGTCAGTGTCAATGAGTTCTCATAATGGTGATAGGTAACTTTGGGAGATAAGTGTCTTTCGTATAATAGACTCCAGTCAAAAACAGACATGAATCCATTGCTAAGGTAAATGGGCTTCGGAGTGCCTAGTTGGATATAGGTAAGTTGATCAGTCAATCCTTATTTCTTTTGTTCTTGGGCTTACCAGTTGTGCCGGAGGTATGGATAATGCAGACTATCTCATTCTTTGCTTGTTCCCAAGATTCATCGTAGGCATACTGGATATCACCATCGTTGGGCATTTCCAGAATATCTTCCAGGATGGAATCCTCAGGCTAGTTTGGCCCTTCGGCGAAGCGCCCTGGCCGTCCGGTGAAACCCAAATTTCGCACTTTATCTCATCCAGAATCTTGAGCATTCCATCCGGAGTGATTCTTCCATCGGGAATAAAAATCTTCGATTGGATGCGTAAGCCAATGTTCCTGGTAAATAAGCCTCTGCAGCCAGTGAAACACTTACAGTCCTCTTTGATTTAGCCGCCGCTACCATCATGATGTAGTATCTTGCATCATTTGGGCCCTGGTAAGTGATTGTTTGTCGACCTTTGCTTTGCCTAGGAATATTTTCGTCCAGGAAATGGGCCATCTTATTTATTGCATTGGCACATTGCTTCCATGTGATAGTCTTGTAGCCTCCCTCCTGCTCCCATGAAGATGAGTTCGCATACAGAAGCCAAGGGGCGTCGGGAATTGTCTTTGCCTTCGTCTCTATGACGTTAGCAACTAGTCTTGGCTTTGCATCCATCTTTCAGACTATCAGTTTTGCGATTGATACGTCTTTGCGTGGATTTCTCGAATATAGAATGGGTGTAATGAAGCATGAGGGATCTAGTAGAGAAATCGCAAGGTGGGAATTCATAATCTTATATCACCAAGAGCTGATTTCAAGAACGACAAGCGGGATAGCCCTGCCCTATGGTAAGCCAGCTGACTGATAGTTAACTAGTATCAGCTAGTATATCGTAGCCAGGAGCCCATCGCCAGTTATGAGTCCAGAAGTCCCCACACAGGCTAATAGCTGGCTGCGTCCCAAGTGGCCCCGTCGCTCGTGGCTCCGCCGGCGGCCTACATCTGACATCTCAGGCCCCCCTTAAGGCTGTCTTCCAGGTTTAAGGCCCCCCGCGCTTCCTAGGTATGGTTATCTGTGAATTTTTGATTTGAGGCAGACTCCACGATCCTGTCGATTTCTCATCCTTTGTTGGGGTGGGGAATACAAGTATTAGAAAAAGGAAAAGCGAAAATAACATCTCTTTAATGGAAGATGAAAATCTTCTACTGTATTCTGCTTAACGATCTAGTGGCAATCAGCGCTCGCTATAATTAACCCAATAAAATCTATGTTCCGTCATCAATACTTGCCAAACTCAAAATGATCAAAATGTCACAGATTCTCCCATTCTATCATTAGGGCCAATCCCTTTCCTTCGCACCGCCAGAACACCAATTACCAGTCCTAGGCCAGCTATGCCAGTAGAACACCAGAGACCTGTTGCGTATTGTTGGGCGATGTCGTGTCCTTTCTCGATATCCACGACTTCTGTTGTCGCTGCAGAAATAGCCAGCGCAACTCCAGAGCCAATTTGGAACGCTGTATTGAGCTAAATAAACGTGTGAGTAAATTCTCCTTTTTTGATGATTCGCAAGAATTGCTAAGAACTCACCATCCCCCCGCACAAGCTTTTGACATCAACCGGGACACTTGTCAGAATCGTTGTGCTGGTGGTAACGAAAATAAGCGACACCGCGGTGATACTGATCAGTGATGTCGCAAGGGTATTGACCCAACTATTATTATCAGCATATTTCCCCATGGTCTCTGGTTAACGCATAACGTACAAATTTGTCGACGAGGTCACGGTCAATGCACTCGGCACGGGAGCCAATACTGTAAGCACTAGGCCCGCGACAAGACAGTATTTCCCATTCGTGTATTCGAGGATCTTTCCCGTGCCCATTGAAGCAATGAACCCGATGGCACCCATTGGTAAGAACCGAATGGCTGTATCACCTGCAGAAAGACCGTCTACTTTTTGAGCCATCAGTACAATGTAGTAGATGACGTTCTGATAGCTACCATAGCAAGCTGGATAAAGTATTAGTACAAGAAACGTAGAATAATCCAATCAAAGCAAAGGATAACTCACTGAAACCTGCAATCCATAGACCGGAAAAATTCCTTATCTTCCACAGAGACAAAGGCATGAGCGGGTCACTGACATACTTTTCCAGTAGAATGAAAGAAACCAAGAGGGCGACCGATAATACCAAGAGAACAATGATAAACGGCGAGCCCCATCCGTAAACACCCCCACTGGAAAGCACGAACTGCAGTAAAATGAGACCAGCCGTGGAAAGAAATGCCCCAAGATAATCCATTTTGGGCTTTTTCTCATCAGCGCCGGGGTCCTTGGGGAGAACAATCATTCCAAGGGTACCAAGTGAGCCGGTTATTATTACAATGAGATAAAAGATGTATCTCCACCCCAATGAAGAGGTCAGAAACCCACCCAGTATAAGACCAGCACAGAATCCCAATGTCCCAGAGGCGGCGTAAATTGAAAGTCCTCGAGTCCGATCCACACCTGTGAAGTAGGAGCTAATAATTCCGATCGCGGATGGAACTGTCATTGCTGCTCCTATTCCCTGGATTCCACGGAAAACCGTGAGTTGTATGAAAGATTGGCCGAGTCCGACCGCGAGAGTCCATAGGCTCAACCAAAAAAGTCCCAGGCAGAGAATCTTTTTTCGTCCAAATCTGCCAGGTGGAAATTAGCATCAGATTAAAAATGGATCTTGCGGTACGATTTCATACCGATCGGATAATGATCCAGCCAGTAACAGAAGACCTCCAAACGACAGGGTGTATGCGGATATCATCCATTGCAAATCGGTGTTCGAGACCTTGAATTCCTCCTGGATTGACGCAAGTGCCATGTTGGAGCTAGTCATGAAAACATTGTCGAGAAACTGGGAGCCCGAGGTGACGAGCAAAATCAAGGACCCACGCCAACTATTGAGGCAACCGAATTCTTGAGGGTGTTTTTCCAAGGCAATGCTCTCTTCAGTGTCAGTCGGGGAGACCAGCTCATTTGACGGTGTGTTCGATAAGGATAATTGGGGGACAGTGACAGTGGGGGTTTCGGTTGGTTTAGAAGGCTGATCCCTTGGGTCACTGCTTTTCTCGCCGTGGGAGGCATGCTGGCCACGGAGCCGACTTATCCAGTCGGGGAGGGCCATTTGCGATTATTGGATAATGATATCAGTAGAATCTCATGTAGCTGGATGATATACCTCGTCCGGCACTTCATTGAATAGTTTTTGATTTGAAGAGACGTTCTTTCTATTTAAGTGGGAACCATAGCAAGATATACTGAGAGCTCCTGTGAAGTAGTTATCCCCTGCTTGGTGAGCACGTAATGCTCGGAGGATTTTCCAGTGCTTGCCTCAAAATCCTTGATTTGCTGTGATATTACACGTGTGGCAGAACGGGAAGTGAGCGTTGCATTCCGAGGAGTGGGTAGCTGCGCATGCTCCGCAGGATTAACCCATATGAGAAGCTGAAGCACCCCTTGAGGAAAGGGTCAATTGGTAGTGTGCGAGAGATAACCACCACTCAACTTGACATGTGGAACCGTAGAAGAATGCTTCTTCTTAGTTCCGTAAAATGATGTCTCGGTTGTTCTATCTTGTGAAGATGACGATCACTTTGATAGGTCGCTGCTATTCCTGTAAATCTTGTTTCGTTGCTTCTCGTCATGTCTTTGATATTCCCAACTGAGTATTTAGACTTTTCCCCTCTATCTGTCAATTTTCCCGGCGCCTGGGCTACTTGCTTGACATAATAGCCAGAGCATTCATGGCAAAATGGAGCGTATCGTGAGAGAATCAAGCTTCCTTTGGTGTTATTGGATTGTTTTATCACCCCTGGTTACAATTGATTCAAGCTTGCATAGGGTGCGTACAGGATTTGATAACCGGATTGAAATAATGCTTGCATCATTTCTAAACCACTCTGAGGCAAACAAGGCAGCATTGATATCATGCTGAATGATCACCAGTAGATCTCCCGGTTCGAAATCTTTGTCGATCTCCTTTATGCGGTGCCTTTAAGGGGAATTTGTCGAAGATCCATTTGCCAAAAGATAGCTAATCTTGTGCCTTCCGTCTAATACAACAATAGAATTAGTATGCAGAGCTGCCCCAGGTGTCCCTATGAATGATATAGCTAACTATTGGGGAGTACCTAAACTCCCGCTCTATGCCTTCAGTTAATAATATTCGCGAATGGCTCGAAGATGGTGGTAAATGAAATAAGAACACGAAGTAGATATTGAGTCAAAATAATTAAAAAAAGCAAAAACTCGTGTTCTGAGCCATTTTGCAATTAACGTCCCCTTGGATAATTAATAGTGGGTCGCGTCGCGACTTTCGAAGACGCGTCCGGCAAACCTACCGAAATCTGCAACTTGAACTCGCCTCAATTTCCCCACGGACATTCCAATCATTTTTCCGCCGGCATGTAGATTCCACCCGGAAGATTCTTTCTTATCACTTCATTTCTTGGCTCTGTGAGTCCCGCTTGGTTCGTGGCACAGCGTTCTACCCTCGTACTAGTATTGTCTAGATAGATATGCACTATGCATGCTTTCAAATCTCTATATTTTGCTGCACCGCGCGTCCCTCTCCGTAAATCGTCCTATGCTGTGATTTTTGCAATCCAGTAGATAAGTCAAGAAACAGTGAATGTGAGAGGTATTCTTGTGCTCGCACTAGAGGTGCCTACTAAGCATTGACGTTCCGATGAATTCGAGTTTGCAAAGCCAGGACGGTTCTTGCTACATACTCACTAGAGGTTAAGATACGGTCCTGATTTTGCTCTCTGTGGTATCCGGGGTCTTGATTAGAATATTTGAATCGTTTAAATAAATACAGGAAGTCTAAATTGACTCTGAACTTTGGAGGTCAGGGGTGGTCGCGAAACCCCCTTGTGGTTTTCCTGGGCTAGGATTAGCACCAGATACATATATATACAAGAGTGCATGATTTTATTATTTTTGGTAAACATAAAAATTATCAATCTAAATCAAATAAGGGTGAGTTCAACGATATATATAGAATTTCAGAGCCAATTGAAGTGATTGATAAAACCCTAGACTGGTTTTGAGGTCTGGGGAGGTAGAAATGGTAGTTGATAGAATGAAGTTGGTGGTATTGGAAGGAGTGGAATATAAAGCAATAAAGTCGACAGCAGACATCAACCACCCCAAGTGGTCGAGCAGTAACTCGACTATTTCATCTTCCTTGGTCTAGTGGTCATGATTTCCGCTTGTCATTAACACCGATAAGCGCGGGAGACCGGGGTTCGATTCCCCGAGGGAGAGTTTCTTTTTGCTCCCTGCTCTTTTTTGGCACTCAGCAGGTAGGTATGCAATATAGGTAGGACTCATGTTTATTGGGCTGGATAGACCCTGGAAGTTAAGGTTGATGTCTTTTTTTTTCTTTGTTCTGATATAGGGCTGACGCAACTACCCGCGAATACTGCTCCAGCGTTGTTTGTTGAACCCCAGAGTAAGCATTGAACTTGAACCATTTGAAGAATCCAAGATACTATTCTCCAGATTTATAGTATAGTACTAGACAGTCGACCAATTTCATCCAATGGGTCATGACAGGATAAATACACTTAGAGTCCAATGCATACAAATGGGATAAAATACTACTAGTATGTAGTACCCCAGGTACCGTTGACCTCACCTTCCCAAACGGGGTACCACGCCTTCCTACCCGAACAAACATTTGCAGGTGAAAGCACCTCACAGACCTACGATCGATACCCTGCATCTTCTTGACCCTTGAACATCCCATCTCCAAAACCATTACTTCCCTCGAACCTCTTTTCGCTTTCACATTCAGCACATCCTCCCGACCTGGCGTGCAGCCACAATGCAATTCTGGGTTGGCTGGGAACTATGGGAGAAATTGAGTGTGGTATGTCGAAAGAAGGCGGTCTTACTATGCCATGGGCGCGATAGCTGACCAGCACTCACACCCTAGGTTCTCATCTTTTTGATCGTACGACATCGCAAGCATGACTGATATGAAAGCATTTCTGACCGATATTCCAGGCACTCGTCCTCGTATACGCCTACTGTTCCCTCGTCTACACCAGGTGGAAAATGCGGAGATATGCAGCCATCGAGGCGCGCCAAAAAGAAGAGGACGCTGAGCTATTCCCGATGCTAAAGAGAGACGATATACCCTTTGGTGCGAGGGCCCTGGAGAGAGGTATCCAGATCGAGGGCATTTGGATTTCAAACCCCAACACTCCGGTCCAGTCCCCGCAATTACCAGGGACGCCCTTTGAGACTCTACCACCTAGCCCAGCCGGAAGACCATTCATGCTTCCTTCGCCAAGCTCAACTTCGTCGTCGATAGCTCTTGACTGTGTCCCAACGAGCCAGAGCCTCCCGACACATCGCTCGTCTCCACCCCAGTCACTTCGGCCAGTATACCAAGCATATCACCCGGAAATTGACATTGTCACCGCAAACAAATACACATACGAGCCCCAGAGACCCGGCGGTATCTACTCACCTGTGATAACATCCCAGATACCCGAGTCGCCTAGCAGACATAGCAGGTTCCAACGAAGAAGCGAGATCCTACCGAGCGTCGAAACAAGTCGATTCCAGCGCCGAACCGAAGTGCCTCCAGTTATTCCCAGCAGCGAAAAGCGCGCGAGTTTTCACACCCGAATCAAACGAGCAAGTCATATCTTCGAGAAGAGTCCTTCTGTTGGGGTCACCGAGCATGAGAGAACAGAGTTGGGTCCAACGAGCAATGGTTCTGGTTCGCAACCGGACGAGTCCCATCGGGCTTCTCGGATAACCCGTAAGTCTCTTGTTCTCCAGCCATTACCCTCAAACCCTTCTGAAGAGCCCCAACCCCAATACCAACACGGTCGACAGGGGTTATTCGTCGCCGTTCCTCCGAAGAGTTTAGACGCAGAATGAGCGAGATCTTCAACGAACGAATCCGCATGAACGTGTCACTTGACGAGTTTCAGTCAAATCCAAGTCTGCGCGACCAGCGGCGAAAGAGAGGATCGATTCTATGGCCCTTCCAATCCGAGGACTCGACTTCTTCGTGAAAACTATTCGGTTTGTTGGGAAACATCATAGCGGAAAGTGGTGGCTCTTCTCTTGAAGCTAGTGAGAATGATGAACGGGAATTACATACATGATTCCTCGGTAGTTGTGGTCATCAGTTTTCTTTGGGATAAGGCTTGATCATATCGTAACTTTGTAAGGAGGGATGGGACTTTTGATATTCCAGTGTATGCCAGATAAAATGTATTTTTACATGTTCAGCGATACAGAAGATGAATCGATCACATCTGTCACCAAACACAAGCACCAGCACAAACACCGAGGATACTGAATATTCTTTTGACGAGAACCTTCCATTGGTAAGTGACACTAAGTATTAGGCAGTTCCTCAGCAGTGGCTGCCTGCCTGGTGTGGTTCACGTGACCGCGCGACAGCCTCGACGCGTCCAACAGGAAACTCAATCCGGACAGCCTCAAAGGCGATTGCCAAAGAGTCGCCACAAACAAACACAAAGCTCAGACATCGTGAGTGGCTGCCTGGTGACTCACACTGCCTTGACTAACAACATTCTTTCGTCTTGATCCAGAGAGACACTGAACAATCCAGGAACCAACCACTTATGCCCTCGTTCCTGACGCGTGCTCCTCCCCGTGTTGAACCTATCTGGAAAAAGACCACCAATAGCCTGGACTTGATCTCGATAGAATCACGAGGATTCCTGAAACAATGACGACCGAGCAAGAGCCACAAGGTGATTATGCCGAGGATGGACTTCCAGGTCCTGGTGCGCCAACCCCGCTATCCGCACTTGAGGTGAGTTATAGCCACAGGTAGAGGCAGAGGCAGAGGCAGGGGCAAAGGCAGAGGCAAACTGTCTGGTGAAGAACCTTGACTGACTCCAAATGAATTGTTAGGGAACCGCCGGCTTGACTGCGAGAGATATCAAGCTGTTTGTCGATGCGGGCTACCACACCGTCGAATCGGTTGCTTATACGTTCGTCAATTATGATGCACACAAGTCCTTATCCTCGATTGCAAAGAGCTGACACAATGGGTCATACTCTAGACCGAAACGATTACTGGAGCAGATCAAGGGAATTTCAGAACAGAAGGCGACAAAAGTTCTGGTTGAGGGTGAGTGATCCGAATCGCTGCACGATGCATGCTCTTGTGAATTGCAAGATTATCCCAGACTAACGGCTCCTTGCTGGATAGCCGCGAGACTTGTCCCGATGGGCTTTACAACGGCCACCGAAATGCACGCAAAGAGAAGTGAACTCATCTCCATAACCACCGGATCCAAACGACTCGACACCCTGCTCGGGGGTGGAATCGAAACGGGCTCGATCACAGAAGTATTCGGAGAGTTCCGTACAGGAAAGAGTCAGATCTGTCACACCTTGGCCGTAACATGCCAACTTCCCTTTGATATGGGCGGCGGAGAAGGAAAATGTCTCTACATCGACACGGAGGGAACCTTTCGACCCGTCCGTCTCCTCGCCGTAGCCCAGCGTTTCGGACTCGTGGGCGAGGAAGTCCTCGACAACGTCGCATACGCACGAGCATACAACTCCGACCACCAGCTCCAACTGCTCAACCAAGCGTCACAGATGATGTGTGAGACGCGCTTCTCGCTTCTCATCGTCGACTCCGCGACCGCACTGTACCGAACCGATTTCAATGGTCGTGGCGAGCTCTCGTCCCGACAGACCCATCTGGCCAAGTTCCTCCGCACTTTGCAGCGTCTGGCTGATGAGTTTGGCGTTGCCGTTGTGATTTCCAACCAGGTTGTTGCTCAGGTTGATGGTGGACCTAGCGCTATGTTCAATCCGGACCCGAAGAAACCTATTGGTGGTAATATCATTGCGCATGCTAGTACGACTCGACTCAGCCTGAAGAAGGGCCGTGGTGAGACTCGAATTTGCAAGATTTATGACAGCCCTTGTTTGCCCGAGAGTGATTGCCTGTTTGCGATCAATGAGGATGGTATTGGAGATCCCAACGAGAAGGATATGGAGGATTAAGCCTTTGGTTTGGCTGTTGTCTTTCTTTGTGATACGATATGATTTTAGTGACTTTACGAGCCTGAACTGAACTGAAGCCATCAATAGCCCTTGTATTTAGCTAGATTCGGGTGTTAGTACTATGTGGCCCAACTTGGATATTTCTAGCATAATCACGATATTCTTCTAGAGTGCAGAAAAATGGAGTAAAATAGGGTTGTAAAATAAATAAAAGGAGTCAGAAGAATAGAATCAGTGAAATATCACTTACCTGTAAGCAAAAATCAACAAATGCAGAGTACTTAGTACTCTACTTAGTACTGGTAACGCTGTGTGATTGCACAAGGGCGCCAAGACTTTGTTTTCTCAAGCTTCCCTGCCCCGTCCAGCTTTCCCTTCCGCCTCCGCCCTGCAATCACAACTCTTTCTGCCCTCCAGCCATGGAAGTCTGAGCTTCGACGTGCTGGCTTTTATGATCTATGATCATGGCGAAAATTTACAAGGATACCCGAGTCGACCTCCGGCCTTTCTCACCGGCAACTGTCGCCAACATCCAAGTCTCCCCCTCCGACAGCGCGTTCCGCCGACCTCGATTTGCCATCTCTGCTGCCCCCGACAACGACGTTCCAATCGCGAAGGATGAGGATGAATTCGCTAGGAGATACCTTGCCACCCAGGGTGCTGTCTATTTTCGCAAGCGCAGGACATACCCGAGGACGTTCCTGTGGCGGGTCGTCAACGATAACAAGGTGCTAGAAATTCAATGCGCCGACCTGGCGAAGAGCGGCACTGAACATTTTGAATTCAATGTCACTCTGCGACTCAATTTCCAGGAACAGATTCTTCCTTCGGGCGTTGCCCTCGCCGACTCCGAAGATCATGAAGTTCTCAATGTCTTCGTGATCACGACCTCAAAACAACTTCATACCTTGGCTCTTCGCCCTGAATTCTTCCGCAGATCAGCTTCAGTCGATGAGAATGTGGCCGATTGGTGCAAGACTTGTATTCCGGCACCGCTATCCTTCTCGCATCCCCATCGACTACACGCAAGCAGCCCGCTGGAGCTGTTCATCTCGCTCGATAACGGCGCGCTTCTGCGATTGACCCGCCGAGCTGGTGATGACGGTAAGCCCTTGATGAAATTCTTGTCGCCAAGTTGCTCGGGAAACTAACAGCTTGGATTTGGATAGGCTCACACTGGACTCCTCTGACCTTCGATGAACGGACGTGGGGTGCTTCGATTCGAGGCCTCGTTAAGTGGAATGCACCATCTTCCATCAAGCACAACGGACGCAGCCTCGACCCCAATGCCGCCAATGCCATCGCTACGACATCCGACGAGACATACGTTTTCGCCATCTGCCTCAACCACACTCTCAAGATCTGGAATCTTGCCACAAACAAGCTTGCCGCATCGCAGGATCTTCTCGGTCGCCCAATGGACCCCGATACCGTTCCCTATACCCTGAACCCCGCCGAAACCTCCTTCATTCGTGTATTCAACGCCGAGAGAGCTATGGATGGAGGGCATCGCTTCTACGTGATTACATATTCTCCCTTCGAAGATGGGCGTTTCAAGTTCTGGGCTGTCAAGGGCGGTCTGACCTCTGAGCTTGTTATTGAGGACATTTACGCGGACACTGTCTTTAGACCCGTGGATCCAGATGTAACGGGCAACATGTTCTGGAGCATCGCGGACTTCCAAGTCAAGCCGGTGGAGGAAGGGAGGGGAATGGAGTTGTGGGTGTTGTGGAGAAACCACGGCCTCTACCAGCTATACACACTTCATTTTGACCTTCAGACTTTGCCTTCAGACTGGAGTACCAACTGGGTTTCCACAGCATATGAGACACACCGACAGGAACCTTTGCCATTGCCGACACTTGATGATGTGGTTGACCCCACCGAGAGGTGGCTTGCATACATCTTGCACCCGAATCGATATCTCCCCGAAGTTTTGGAGACTGCTCTCGCTGTATACCAAGAAGCTCTCAAGCCTTTGTCTTCATCATCATCCGGTGTTTTGAAGAAGGATGTTGCGTTACCGGAGCGCCTCTGTTCTACCATCGCAGCAACTGTATCCCTCCGCAAGTATACAGATGATGAGATGGACTACTTTCTCGGTTCCGCATGGACACAGATGCTAAGTGGCGTCAATTCTGGCAAGTCGCCGAGGACCTCAACAAGCGCCGATTTGAACCGGTCTCCCTCGGCTTCGACTCTTTCTTCGATATGCCTTGGCTGGTCCTGTCAGATTCCTGTGCTGTGATTCGCGAATGCAGCACCACTGAACTGCTTTTCCACAATTCGGCATCGGAGCTCAGCGAGGAATCACCAAAAATTGTGGATCGCCTTAGACATCGAAATATCACTTCCGAGCTTGGAAACCTTTACGAGGAGGCATCATCGTTGATGAAGATTGCTTCGGATTTCAGGAAGCGGTTCTCTGCTGAGCTCGATGCGGCCTGCCGCGCTGCTCTGGATACAGAGCTCTTCAACGAGCCATCATCATCAATCGCCGACCGCATGGATAGTTTTAGGGAACGTTGTGAGTTTGGCGAACGAATTTCCAACAAGACCTTCGATGGCTTAGTCGCGGCTTTGAATGAGTACTTTGATGCCGAAAACCTGCCAACCGGTGTCTTCGACGCCATAATTGATACGCTTCCTCTTGGATTCAAGGGAGAGGATTCGAATCTCCTGACAACATACTTCGGTGGCAGACTGGCTGTCAGCGGTGCCCTTGAGGCGATCACCCAAAATCGCCAAATTCTCTACGACTTGTTAATTTTGGTCACTTTTGTGGATTCCGAGCTTGAGCAGGGAGCAAAGTCCACATTTGATGCTGCCAGGTTGTTCTCCACCATCATTGACCTCCTTCACGAATACGAAATGATGTACTGGCTCAGCTCTAATGTCCGAAAATGCACCGATCGTATCAACGCAGTCACTGGAGAGCAATCTGTCTTTTCACTGAAGGACAACCAATCGAAAAAGTCCCAGCGAACAGCCACCATTCTTGAAGACCTTTTCGTTTCAGACATCAAACCTCGTCCACCTGTCGACCGACCACAAAGCTATACTTTGACCTTGGGAATCCGGGATCTCCTGGCTTGGATAACCCGGCAAGGTCAAGTGGCGTACCCCAACGCATTGACTCATATCCAGTGCGACCTTATTGCTAAGAACGATATCGATCTCGCATGGGACTTCCTACGTTTCCAGCCCAGCACCTCCTGGGCAACCTACGTCAAGGGTCGCCTGTATGTTGCGATGTCTGAGTTTGACACCGCAGCTATATTCTTCCGGAAGTCGGCGTACCTCCTTTGTAAGTTTCCTCTTGATTGGACATGGGAAAAAAAAGGAAATTATTAAACAAGCAACTAACTTCCGCTGCAGCTCATGGTAAAGCTTTGGGTAACCTGCACGAAATGTCGGCTACCCTCCTGGACCTCGTATCCGTGAACTGTTTCTACAACGGTATTCCGAGATACTACCAGCATATCCTTTCTATTTTCGAGCAGGCTAGATCCTTTTCGCATGTCGCGGATTTTGCTGCCTTGGCCCTACAAGCTCTCGATTCCCAGGCATGGGCCGAACAAGATCCGGAATACAGCAGCATGCGATCGGATCTACTTTCGCGGCTCTTCCACGCTTCCCTGCGGACTTGCCAATTCGACCAGGCTTACTCCGCCTTGGCTCGCTACCAGGATCTTGCACTACAGAGATCCGCGCTCAGCTCCCTCGTCTCTACCATCTTCTCTGTCTGCGGACCAGGCACCGCTGGTCTCCAGCAAATCCTCCGCTTCCCCGTCTCTCTCGTTCCAAACATCGCCTCACACATCGACGAGATCCTTGTCTCCCTCTCTCGGAAACAAGGCAATTTCTCCTCCTGGCTGGACAGAGACAACAAGGACGCCGACGGTTCGCCAGACTACCACCGCGTACTACAGGCATACCGCATTGCCCGCAATGACTACCGCGGCGCAGCAGAAATCGCCTACCGCAACGTACAGCGCCTCCGTCAAGCAAGAGATACCCCGTCTTCCACCCTCGCCCATCGAAACAAGAAGGAAGCCGAGGAAGCCGGCGTTCCAGAAGACGACACCGAGAGCAAGGAAATCCGCCACGAACTCCTGTCACTAATCAACCTGCTCGCATCCGTCGACAAGAGCGAAGCATATATCCTAGTTGAGACCGGTCCCGTCGCATCACCCGCCACGGCGAAGCCCCAACAAAACCACCGCGGCTCGCACGATGATGACGGAAACGTCTTCATGGAAGACGCAGACGTAGGTGGCACACCTACATTTTCCGCCCGTCGCAGGTCCTCTGCCAGCAACGCCTCATTCACATCCGCCGGTCGCCGAGGTAGTCTATCGTCGAACGGCAGAGGACATGGCAGTGTCTCCGCCAAACCAGTTATAGAAGCTCCTCAAGAACGCGTCATTGTCACACTTGAGCATCTGCGACGCGAATACCAGTCTGAACTGGATCGTATTAGTCGGATTGAGCGTGGGGACTGGGAATTCGGTCTTTTGGGGGATGGGGAAGGGGAAGGGGAGGGTTTCGATAATGATGAAACAATGGTTCTGTCTTAGGGTGGTAGAATTATTCGATCTTCTGATCGGAGTCGGAGTCGGAGTCTGATCTGATCTGATCTCATCTGGTTTGGGCTTGGTAGTTAGATGTATGTGGTCGGACCTTATGTCTGTTTTATTACTTTTTTTTTCCCTCTCATTTTTTTATGTGTAGCTGAAAGTTGTCATTGATGGAGTTAAGCATCTTGCTGAGATAAATTCTCTTGTTTCTTTATTTCTTCTAGGGTTCATAGGGTAGTTTTTGTCTTTGGGTGGTGCGAATAGGATGAATGGTTGTGTTTGAGTGATTTCAAATTTCCATTATTAAACCAAGACTTCGGGGTGCATCGCATCGAGAGATTCCTAACGTCAAACTTCCTATCAAAGAGGAGTAGGTAAAATTATTGATAGCTTCAAGGGTCATCGAACGCCCGAGGAAGCATTCCAAGGTTCCAAGGTTCCAAGGTTCCAAGGTTCAAACCTTGAAATTTCAGCCCTGGAGCCTGGAGTAGGTTTCCTCCAGATGGATCTAGCTTTAGAATTAATCAAATTAAACCTTGGAGTCTGGCTCGATGTTTTCCAAGGTTCCTAGGTATGATGGTACCAACCTTCAATTTCAAGCTGGAAGATATCCATAGTAGGTTGTGATATAGGTAACTATACCTACCTAGGTGAACATAGATATATAGTAACAACTAGTTATCTGTTGAATCGAACTTGAACTTGATTTATACTAGTAATCGTACACCTCAGCGAAGAAGCAAAAAATGCCAGGACTGCTAGTCGTATTTAAGCTCATGGGGCAAAGCAAATAAAGTCAATCGTACATCGCAAACGATTATGATGCACATCATGCTCTATACTGGGACTCGAAGTATTCGCGATCCCAGGATGCCAGTGTTCTGGAGTCAATGCTTGGCGCATGATTCAGGCGCTTCGAAAGTTCTCGTCAGACTACTAGTATCATCTCAGAATCGCTACTCTTATATTTGAGGAGCAAAAAATTAAAGGAGAGAGTGATATTCAATATAAATGCATTGATTGATATCCAAGACAATCCGCTAGATGATCATTAAGAGTAAGAGTAGGCAAACAAAGTCGCCTCTATAAACAGTCCACCCCAATTCTGCCCGAGCGTTTAACTCCATTTTCAGAGTTCCAAAAAAGCTAAGGAGAGTGATGTTGCAACCAGACCATAAAACAAGTGATAGTGAAAGAGAGTCAAGAAAGGCATAAAAATCGTACCATGAGAAGAAGAAAAAAAGAAAATACAAAAGCGCCTGGTAACCAAATTCAAATATGTTGTGAGGGCATTGGAGTTCGATATGTACCGCATGCCAAACGGAAAGCGAGAGAGAAAAAAAAAATCATCCGAAGAAAAAAGGTTCGCACGCCGATTGGGACGGAGGCGAAGGCTCAATCTGTGCAGTGCCATGAGAGAAACAACTCATCACAAGAATTACAAGAAAGGGGTAAGTGTCGTGTCATGAACGGCCTCTTCAGTCCGTGTCCTCGGTGGCCATGGAGTTCGAGTAGAGTTTACTGAAGTGAGACTTGGGCTCTGTGAGGAGGGCGTACGGCTCCCCTGTCTCGACGATTTGACCTGCGTCCAGCACCACGACACGGTCATAGTCGAGAATAGTCTCAAGCTTGTGCGCCACCGAGATGATGGTGTGGGTGCAGAACTTCTCGCGGATGACGCGTTGCATGATTTCGTCGGTCTTGGTGTCAATGCTGTTTTGGTTCGAGGTTAGCAAGTGTCCTTTTTTATTTGGTGTTTGTCTTGGATGGTTTCCCGATGGATTTGCGGTAGCATGCAAGGGGTTTGGGGAGTTGATTAGTTGGCGCGAAGCCAACCGACCGATCCGAGCGTGTTGTGGCGTCCGGATGAGGCCGCATATGCAGGGGGGGATGACAGGTGCGTCAGACGCGTGGAGACAGGGAATCAAACGGAAAAGGGCCAAAAGTCGAGAAAATGATGGACCAAAAAAGGAATTGAATGATAAGAGACAACAGGTGGAGCTGTGGATGCGAGGGTTGTAAAGTCAGGGGGTAGAAACAATAATTCGGGTACTCACTTGCTGGTTGCCTCGTCGAGGATGAGGATGTTGCCCTGCCGGAGAAGAGCGCGTGCAAGACAGAAGAGCTGTCGTTGACCATGAGACAGGTGGATCTCGTCGATGTCGGTGTCGAGATCCCCCTTTTCTTGGATGGCTGGGAGGAGCTGTACGCTTCGCAAAGCGTTCAGGATGTTCCTGTCTGTGCAGACTCCTGTTGGGTCGGCATTGGTCCGGACACTTCCCTTGAAGAGAAGTGAGTCTTGTGAGACTCCATTGATGCGAGAACGGATTTCCCGTCTTGGTAGGCGGGTTATATCGACGCCATCCACCGTGATGGTTCCACCGGTCAGCTCAATCATGCGGAAGATGCTCATAATCATTGACGTTTTCCCACTGTAACCATGTTAGATCGGACTAGCCTATACCAAAATATGATGATGATGATGATGATGATGATGTTGCCTACCTGCCAGTTCGGCCGCAGATGCCGACCTTCTCACCTGCTTTCACAGATAAGGAAACTCCACTGAGCACTGGCTCAGAGGGCCTAGATGGGATCTGTTAGAATGTAGTTCAAGGTGGAATTCAGTGCAAGGATTGATACCTGTAGGCAGCGGAAACCGAGTGGAAGGTAACGGCGCCATTTGAAGGCCAGTTGGGAGGGATTTCGCCGTCTTCACCAGGCTTGTCTTCCGATTCGACGCCCTGGCTGAATTCCTTCACGCGCAGGATAGAGCCAATATGGGTCTCCAGATTAGTCCAGAAAGTAACCATAAGCTTGATACTTTGGCTGAACTGGATGACGTTGAGTAGGGCAACACCGACAGAGCCGGCACCCAGGTTTGTCCCACGAAGGGCTACAACCAGAATGATCAGGAGGACTGCGATACCAGCGACAATCAGATCAAGTGACAGAGTCAACCAACGCTGAATGGCGAACATGTAGTAGAAAGGTCTCTGAGAGTAGTCCAGAAGCTCGATATTCTTCTTTTCCATTCCGTGTTGCCAGCCGAAGGCTCGTAGCGTAACCAATCCTTGGAGACAATCGGTGAAGTGAGAATAAAGAGGGGCCTTTGCCTCAAGATCCAGGAAACGGATTTGACGTGAAGTGCGCAAATACATCTTCTGCACGAGGAACAAGACACCAAGCACGAAGGGAAACGAGATAGCTGCGTACTTAGAGCCAACCCCGATCAGTGCCATCTGAGCTAGGCAGAGGAAAAATGTGACGACGGTGTTAATTGCGGCAATGGGGAGCTCCATATCAATGAGCTGTAAATCTTGACTAAAACGGTTAAGAATGTTACCGCTGTCAGTTGCGGAAAAGAAGAGCATGGGAGCACTGAGAACCGTGGATAGGAGCCTGCGGTGGAAGCTCTCCCCAGACTTAGGCACCATAGTGATAATCATCTGCCAGCAGCCAGCGATGAGGGCCAGCATAGCGATACAGCCGAGCATCACGTAGATACCAAGATAGTGACCGATATGCTTCTTTGGCTCGTCCATCTCTGCAAGAGCCCACCACTTCAACCAAATACTGGGAAATGAAATACAGAAGACAAACCCAGCCATGGAAACACCGAATATGATAGCAGGGAGCCAGCCGATCGCGTTGATGTAATAGGTGTAGATGGAGAGGTCACCGCCCATATCACGTTCAATCGGTTCAGGTTCTAGGTCTTCCTTCTCCTTCTCAATCGAGTCAATGGTGCTGTAGCTTGGTGAGGCAGAGAAGCGCTTGGGCTTGTAGTCCCAGTCTGGAGTACCGAGGCCAAAGCTTGCGACGTAGCCACCGGTCTTGTTGAGAGCACTGAAAGGTCCTTGTTCAGCGATGCGACCGGACGATTCCAATACGACAATGTGGTCAGCGTATGGTAGGCGTTTCACAGCAGAGGAGGAAACAATTATAGAGGTTCCAATCTCCCTGAGAAGTCCAAGGTCACCAAAGAGGCTGTGAAAGATGTGGTTCTCAGTAGTGGCATCCAATCCACTCAAAGCATCGTCCAAGATGATGATCTTGCGCCTAGCGTAGACAGCACGAGCAAGAGAGATGCGCTGGCTCTGGCCACCACTGAGTGCAATACCCTTGCTGCCGATAACACTGCGATCACCGCGAGGGAACTGACCAAGGTCCTCCTCCAAGGCACATGCTTGGATGACAGAGGCATACCACTTAGGGTCGTAGTCGGACATGGCAACAATGCTGTCCTTGATTGTACCGTTCATGTGCCACGGTGTCTGATCACAGAATGCCACGCTTGCCGAGTTCAGCTCAACCTTACCCTGAACCGGGGAGATTTCTCCCAGAAGGGCCTTGAGTAGAGTCGATTTACCGCATCCAGATGGTCCAATCAGCATGGTAAAGCTGCCACGAGGCACAGTGAGTGTGATGTCCTTCAGGAGAGCCTCCTTGTCGGCCTCCCATGCGAATGTGCCATTTTGAATTATGGCAGCATTGGTCGAGGTGCTGGAGGTAGAGCCACGCTTCAGCGATTCCACAGAGGCGGAGTTGCTAGAGGCCAAGTCAAAATCGCCAGACTTAGAGAGAAGCTTTGCCTCGCCAAGATCTTCTAGCGAAGGCATCTGGGGAGTGTTGAGTCGCTTGTCCGAGTGGTCCTCTTTATCCAAAAATTCTTGGATACGGGCGAAGGAACCGACCGCGCCAAAGAAAGACATCAGGGCCATGACGAGGGTGAGAAGGGGATCAGACAGAAGTGAGAACAGCGATAGTGATGTGAAGACTTTAGTTACGTCCAGAGTCTGGTCGGAGATGGCGACATAAACACCGAAGGTAAAGATCGGGGCGAAGATACGAGTCATCCATGCAAAACCCATGTTCCAGACGAGCAGGGTACGGAATTTCTTGGAGATGTTCAACTCATCAATGCGAAGACCGTGCACGAAATTCATAAGAGTGTTTTGAAGTCCGAGCATCTTCACTCCCTTAATAGATCCTAGCATGGTAGATGTGCAAGCAATACGCCTTTCAATAGCTTCGAGCCATTGAGCCTGTCGAGGAACGACAAAAGACATCATGATAAATGATCCAATAAGTGCGACGAGAGCAACACAAACTGGGACCACGCAGGAAATTCCCAGTTGAATCTCGAGCAGATATACTGCTAGAGCAATTTCAATTCCATTGGCCCAGATCTCATGCATCGTTTGCCATCCTTGAGTAATTCGCTCAACATCAGCGCTCATCAGTGTCAGAGAATTGGCCGAGCCGGCCTCGTTCAAACTCAGACAGCTGGCTTTCTTGTATAGCATGGTGACAAGAATTCCTCGCACCATGGTGATACCCCGGTAAGTGTTGTGCTGGTACTGGCCCATTGCGACCGCCAAACCAGTGTAGACGAGAATGTAAGCGCCAATGAGTCCATAGCCGACGTTATTGGTGGCACTGTTAACAGGCTCACTGAAATAGGAAATCGATCGTGTCAGGAGCAGAGGCTGGCAGACATTGAAGGCCACGACACATGCCCTGGCGGGTATGGCGGCGAGAAGAGGGGCCTTGGTGGCCTTGAATGACTCGAATTGCAGTGTGTTTGCAGACTTGGATTTCACTAGAGGGACTGTTAGTAACGCTCTTGAAATATTGAACACAATTCAATATACCTTTGCTCCATCGCTCCTCGAATAACGCCAGTAGTCGTTCGGAACTGAGTTCCTTGTCCAGAACAGAGAGATCTTCGACGGATAGAATGTTGCTGAAACCATTCTTAAATAGAGGGTTTAACCACCAGAAGGTTGCTTTGTTGTACAGGCCAGCAGTGGCTTCCGGCGGGTAGTCGGCGAACTCATGTTTCAAGATATTCCGCTTCTCAATGGCTTCGAGAAACGCCAGGAGAAGTTTTGCACCGAGGGAAACAGTAGTGACAATTGCAATCCCATCATTAAAGCTGTTGGTTGAACGCAGCCAGAGAGTTCTGACTTTTGCGATATCGAAAAGGAGGCTGACAAGCAGGTAGGCGTTCAGAATGAGAGATGGTTTGACAGAGCGCGTGTGTTCCGTGTAGGACAGCAGAACGAGGAAAAGAGCCCCAACCGCCAAAACAGCATTGGTCGCTATCGAAGCTTTCGTTCCATCGGCAGAGGGAAGGGCCCAGAGGGCAGTCAGGGCGATTTGAAGTCCAGTAAAGAATACCCAGGCAGTCTGGAATTGAAAGGAAAGTTTTTTCGGTTAGATAAATGGTATGCGGATATGGGACATGGTATTGAATGACAATTAGTTCCAGGGGATAGACAAGACCACTAACCAATTTAAAGAGAAAGAGCGACGACCCTTCAACTTTGCGGCGTTTTTGTGCAAGCTGCGCAAGACGAAAGGGAACCAGAATTAAGATTAGAGCAATAGGGAGGATACCAAGAATGGTTTCTTCAAAAAGGAGAGAGAAGTCGAAGCCTCCGCGGCACGAACCAGCATCAATACGGAAAGTATTGTCCAGATCGTGACACGAAGGTCCTGATGAGCTCGAAGATGCCATGACTACTCTTCAGGAACCATCCAAAGGTGTCGGAAAGATGGATTGAAGAGAGTGTCGAGGAGCGGAAGCACCACGAGTCGAGTGGCTTGACAGGTCAGAGAGAGTGGGAGAAAGTCACGACATGGAAGTAAGACTAAGGTGGGAAATAAAGCGGCGAGTTGGTGGTCTTTTGGTCTAGATTTGATTCATCCAAAATGCGGCTTTCAAAATGTTCCCCTCTAGGACGCATCCCTCGGCACAGGAGTTTACTACACTGGATCCAGGAGTACTTCACTCCTGAGCTCCTATACTGGGTCCCTGCAACCGAGTGGGCTTCTGATGCAACCCTCTTACAATGTCATTACTGACAATGCCCTATGAACACATTGTCGCATACAGTAGTCTCATCGTTAGCAGAAAATTACGGCCCTACGGGCAAAAATTTTAATCTTTTAATCCATTCTATTCCTTGTAATCGCGTGTACATGCTCGCAAGCTAAATTTTTATTTTACTTTTACTTTTGACTTTTTATTTTCATTTACTTGAGAAGGATACTTCTCTTTCATGCAAAATGACCAAATGACTCAATTCATATCTAGGGTAAGCTTGCTAATTTCCCTTGTTATTTTTTTCTGGTTATTATTTTCGGATTTCCTCCTTGGGGATGTGGGGGACGCAGAGGCGTCAATAGAGCTTTGCCCCTCGAGTCAAATGGGCAACACGACAGTTCTCAGACAGCGAGATCGTCCGACCAACACGAGGGAGAGTCGGCGGCCTTGCCTTGCAGGAAGAATTGCGACCAATATCTGATCTGTATTCTTTCGAAGTAAAATTTAGGGACTCTCCTTCGGGCCAAGTCCACTGCCGAGCGCAATAAAACTTACCTTCATGCGAGGGCTCTTCCACTTGTATGATGTATGCCCTAGGCCTATGCTTTGGGCGATCCCGCCCACACTAACCGCTTTGGTAAATTTCCTGGTTTTATTTTTCTTATTTTTTACTCTGCTCTTTTTGGATCTGCTTTCTTCCCGCCCTACAGTTGGCCAACTGAGACACTGCAGCAGTCTTTGTGAACCTTCCTTGACCGCATAGAAGCGAAGCTGAAGTCAGACAGGATGCTGCCCAAGGCCATGGGCCTCGCCGTACTCCCGGCGACTCGGTGTAGATGCGAGTTATGTATCAGGTGTATCCTTTGCGTCGGAAAAGCCTCAGCTCGGGTAACTCGCAGATATTAATTGGGGGCAATATACACGCTATTCTGAAGGTTCTGTTCTTTGCCGTGTATATGCTGGGGCAAGCTCCTTCCACATACTCGTAGACTCATCTGGCCCGCGAGTTGCAGGTTTGGCTACTCGGCGGGACACACCTCCATCAATTGTCTGCTGTAGAGGTTCAATTTGGCCCATTCTACTCCGTATTGCGCATGTAACCTTCTCGGATAGCCCCCGCTCAGATCCACATATCGCCTCCACCAGATGGGGCCGGGGTTTGCTTTTCTCTACGTACCCGCAGAAGAACTAGAAGCCGGGTCAAACCCGGCACTATTTTTGGCGATGGGTGAAAAGATCAAGTCCAATCGTTCCGGCTTGCTAGTCGGCCATCCAGGAACTGCTCTAGCCATACCTGCTTCGGACGAGACCGTCGGGTCAAATTCAACCTCAGCGATTTTAATCGTGACCGGCATGGCGAGACACCGCGCATGCGAGACGGCCATGCGTGGAGTCCATGTCACCTAATTTTGTTGCATACCCAGGGTCCCGTACCTCACAGACTAAGAGCCTTACGGTTGCTGTAGGCAGTGAGGCGTCTGTCAATTGACTGGGATGGATCCTGTTTTGAATCGACGGCATGGTTGATGGGTGGCAAGACACGAAGCAGTGGATACATGGTACTTTCTACCCCAGAGACCCATTGTGAAGGTGAGCGTTGGGGGGAATGGATAAAACTAGTAATGCATTGGAGAATACGGAGTAGTAATTACAAATCCTCTTTCATGCGCATAGCTTTTGCAGGTTGGAAGCTGCCAGTCCCGTCAGTTTGGGCTGACATGTACCAAGCACTGAGATACTATATATTTCCACTCAGAGTCCGCTCAGATAAACATCAATATCGCCGCTGCTAGTACTCCGCCAACGGGAAGATCTGATCGATCTGATTTAGACCTGTCACTATGGGAGGCCTAGCGGGATTAGCACCATGGTCTGTGTTCTCATGTACCTATCGTATGTGCTGTGGTTGCGGACCCCAACTGATGCGGGCGCTACAAGTTTAGCGCGGGTTTAGTTATCCTCTAGAGGACCCGTATGGCTTCTTGGGTTTCGCTGAATGGCTCTGCCACCATCAGATTCACCACTAACAGCCACTAACAGCCACTAACAGCCACTAACAGCCACTAACAGCCACTAACAGCCACTAACCAAGGCATCACTGGCTGCCCCCCCCAGTTCCCGTTCGCCTAGCCCTTTAGCACGCTCCGTGTGGAACCCCATCCGACGTGGCCCAGGTCCTCATCGGCTGTCAACCCAAAATGAGCGGCCGGTAGCTAATGCCGGACAAGGATTTGCAAGCCTCTAATTCACCTAGTGGGTAGGAGGTTGACGCCTCGACGCCTCCCCGAATGATCGACCGTAGACCTTCTTGAATTTGATATGTTTGCCACGACGATCTTACGAAGAAGGGCCTAGAGTAGAAAAATGTAGCGAAAGATGGGGAAGTACCTACTGTGGGTAGCTAGAAAAACAGGATTCGGAAAAGAAAAAGGAATTATGGGCCACATGGACGGGGAAATTTCTGGCGTACGAGAGTCCTCCCTGATGTCCCGCATTCCGGGATCAAATCCTACAAGGAAAAGCAACGAGGCCTGCCAAAAGTAAGCGTGGTTGCGATCGGATGGAACTGTATCTCCGCTCATTATGCGTTCCTAAATCGGGATCAAACAGGGAACCGGTTCATAGAATTGATTTTACCCCTGGTTTAATAAATTAATCAAAAGGCCTGTCGAGAGCATTTTTTTCTGACGTGTATCATGGGGGGACTGGGGGAGAAGACCACAATGTGAGCCCTAGGCGCTGGGTACCTGGAAGTGGCCCCCACTAGGCTGTACATACGAAGGTACAAGTACACATAGAGTCAGGTCAGAGCAGCTTACAGGTAACAGGTACAACATCGTGACCTTGACCGATGGACTGGCAATCCTTGTCATGGGTTGCTATAGGTCGATCATAGTGGTCGGGGCAGGTCGGATCGACCCGCGATCATCCCTTGTCACCCTTGCAGAACTCGTTTGGGCAAGGCTAGGGCAACTCGAAGTGGGGGTAACCGGCGCTAGTGTGACAGGGGGGGAGGCTCGTAAGTGAACGCGTTTGGGCGGATGGCTGTATGTTTCTGCGCCACGATTCCCACAGGTCTCATCGAGGTACCGGGTACGTAACCCATAGTCTACGAGAAGAGAACCAGCTACTGGCACAGATTAGTTAGTGTGATCTCCTTCCCAACGAATCGTATCCCCCACCGGGCTCGCCGTTCATCCGTTGCAACCCGCGCTGGCTAGTCTAGCCGATGCTAATTTTCCGGCCATCCTAGCGCCATTAGTAGACACTGGCAGAGTGGATTGCTTGAGGTGGGTAATGACGGCCCAAAGTACTAAATATGGCAAATTTTGGGAGAAGAAGATAGCGCCGACAATGCAACCGCTAGAAAATTTGCATAAAAAAGAGAGGAATAATCATTAAAAAATACGAGAAGAGGATCCATTGGCAACGACAAAAACTTTTCAATCTGAGGTGAGAAGCTGCACTGCATCGTGTCCACCGACTCTTCTTATGCTGCAGGAGGATATCTTACACAGGAGTATGATACAGAACCGAGAGAAACAGAGTCGTGGGCTGTAAAGCCACCCAAGCGTTTATTACACCTCTACTTACACTCAATTCCGCCATGACGGTGAGGTTCCTGGACTGCGCGGTAAATCATCCGACGATCAGCCCGGCTCACATCGCACCGTGCCGATAGAATCGCAGGGGCACAGGCTTCGATGCGCGAAGAAGAGGTGAGCGTCTGTGGAGTTTGCCATGTGCGCATCTTTACGATCTGTCGGTGTAACTTGGCAACAAAATCCTACAGCAGATATATCGTAAGGTTCTCGGGTGAACCAATGTAGATGCAATCGAGACCCTGCTGACTTGGATGAAATGGAGATTTCCGTCATTGCCCGTTGTTCTGTCTCGGCTTCTCGAAAACTCAACCCCAATTGACCAACCAGCCTCCTCCCCGAGACTATCGTCATCAGTACATAAAATCCTCTCAGGTGATAGACCTCGCAAGCAGAGCGACAGCAGGAGGAATGTAAGAAAAAATCCCGCGCCTTTCAGGGTGGCGTGGGCCTGAATGAAAGCTCTCGTCATGACAGCCTGGCGTCCGCCTTGCTGAACCACGTTCGAGACCGCATCCCATGGACTCTTGATCGGGAAATTGCAGATTGATTTGTTTAAAAAAAGGAATTGTAAAATCTTGATCAGGAAGGGCCTATCATGGATTAGGAAAACATTACCCTGCAGTAATGAAGTTTTTTTATTTTATTTTATTCCACTTTCTTTTTTCTCGCCTCTACATTTGTACCTCAGATATCAGTCCATTTGTAAGAAGTGTGTACTTTGGTCATGCTTGGAATTCGCGTAATTTGCCTTAGGCTGTAGTAGCGATACTCGAATTGGCTAAGAGCAATACCTCTAAGCCTGTTAGTTCCTTCTAAGTCAAAGGAGATGTGCCGTCGTGTCTGATTCGGTTCCACAGGGGAGAGAACAAGTCGACCGATCCACCCGGCGCATTGGCCGTGGCGTCTCCAACCCTTTGCTCATCTAGATCCGAACCCCATGCAAGGAAGATACATGGGGGATCCTGAATTTCTGAATTTGCCAGAAACATTACCCCCCCACTACCAGAGTGCCATTGGTGGCCCGGGTGGTATTACTGTATTTCCGCGCATAATGAGCTGTTGGCGAACGAGCTGGAGCATAGCCATGCAGCGTCTACATAGTCCCGATGACCGATGGCGTAACTATTTTGGTTACTTAGGCTGAGAAAAATAAAACTGTCTGCTCTTTTAAAATAACTGAGACCATCCAACTTCGCGCGGCCACTTCTCCTCGAGATAACCTTCCTCTTGGATACTACTAATCCAACTAATTGAGGGCTCTCATCATCCACTCGCTTCATCGACTGCGGCAGGAACCCAACAGCTTTGATTATCCTCAAAAAGTACAAAATTTATCTCTCGCTCCTCTTCTCAAATTCTCAATCCGAACAACTTTTCGGCCCCATTCGAGATTCACTCCGAGACCATGGCCCAATCTTCGCAATGCTATCTTCCTCGCTTCGCTCCCGCGGTCGACGGGCCCAAACGTCCGGTTTCTATGAAGACGAGACCGACCTCTTCGCAATGTGCGCAGTTATTAACCGCATGGCACGAAGGGCGACTGGAATCCATCTTGCAGGCTACCTGGGCGCTGGTACTGCACTACTATATCCAAACCGAGGATATTAGCTTCGGTTATCAACACATCGACGGTGCCTCTATGTCCTCTCGACACCCTGTACAGCGGTCGAATGTCACCACCCCCGACCGCGATATGTCGGCTATCCGGCTGGCAATCGATGAGAACGAATCCATCCAGGCAATTGTAGATAAAGTGCGAACCGGTGATGGAATCAAACAGCTCGGCGGTGCTTCTGAGGGCCATTTGCCCTTCAACACCATCTTGATGCTGCGCACATATCGCAGGACGGATGATCCGTCTCCATCCTCCAAGACATTGCTGGCTAGTGCTCTACCAGACCAGGTATTTATATCCCCCATTCGCCAATCGGCACATATATAGCCCCGGCTAACTTTGAACAACAGTGCCAAGTTCGTCTGCATGTAAAGGTGTTGCGCCGGGATATTAACATCTTCCTGGAATGGCGAAATGGTGATATGTCTGGAGATCAAATGAAAAGTGTGGCCCACATCTTTGAGCAATTGCTCGCTAAAGTCCTTTCTTCCGAGAACCCCGCTATTAGCCAGCTTAATTTATTCTCGGAGAATGACTGGCAGCGCATTCGCAAGTGGACATCCGATATCCCTCAAACATACGACGGCTGCATCCACGATGCCATTCGTGAACAAGCACTTTCCGGACCGGACAGAGAGGCAGTATGCGCTTGGGATGGCAGCTTCACATATGCCGAACTGGACGCGTTGGCGTCGAAGCTGGCTTGTCACCTGCGTATGCAGGGCGTTGGCCCAGAAGTGCGCGTGGCACTGCTATTTGATAAATCGGTGAGTTAGTCCATTTGATAATATTTTCCCCTTTCCGCTCTTTTTTTGTATTTTCTGCAAAGTTCGCAGGAGTTCGCAGATGGTGTCAAGCTGTGGAAGATGAATGAGACTGACGATCTGCAAGAAATGGAATTTAGTGGCGATGCTTGGCGTGATGAAGGCGGGCGGTGCGTTTGTCCCATTGGATCCAGCTCATCCACCTTCGCGCCTCCAACGGTTGATCGACTCTGTCAAGGCCGAAGTCGCCCTGTGTTCGCAGGGCCGTGCAGATGCACTTCGTCCCATTGCGAAGACTTTGATTCCCATCTGCAGCGATACCCTGGATGCACTGCCCGCGCCCGTCGACGGAATTGATCTCGCATCGGGCGTCACTGGCCAAAATGCCGCTTACGTTTTGTTTACTTCTGGATCCACTGGAGAGCCGAAGGTAGGTCGATCCGATATTGAGGAATTGTGATGAAGCATGGAAGCAGAAACTGACGATTCGCACGCCAGGGCACCCTCCTGGAACATCGGGCCTTCCTATCGAGCTCCCTGGCTCACGGCGCTGGTCTCTGCGTTTTTCGCGACACTCGCGCCTTGCAATTCGCCGCACACACGTTTGACGCCAGTTTGGCAGAGTCGCTTACTCCTCTGATCCACGGTGCCTGCGTCTGCATTCCGAGCGAGGAAGACCGATTAAATGATATTGTCCGTTTCATCAATGAAAAGCGGGTCGACCAGGCCTGCTTCACCCCGTCTTTTGTCGGCTTTATTGAAATCGACAGCGTGCCAGGGTTGAAGTCTTTGGTTCTGGCTGGTGAGGCCATGTCCCAGTCACAACTGGCAACATGGTCCAGAATCAGACTGGTCAATGGCTATGGACCGACGGAGGCCAGCGTCGCGTCCGTGCTGAACACCAATGTCGCACCGAACGCCGACTGCAAGGATATCGGTCTACCTGTTGGTGTCCGCGCATGGCTGGTAAATCCTGAAAACCACGACCAACTCGTCCCTATCGGCTGCCCTGGTGAATTGCTGCTCGAGGGACCGACTCTCGCTCGATGCTACGTCAACAACCCACAAAAGACCAACGAATCCTTTATCTACGACCCATCCTGGACCAAATTCGACGCTGGAGGAGGGACAAATCGCAGGTTTTACAAAACTGGAGATTTGGTGAGATACAACTCAGACACGGGTGCTCTGAATTACATCGGTCGGAAAGATACTCAGGTGAAGGTCCACGGCCAGCGGGTTGAGCTGGGTGAAGTTGAGAACCAGTTGAACAAGGAAAACAGCGTGACGCACTGCTCCGTTCTTTTTCCTAAGGCTGGTTTCTGCAAGGGCCGTCTTGCAGCTGTGATTTCTTCTGCAGGACTTCTAGCGGAACAATCCGATGCGGACCTAGAGCCTCTGCGACTGCTTCCTTCACCGGAGAAAGCTAAGATCGTCCCTGGTATCCGAGAGAGCTTGTCGGGTCGACTCCCGACTTACATGGTACCTGCAGTGTGGCTTTGTGTGGAAGCATTGCCCCTTCTTCCGTCCGGAAAACTCGATCGGAAGGGTATTGCAACTTGGGTTTCCGGAATGGAGAACGATCCAGACGTTGGAACGGCTGGAAATGGTGTTGTCCTTGAGGCTGAAATGTCTCAACCTGCAAATGAAATTGAAGAGACTCTCACTGCTGTTTACAGTCGTGTCCTCAACATCCCTCAGAACCACGTCAGCCTGACTGAGAGCTTCTTGGCTCTCGGTGGCGATTCTATTGCTGCTATGACCTGTATTGGTCTGTGTAAGAAACGTGGTGTTGGTCTTTCCGTCCAAGATGTGCTCCGCAGCAAGTCGATCCAAGACTTGGCTACGCGTGCGAAGGCGATTGATCACACGACATCTTATAAGGAGGCAGTAGATGAGCCGTTTGATCTCTCCCCCATCCAGATACTCCACTTTGGTCTCCGAAAGGAAGGCCAGGGTCACTTTAACCAAGGCATTCTCACACGCCTCAGCAAACCTCTTGATGAGCGCACCCTTCGCAAGGCGATCGAAACCCTCGTTTCGCGACACTCCATGCTTCGCGCAAAATTCGAAAACACGGGCTGGTCGACAGCTTCGAGTCAGAGGATTACTCGAGACGTCAAGGGCTCATTCAGGTTGCGGAGCAACACCGTACGCACCATGGAAGACATCAAGCCCCATGTCGCTGACAGCCAGTCTTGCATTAATTGTTTCTCGGGACCCCTCCTGGCTATTGATTACTTCCGCTTCAAGGAAAAGCAACAGCAACATGTACTCTCTATGACCGCCCATCACTTGGTCGTTGACATTGTCTCTTGGAGAATTATTCTAGAAGATCTGGAGGATATCATCAAAAACCCTGGAAAAACCACAAGTGAGGATGCGTCACTTCCATTCCAAACCTGGTCCAAGCTACAGATCCAGCACTCGAAGGATATGGTCGCCGAGGGCAAAGTCTCGAAGGATCCTCTACCTGCCCCAGACTTTGGCTACTGGGGCTTGAAGACCCATCAAACCACATATGGTGATGTTGATTGTGCTTCTTTCGAGATCGATGCCGTACACACCAACGCAATCCTTCTTGAGTGCCATAAGGCCCTGGCCACTGAGCCAATCGACCTTTTTCTAGCATCCATGCTTCACTCATTTGGACAGTCCTTCACCGATCGATCCCTACCAACCATCTTCAATGAGGGACACGGACGTGAGGTTTGGGATCCTTCCATGGACATTTCTCACACCGTCGGCTGGTTCACTATCTTGCACCCCATCTTCGTCAACGGCTACCAATCGGACAATGCGATCGACACTTTGATCAAAGTAAAGGACTTGCGTCGCCATGTCTCCGACAATGGTCGCGCAGACTTCGCGACCGGCGTCCTCCCCATCGAAGGCAAGCGGCCTGGTACCTATCCGCACCCGTTCGAGATCTCATTCAACTATGTTGGCCAGCACCGTGACTTGCAGCGTCAGGATGGCCTCTTTCAGCTCGTTGATCAGATGGCTGGTGAGACTGGTCAAGGAAGTGGTGATGCAGACTTCGGTCGCGACACCCCTCGCTTCGGTCTTTTCGAGATCTCCGCGATGGTCGTTGGTGGCAAGATCCGGTTTACATTCTCTTTCAACAAGTTTATGCAGCACCAAGATCGTATCCATACCTGGGTTGCCAACTGTCAGAAGCAGCTTGTATCCTTCTCTGAGAAGTTGACTTCTATGTCTCCGCGTCTGACGTTGAGCTCTTTCCCGATGTTGTCTCTCAACTATGACAGCCTCGACAAGATGATCAACCAGAAGCTCCCCGCGATCGGAGTGAGAAACATAGATATGATTGAAGATATCTACCCTTGTTCCCGAATGCAGCAAGGTATTCTCCTTGGTCAGACCCGGGACAGCTCTTACTATGCCGTCCACGATACCTTCGAAGTCCGTGGCACTGGCTCCACACAGCCGAATCTTGATCGCCTTGTGGAAGCCTGGAAGCAAGTTGCTTCACACCATGCCATGCTACGTACTATATTTGTTGAGAATCTCACTCCTCACGATGCCTTCTCCCAGGTTGTCTTGAAGGAGTATGATGCTAGCCCCGTCTGCCTACAATCCTCCGGAGATAGTGACATTTTTGCAACCTTTGATGCGCAGGAGCCCAAGAACTACCGTGAGCGTACCCCTGCGTATCGCTTTAGCATCTGTCACACCTCAACTGGCCGCATCTTCTGCCGGATTGAACTGAGCCATGCTGCCATGGATGGAAACTCAATCTCCATCATTCTTCGAGATCTACAACTCGCGTATGTTGGAAGACTAGAGGAAACTCGACGCCCGCTGTTCAAAGACTACATGGGCTACCTTCTCGACGCGCCCAGCGATGCAAGCATTAAATACTGGCGCTCATATCTCTTGGACGCGAAGCCTTGTCTGTTCCCCGTTCTCACCGATGGCCAAACCCCCCAAGAGAAGGCTCTCCGCGCTATCCCTGTCAACTTTGGATCTCTGCCGCGGCTCCAAAGCGTGTGTGAGAAGAAGGGAATTACACTCGCCAATGTTTTCAATGCAGCCTGGGGCCTCACCCTCCGTTACTTCACTGCCTCCGACGATGTTAGTTTCAGCTACATGGCTTCGCTAAGAGATGTCCCTGCGGATGGCGTCCAGTCTGTTGTTGGCCCGGTGATCAACCTCATGGCTTGCCGCATGAAGTTTTCTGGCACTTCGGTATTGCGTGATGTGTTAGAGAAGGTCCAGGATGATTATATGGACAGCTTGCCATACCGACACACCTCACTCATTGACATTCAACATGCTCTGAAGCTTTCTGATACCAACTTGTTCAACTCGGGTGTTTCCTACCGCCGTCTACCTGACGCGAAGGATGCTGTAAGTAGTGATATCGAGTGTATCGAAGTCGGTTCCATTCACGACCCAGCCGAATTCCCAGTCTTCATCAACATTGAAGCTATGGACGCAAAGGCTAGTATCGACCTAAACTACTGGACTACAAACCTCTCCGATGCGCAGGCCACAAATGTCGCCAACACATACGTTCGCTGCCTCGAGAGTATTATGACACAAGCGGATAGCGAAATCCGCGAACTTGATAATCTCAGTGATAGCAACAAGACTGATATTGCCAGTTGGAACAGCAAGAACCCACAGGCTGTTGAGATTTGTGTTCACCAGGTCGTTCAGGATATGGCCAAGAAACGGCCCGATGCTCTTGCCGTCACTGCTTGGGATGGAAATCTGACTTACTCCAAGCTCGACCAGTTCTCTTCTCGCCTGGCAAGTTATCTGGTCACTTTCGGTGTGGGGCCCGGTAGTCTTATTCCAACATCCTTCCCGAAGTCCGTTTGGAATATTGTTTCCTTACTAGCGGTGATGAAGGCTGGTGGTGGTTGCATCCCTGTTGAGAATTCGAAAACTTTGAGCCTCATCGAGAAACATGTTCAAGAAAACGTGATTCAGGTTGCCCTTGCATCCCCTGAGAAGGCACAGGTTCTCGAGGAGGTGATCCCTTATGTGGTACCAGTCAGCGAGTCTCTCCTCGAATATCTCGGGGATGAGCCTTTGTTGTCTATGGCCTGTTATTCGGACCCCGCTTATGTATCATTCACTGCTGGATCATCTGGAGCCCCGAAGGGAGTTGTTCTTGAGCACGCTACTGTCATAACTCGAGCTGAAGCATTCGCCGCCTCACTCAAACTCAATAACGCCTCGCGCACATTCCAATTCGCGACTCACTCGTCCGATCTTTTCTTGCTCGAGATCTTTGGTACCTTTATGCGCGGAGGTTGTGTTTGCATTCCAGCAGACATTGATCCTTCCAAGTTGGCTGCCTCCATCAATGTTCTTCACGCCAATGTTTCCTGCTTGACCCCAAGTGTTGCGGAATTTATGACCCCGAGAGATGTTCCCGGCCTCAAGACTGCAGCAATCGTCGGAGAACTTGCGACCAGTACTCTTTTGGACAACTGGCATTCTGATGACGTCCAGCTGCATGTTCTGTTCGGAACTACGGAGTCATCCTCTGCAGCATGCCTCGCTCCGATCACACAGGGTTGCAAGGAAAGCACCATTGGTCGTCCCGCATCCTGTATCTCCTGGGTTGTCGACCCCGCTAACCATCATGCCCTTGTCCCTGTCGGTGCTATCGGTGAATTGGTTATTGAAGGTCCTGTGATTGCCTCCAAGTACCTGGCAAACGGAGGTCATGATTGCGAAGCCTTTTTTGAGAAACCATCATGGCTTTCTGCCTTCGGACGTGACTCGCACGAGTTCACGGAGACAAGAAAGTTCTTCAAGACTGGGGATCTTGTTCGTTACAATGGTGATGGTTCCCTTGTGCACCTTGGCCGCAAGGACAATGCTCAGGAAATTTCGATGTCATCTGACTTACGCCGTGTCCAGCAATCCCTTGTGGGATACTTGGGCTCCAAGAGAAAGGCTCTGGTGGATACGATAAAATTGCCCGGGGATACAAACAGCTCCATCGTGGCATTCATCGGCTCCTCAGCCCCCACTGCCGCATCATTCAACGAGCGAGTTATTCAAAGTTCGTCTTCGGACCTGACGACAACCATTTCCGCTATCCACGCGCATTTGACCAGCCGATTCCCAGCTAACAAGGTTCCGAGTTGCTACATCCCTATTTCGACAGTCCCTCTCACCTCTCTTGGAAAGCTAAACTTGCAGGGCCTCAATGCCGAAATTAACTCCCTCTCCGCCAGTGTTCTGCGAACCTTCAACGTTGAACGATGGACTGGATTGAAGTCATCTAACCGCCACTCCCGCCAGTCGTCCCTTTCAGGAACCTCCCTTGCTTTCTGGAAAGAATACCTGGCAGATATCGAGCCATGCAACTTCCCCTCTATGTCTCTTGACACTACTAGCCCCGGTCGTTCGACTCGTACCCTTAACAAACAGACTCAGAAGTTACATGCCTTTAGCAAAATGTCTGGTGTCTCCGTCGAGACTCTGTTCCAGTTTGCTTGGGGTCTGGTTCTCCGTTGCTACACTGGCTGCATTGATGTCTGCTTCGGATTCTCCTCTGCCAATTCCGACGATCTCGCAGTGTCTATTTGCCGCCTCGTGCTCACCAACGAGCGCAAGGTGGAGGAGTCATTGCAGCACTCCAAGGCCCAATTCGACAAGGGTCTCCAAAACTTCGCAGACCTAGCTACTGTCAACCATCATCTTGGCTTCGAAAACACGAGTATTTTCAACACTCTCCTCACATTCCGTACCTCCTCGTCTCTCCCCTCAAGGAAATGTCCAGGAGATGACCACCGCGAATGACTACAAGCTCACTGTCGCAGCGGAGGTGAGCAGCGCTGTTGCCGAAATCCATTTCATCTATTCTTCGGACATCCTTTCCTCCAGCCAAGTTACTCATGTCATCGATGCCTTCGACCACTTCCTCAATGATGTTATGTCTTCTAATCCTCGCTATCGTCTCATTGGTGATCTTGATCTCTTCCCTCAGCGCTCTTGCAGACAAATTCGCGACTGGAACGCCGTCCTTCCTCCACGCGTTGAGAAATGTGCCGACGAGCTTATCCAGCAACAGGCCCTGCTACACCCCCGCGCCGAGGCTATTTGCTCCTGGGATAAAAACTTCACCTATGGCCAAGTTGAGATTGTTTCCAGCCGCCTTGCACGCTTCTTGACGGGATTAGGCGTTAAACCCGACGTTTTCGTTGTTCTATGTTTCGAAAAGTCTGCTTGGGCTGTTGTAGCCCAGCTGGCTATTCTCAAGGCCGGCGGTGCATTCGTCTCAATCGACCCTACCCACCCCGACTCCCGTCTTCAAATGTTGATCGAGGAGATTGGTGCAGACCTAGTACTCTGTTCGGCCACTCTCCAGTCAAAAATGGCTAAGCTTTGCAAGAAGGCATTTGCTGTTTCACAGAGCTCAATTTCTCAGCTGCCCGAATCCCCCCTTGCTCTGCCTGGTACTCGGCCTGCACCGAGTAGCGCAGCTTATGCTATCTTCACTTCGGGTACCACTGGCAAGCCGAAGGCCACTGTGGTTGAACACGTCGCCCTCAGTACAACTGCTATTGCCATGACTGATGCTCTCCACATGAACTCTAAAACACGCTCGCTTCAATTCTCCAACTATACTTTCGATGTGAGCATCCTCGAGATCATGATGACTCTGATGACAGGTGGCTGTGTTTGTGTCCCCAGCGAAGAAGAACGCATGAACAACCTGGGAGGTGCGATTCGTCGTATGGAAGCCAACTACATGGCATCACCACCGGCCATTGTCAACACCCTCGAGCCAAAGAGTGTTCCTACCTTGAAGACGATCATCACTGGCGGTGAAAAGATGCCCGCCAACCACATCGATCGCTGGAACGACCGCTTCGTCATTAACGCGTATGGTCCTTCAGAGGCTACTGTCGTTGCGACAGTCGGTGTCAAGGTCGATTGGGAGGGCAACCGTGTGAACAATGACCCTACCTCCATTGGACATGCCGCCAACTGCCGAGTTTGGATCGTCGATCCTAATAACTACAATCGCCTCCTCCCCGTTGGCGCTGTTGGAGAGATGCTTTTGGAAGGAAGCAACATTGCTCGCGAGTACCTTGGAAATGCCGAGAAGACGAAGGCAGCTTTCGTTGACGATCCAACTTGGAGCCACCACCCTGGCCTCCTAGGTCTCTTCAAGCGCAAGGATCGCATGTACCGCACTGGTGATCTGGTTCGGTACAACAGCGATGGGAGTCTGGCTTTTATCTCTCGAAAGGATACTCAAATTAAATTCAATGGCCAGCGTATCGAGCTTGAAGAGATTGAACACCAATGTCTCCGAGCCCTTCCAAATGGATCTCAAGTTGCCGTTGATGTTGTCGTTCCCCAGGAACGCACTGTCGCAAAGGGTCTTGCTGCCTTCTTCACAGTTCATGACCCTGATTCTGTGGAAGGTGGAACCAGTGATGATTTTGCACCCACAATCCCCGGTGTTGATCCTCTTCTTTTGCCCATCTCTGTTTCCAATATGGATGCCATTCAGAAGCTGAAGAGCTCCCTTCCCGATCTTCTTCCGCAAAGTATGATGCCACGCCTGTTTTTTCCCTTACGGAACCTTCCTTTCACCTCCTCCGCCAAGATTGATCGCCGCCGCCTTCGTGCGATGGTTCAGACATTGTCCAAAGATGTTTTGAAGTCATACATCACATTCAATTCCGTCTCAACAAAAGAGGAGACTTCTACAGATGGCATTGATGCTAAGCTGCGCTCTTTGTGGGAGAAGATCCTAGACCTTGAAACCGGCTCAGTAACGAATGACGATAGCTTCTTTGCCCTTGGTGGTGATTCATTCTCTGCCATGAATCTCGTTGGTGCTGCTCAAGCTTTGGGAATCTCTCTTAATGTGGCCACTATTTTTAACACCCCTGTCCTGATCGAGATGGCGCACAGCTGTTCGGAGTCCCAAGAGGCACCGGCTCCTAAGAAGGCCACCCTGAAGCCATTCTCACTGCTGCCGTCTTCGGTAGATGCAGAAAGCATCATGGAAGAAGTTATTGACAACTGTGGTGTTCCTAAGTCGTCTATTTGTGATATTTATCCCTGCTCTGCAGTCCAGGAAGGCCTGTTGACACTATCCTTGAAGCATGCGGGTGCCTATGTTGCCCAACCTGTCTTCCGTCTCGCCGACGGCACAGACCTTGACAAATTCAAATCTGCCTGGCAGCAGACGGTGTTCGATCTTGAAATCTTACGCACGCGAGTTGTGCATACCGAGGCCATGAACTTCGCACAGGCGGTTTTGGATAACCAGCCCATCTCTTGGGCCCACGCGGAGTCATTCGAAGCTCTGCCGAGTGATACAACTGAACTACCAAAGCAAAATGGTGCGCCTCTCACCGGTTATGCGATTGTCCAACCCCGTGGATCTTCCACTCGCTACTTCGTCTGGTCGGTTCACCACGCACTCTACGATGGATGGAGTATTCCGCTTGTCTGGAAGAAGGTCGAGGAGAACTACAGGAGCTCTAAAAACAAAGCTTCGGGCACATCCTACGGTCTTTTCATTGAGTATCTCACCAAGAAGGACATGGAAAAGTCCGATGCCTTCTGGAAGTCTTATCTCAAGGACCTGTCTAGTACTCCCTTTCCCCAGAACAAGAATTCTGTTCCCGATGCTATCCGTGCTGGTAACACCCAGTACCTCACTTTGAATATCTCGCGGCCTGCCAACGGCGTTGAGTTTACTCTACCTGTCTTGCTTCGTGCCGCCTGGGCTATCGTCGTCGCTAACCACACCGCATCTGGAGATGTGTGCTTTGGCGAGACCCTGTCAGGTCGCAACATTGATCTTCCTGGTGTTGGCGAGATCGCTGGCCCTGTTCTTTCAACCGTTCCTACGCGCGTGCAAGTCGACAACGAAATGACAATCATCCAGTATCTTGATCAGATCAACAAGTCAACTACTGAGATGATTCCCCACCTTCACGCAGGCCTGCAACACATTCGTCAGCTTAATAAGGACACATCCACTGGTTGCAACTTCCAGAACCTGCTTGTTATTCAGTCTGGCGAGCCTGAACTAGACAGCTCAATTTGGGTTGACGAGAAGCGTGAGACAAGCGAAGACTTCTTCACTCACCCCCTTGTTCTTGAATGCTCGATCTCGAAGTCAAATATTTCTTTCACCGTTCATCATGATGAACTTGTCATCAATGCGTGGCAGACCAAGCACATCACAGAGCAGCTGGGCCACGTTATGAAGCAACTTTTGTCTGTCCCTAAGACCACGACTAGCAAGTTGGTTGACTTGGAAGTTGTTAGCCCAGAAGACAAGGCTGAGATCGCTGAGTGGAACAAGCGTGATATTTCCCCAGTCGAGCGTTGCGTCCAGGAATTCATTTTGGAAAAATCTATCGAAACCCCCAATGCTCCTGCTGTGTGCGCTTGGGATGGACAGCTTACTTATCGTGAGTTCTGGGATCTGGCCTCCTCTTTTTCAAACTACCTCATCGGTCGTGGTGTCGGCCCCGAAGTATTTGTTCCCGTCTGCCTCGACAAGTCTGCTTGGGCTATGGTTACTCTAATCAGTATTCTGATTGCTGGTGGTGCTTACGTTCCACTGGACCCCCACCACCCTACCTCTCGACACGAGGAGATCCTCGCAGATGTTGGTGCGAATATGATCCTGTGTACTCCTAACTACACCAGCCGCTACAATCGTGTTGTCAAGACTGTCATCCCAATCAGCAAAGAGACTATCAAAGCCTATGGCTCCCTCAACTCGTCTTCAACCCGCCCCCGTTCCCAAGTGACAGCTTCCAACATGGCTTACGCCCTGTTCACCTCTGGCAGTACCGGACGTGCTAAGGGTATCGTCGTCGAGCACCGCAATGTTGTCAGCAGTATCATGGCGTTTGGCCCAATGATGTACATGGGACCAAAGGCAAGAGTGTTCCAGTTTGCCTCTCTGACCTTTGATGCTGCCATCATGGAAACCCTCGCCATCCTGATGCTTGGCGGCTGCATTTGTGTCCCTAGCGAAGATGAGCGACTCAACGATATTGCGGGTGCCATCCGTCGCCTGAATGTCACCTGGAGTTTCCTCACTCCGTCTATTGCGAGCATCATTGAGCCGTCTTCCGTCCCCTCTCTGGAGGTCCTTGCTGTTGGTGGCGAGAAGATGTCACAAGAGGTCATTACCCGGTGGTCTCATGTTCTCAAATTGATGAATGGATACGGTCCGACCGAAACATGTGTGTTCGCAGTTGTTGACACTGCCGTCGCAGTCAATCGCGATCCTGCTCGGATCGGATACGGTATTCCGAGCACCCTAACCTGGATTGTGGACGCTGAAAACCCGAACAAATTAGCTCCTCTTGGTGCAGTCGGCGAACTTGCCCTCGAGGGCCCTGCTCTTGCCCGGGAGTACTTGAAGAACCCTCAGAAAAATGCCGAAGCATTCATCAACGATCCTACCTGGACGAAAGAATTCAAGTCTTCCATCCCGTCCCCCCGCAGAATCTACTTGACCGGTGACCTTTGTTACTACAACCCTGATGGTTCCATCGAGTACATAAGCCGCAAGGACCACCAGGTTAAGCTCCACGGCCAGCGCATGGAACTCGGGGAGATTGAGCACAGACTGCATGAAGACCCACTGGTTCGCCATGCCGTTGTTATCTTGCCCAAGAACGGACCCCTCAAGCAGCGTCTTGTAACTGTCATGTCGCTCAACAAGATTGCCTCGGATAACAAGCTTATATCCGATAAGGCATGTGAGCTTGTGGAGGAAAGTGAGTTTAACAACCAGGGTCTTGGCGGCCTCGTGGAGGTCCAGAAGAAGCTTGAGGCACAGCTTCCAATCTACATGGTACCCCAAACCTGGGCTCTCATCAAGAAGCTTCCCATGCTTGTTTCCGGCAAGCTTGATCGCAAGAAGATCACCGCCTGGTTGGAAGATATCGATGACAACTCCTATGAGCGTATTATGCAAGACTTCGATCGCATGAAGCGCGGTGCGCCAGAGAAGCCCCAGGAACAGGAACATGATGGATCCTTGAAGATTGTTCGTGAGATATTCGCCCAGGTCCTCAATCTTTCGCTGCAGAAAGTCAACGTCGACCGATCTTTTGTCAGCCTAGGTAAGTTTCCAACGGAACCAGATCCTCATTTCAAATTGTCAGCTGTATTAACAACCTTCTCCAGGCGGCGACAGTATTACCGGCATGGCGGTGATCTCCAGAGCTCGAAAGCAGGGCTTGACTGTGACGCTCAATGACATCTTGCAAAGCCGATCAGTCAAAGAGCTTGCTCAGACTGCCAGTGCCAAGGCACCAGCCAAGGCTTTGCGCGAGGAGAAAACTGGAGAAAGCTTCGCCCTCTCTCCCGTTCAAAGGCTCTATATTCAGTCTACCAACTCTTACAAGGGAGCAGCTCGTTTCAACCAAAGTATCACTGTCCGTGTCTCTCGTCGTGTCGAAGGGGAGGTCCTTCGCCGTGCTATCAAGGCTGTTAGCTCCCAACATTCCATGTTCCGCGCCCGGTTCAGCAAGACTGGTGCTGGAAGCTGGCAACAAAAATCGTCAACTGTGAGTACAAAAATCCGTCTCTAGCGCCCCATGTTGCTAACACATTTTCAAGGAGGTTGATGAGTCTTATCGATTCCGCGTTCACTCTGTCAGCGACACACGCGCCATGGTCCCCAAAATTGCCGAAAGCCAGTCGTGCCTCGACCCCCTCAATGGACCAATTTTCGCCGCTGATTTGTTCAATCTCCGCAATGGTGGCCAAGTTCTTTTCCTCGTGGCTCATCATCTGTGTGTTGACATGGTCTCTTGGCGTATCATTCTCCAAGATCTTGAAGAGCTTGTTGTGTCCGGCTCGCTATCTGATGACAAGGCCTTGTCCTTCCAGAGCTGGTGTGCTATGCAACTTGAGCGAGCGAAGATTCATGATGCTGGTGTGACCTTGCCCTTCACTCCTGAGCAGCCAAATCTCACCTACTGGGGCATGGAAGATTCCACCAACCTCTATGGGGATCTCAAAATGGAGTCCTTCACACTCAACGAAGATGTGACCAACTTTATTCTTGAGGGCTGCCACGAAACCTTTGGAACGGATACCGTTGACATTCTTCTTGCCGCTATTGTGCAATCTTTCAGCCGCACATTCACTGACCGCAAGCTTCCCACCATCTACAATGAAGGCCATGGCCGTGAGCCCTGGGATGCCAGCATTGATCTTTCCCGCACAGTTGGTTGGTTTACAACCATGGCCCCTCTGCTCGTTGAGGGCCGGGATGGTAAGTGTCATCCTAGCTCTTATTTTGCCAATGCCCGCTCACATGAAACAGGCACTCTCACGGACACCATCAAGCGAGTCAAAGATACTCGTCGCAAGATCACTGACAATGGGCGACCTTTCTTCGCAAGGAGCCTCTTGGCTTCCGACCAGGAAAGCAACGAGAGTGCCTTCCAGGTTCCTTTTGAAATCTTGTTCAATTACCTGGGCAAGCTCCAGCAGCTTGAACGCAACGACTCACTCTTCCGGCACCAAGGTAGTGTTTTCGACAGCTCCGACTTCGCTGTTGCCGGCGACATGGGTCCTGACACTGCCCGCTTCGCGTTGTTTGAACTTTCCGCCATTGTGGTGAAGGATCGTTTGACTGTCTCTTTCGCCTATAACCGCCGTACTCAGCGCGAGGGACAGATCCGACGCTGGATTTTGCAATGCAAACAAACCTTAGAAAAGGACCTTTCCACTCTGAAGAATGTCCCCGCCGAGCCTACCCTTAGCGACTTCCCACTTCTTCCGATCAGTTACCAAGGCTTGCAGATCCTAACAAATAACACTTTCCGCAAGCTCGGAATCCGGAGCAAGACAGAGGTTCATGACATCTATCCCTGCTCCCCGATGCAGGAGGGTCTCCTACTAAGTCAACTTCGTGACCCGAGTGCCTATATGTTCCACACTATTTTCGAGATCAAAGATGCCCGCGCTGGCAAGGTCGACGCGGAGAGACTTGCCCGCTCCTGGAACATGCTTGTGGATCGTCACCCTGTCCTCCGGACCATTTTTATTGATAGCAATTACAGCGGCGGTTCCTTCGATCAATTGGTTCTTGCCAACCTCAAGGATAATGTTCTTCGGGTAGAATGCCCTGACTCTCAGGTTGAGGAAAAGCTGGCAGCTATTTCCCTTCGTGATGCGAATGCCATGCGTCCTGCCAAGCTTTCTCACCAGTTGACTGTCTGCAAGGTAACGAGTGGACGTGTCCTCGTCAAACTCGAAATCAACCACGCTATTATCGATGGTGGCGGTGTTGATGTCCTGCTACGTGACCTCACCATGGCCTATGATCGCAAGCTTGCAGAAGGCCCTGGGCCTCGTTTCAGCGACTACATCAAGTATATCCGAACTCAGAGCCAAGTTGAAGCACTTGACCATTGGAAGAAGTATCTCGGTGGCGTTCGTCCATGCCACCTTTCCCCTTCTGCCGGCTTCCAGACCCAACGGGAGCTGAAGGGTATCTTGATGGATTTCAACCGCTATCCCGAACTGCTAAAATTCTGTGAGGATGCTTCGGTTACCTTGGCAAACCTCACATTGACTGCCTGGGCTATTGTCCTTAGACAGTTTACCTCATCCGATGATGTTTGTTTCGGATATCTGTCGGCCGGTCGCGACGCGCCCGTCAACGGTATCCAAGACATGGTCGGTATTTTTATCAACATGCTTTGCTGCCGTGTGAAATTCTCTTCGCACCAGTCCCTTTCGGATATATCCAAGCAGGTGAATGGTGATTACATTGCCAGCATTCCCCATCAAAGCTGCTCCCTTGCTAGTATCCAGCACGAGCTGGGGTGGCAGGGACAGTCTCTCTTCAACACAACCCTCTCCATCCAGAACCACACCGTTGCCGGCGGCTCGAAGGAGAAGGGTCTATCGTTCAATCTACAGCATGCCCACGATCCTAGCGAGGTAAGTATCCGCGAACATAGTATGTAGATGGAAAGTGACTCAAGCTAACAACTTTCAGTACGCTGTCACTGTAAATGTCGACATTTCTCGCGGAGGCGAGGGTATCATGCTCCGCTACTGGAATGATGTTGTCTCGGATGATCAAGCGCAATCCCTTGTCGATTCGATTGCCAAGGTCTTCGCCGGTTTTATCGAGTCGCCATCAGAGTCAATCTCGGCCGCCAAACTCGACGACCAGGCTCTGACTGAACAGCCATCTGAATGGAGCAGCTCCCAGACATCTGTCAGCGAGAGAGCCAAGACCAACAGGAAGAGCCTGGACGGAACAGCAATTCAGAAGATTATCGATGACCGTGTCCACGAAATAATCGGTCAAATGCTGAGGGATGGGAAGTTGATGGTGCCAGGAATGGCGACAGATAGTCTTTCCGGCTACGGTCATCCTGACTCTGTTGGTTCTCCCTTCCAGCTAGAAGGACTTCAGGGTGAAGCGGATGACTCTGGTGTCTGCTCTGCAACCTCGCGCTCCAGTCAAGACGTAATGTCCGCAGACGTTGAGCGAAAACTTTGGAGTCTGTGGAGCACTGCTCTTGGTCTGTCACCCAATGTGGTGCGACACCAGGATAGCTTCTTCAAGCTCGGTGGCGATAGTATTACTGCAATGAAAATGGTCAGCGCCGCTCGCGAGGATGGCTTAGTCCTGACTGTTGCCGATGTCTTCAACAACCCCGTTTTTGAAGACATGCTTGCCACCGTTCGCGCTGCCAATGTCACACAGCAGATGCTCAATGCCGATCTGAAGCCAGTTCACAAGGAGGTTGATTCATTCCCCGACACCACACCCACCCCTCTGGCACAAACACCTTCTTCTGAAAGCATCTCAGTCCTCCGCCCTTCCAAGACTGTTGATGATGCGTCGGTCCAGAGCGGCATTTGCCCCAAGATTGGTGTCTTCAAAGGCGGAATTGCAGATGTTCTGCCTGTCACTGACTTCCAAGCCATGTCCCTCACTGCGACGCTGTTCAAGTCGCGATGGATGTTAAACTATTTCTTCTTGGAAGGCAATGGACCATTGGATCTCCGCCGTCTCCGCGAGAGCTGTCTCAAGGTCGTCGACGCGTTCGACATCCTGCGTACTGTTTTCGTTTGCTTCCACGACCAGTTCTTCCAAGTCGTCCTTCGCAAGATTCGCCCCAGTATCTTCGTCTATGAGACTGACCGTGGACTCGACGAATTTACCTCCACGCTTCAGCAGCGCGACCGTGAATACGGTCCGAGAGAGGGTGAGCAATACGTGCAGTTCTACGTTGTCAAGAAGAAGGAAAGCGATCAACACCGCATCATGATCCGTCTCTCTCACACGCAATACGATGGAGTCTGCTTGTCCAAGATCATGTCTGCCATCAAGTTCGGCTACGAAGGCAGCCCTCTTCCTCCAGTCACGCCTTACGCCAGCTATCTCCGCCAGCTTCCAGGAACCATTACACCGGATCACTACAACCACTGGTCTAAACTTCTCAAAGGATCGCATATGACCCAGGTCGTCAGTCGCAAGGGTACCTCCATGTTCCAAAATATTGGTGCTTTCACCGAGGTTCGCAAGACCATCGAGGTTCCCCCTACTGCTCTCGGAAACGTCACTGTCGCAACTGTCATGCAGGCGGCTTGGGCCTTGACTCTCGCAAAGCTGTCTGCTCAGTCAGATGTTGTTTTTGGCCTCACCATCAGTGGTCGCAATGCCACCGTGCCTGGAATTGAGAATACGGTCGGTCCATGTGTTAATGTTGTTCCTGTTCGTGTCAATTTCGCCGAGAGGTGGACAGGCGTCGAGTTGTTCCGCTATCTTCAGGATCAACAGGTGTCCAACATGCCATTCGAGTCACTTGGCTTCCGCGAGATCATCAAGCAATGCACTGACTGGCCTGCTTGGACATATTTCACCACCTCGGTGTTCCATCAGAATGTTGACTATGAGGGATCCCTGGAACTTGACAACAACAAGTACCGCATGGGAGGCGCGGGAGTCAATGACAACTTCGCTGATCTGACTATGGTTTCTCGCCCTGCTGACGACCGCAATCTCAATGTCACTCTCGGGTTCTCTGAGAAGGGCCCCATCCTTCCTTCGTTTGCTGAAAGGGTGCTGGACATGGTGTGTGAAACTGCGCAGTCCCTGATCGCCAACCCTTCAACTTCCTTGCCATCTCCCAACATGTTGTGCTCCCTTCCACCCCAGGTGGTGGATGATCTGCCGCGCGCCTCGGACGAACATTTCCTCAGCGCTCATCTCAAGTCCCGTTCCATTGCCGAGCTTCTAGTCCATTCCGACATCCTGTCGCGTTCCTGGCACCAGTGCCTGCCTAGTCGAACTCCCGTTCTGACAGAGGGAGATGAAGATGAGAAACCCAAGCATAAACCAGCCTTCCAGCTCGACTCATCCTTTTTCGATCTTGGTGGTGATATCTTCAATATGGCACAACTCACCTGGCTTCTTGAGCAAGAAGGCCTTAAGGTCCGCTTGGAGGATCTTCTCGAGCACCCATCCTTCCTTGGCCAAATGGCTGTCCTGGCTCTGCACAATTCCAAGCACCAGGAGGACTTTGGTCCTGAATATGCCACCGGAGCAGCCTCGCCGAAGCCATCTATGCCTCAAGTCGAGAAGAAGAAGACATGGGAGAAGGCCATGACACTTGCGAGAAAGCTGACTCGTCGGAACAATATGGTTTCCAGCCGGGCCTGATGACTTGCATTTGTCCCTTCTCCGGCATCCTTTGAAAAGAGAAAAAACGGAAAAAGGGGATGAAAACAGAAATAATCATACGGCGCAAAAAAAACCAAATCAGACGCCGTGAAATCCCCCCCCAAACCCCTTTTTGCTAGAGTCTCATATTTCCCCATTTTCCTTGCATTCCATTTTGTCTCACGATGTTTTGTACTTTATTCCTCACGGTTGTCATCCAAGCCCAGCAAACGCTGTTTCCTATGTTCTTTACAATTCATGGTTTGGATGGATACCAGTAGACGAAAATTATGTCAAATCTTTGGTCACTAGTTTGATTTTACCTCCAATTGCTTTTGGTCTTATAGAATGTGCTTCTCTCCATTTGCCAAGGTTACCGTAACATCATGCAATGGAACTTGAAATTGTCTCTATCAATGCGCTATTTACTATCCTCGCATTCACTACCTGCTTGTAGTTACATGACCTTTGACTTCCTAGATCTCGGTATAGATAATAATTCGTAGATGGTTTCCAAAGTTTATCTTGACCCGAGGAAATGATTGTGAGCTGTGGGGTATATGCTACAACGGCCGGTCTCCCGAGATTCATCGGCTTCTTTCCCGGTCGGCCAAGCATCCCTATAAGACTCGGAAGACATGCGACTTCAAGTTGGTCACCTCCATCAATTTCATTATTCTGCTAGATTCAGCTGATTGTCTGAGATCCAGAAGCCGGCAATTTTAACATGGCAAAATCCGAAGTTGTTGCTTTATTAAAGCAACTCATGCAAATTCCGTCATGCAGTAATGAAGAACAGGCCATTGGAATATTTCTCGAGCAACACTTGAAGAGTTTGGGCTACACAGTGGAACTTATTCCCATAAGTCCTAATAGCTCTCGTTGCAATGTATACGCATATCTTAGCTCTTCGCGCGAAACGCGTGTTTGCCTCACTGCGCACATGGATACAGTCCCTCCACATATCCCACTTCGAGAGACACCCGATAGAATTTACGGCCGGGGATCTTGCGATGACAAAGGTCCGATGGCGTCGCAGATCATAGCGGTTGAAGAACTGCGTAAAGAAGGCCTCATCGAGCCCAAGGATGTCTCACTTCTTTTTGTGGTCGGAGAAGAAAAAGGTGGTGCCGGCATGCTTGCGGCCAACGACGTGAATTTGTCCTGGGAGGCAGTTGTGTTTGCCGAGCCAACAGATAACCTATTAGCGGTTGGTCACAAAGGCCACTTCGTCTTTGACCTCGTTAGTGAGGGAATCCCCTCACATTCCGGATATCCCGACCGTGGTCGAAGTGCGATCTCTACGATGATTGCCGTGTTGGCCGAACTCGAGCAGGCCCGATTTCCATCTTCAGATTCTCTTGGACCGTCTACATTTCACTGCGGCGAAATTGCCGGCGGAGAAGGATACAATATTCTGGCACCCAAATGCACTGCTGTCTGCTCGGTGCGAGTAGCCAAGGATTTACCGAGGATTGAGCAGTTGATAGAAAAAGTCATTTCCCGCCACGAAAACGTATATCTAAAGAAAAGATTTATGTACCCGGAGCTGTATCTGGACCATGATATACCTGGGATGGGCACAATTGCAGTCTCCTTCGGCACAGACGCGCCCCGGCTAAAGGGGAGCATAAGAAATATCTATATGGACCGGGTACCATCCTGGTAGCACATGGGGGAAATGAGCACATCAGAATATCGGAGCTCATTGAGAGTGTGCAGATCTACAAAAGAATTGTGAAGTGTTGTCTGCATGGTTGCAGCGATTGAGTACTTTTTCGAGGCCGCAAGTGGCCCATTTATACCATCAGGAGTTACTAGTATTCAGGGAAATCTATGATTCGCTCAGACAAGACGAGGAATATTTTGACAACAGGGTGATTATATCAGGCCCAGACTACTCGATTCCAAAATAATCAAATAAAGAGCGGTTCTATGTAGAAGTCGGGAGTTGAGGGACGTTCGAACCAACTTTGAATAAGCTAAATCGGCGAGCTGTATTCAATTGGATAACCCCCCCACCCAAAAAAAAAGAAATTGCATGCCAATGGTGGACACTTGCATAAACTTGAGTGGTCGAAATGCCTGGAATGTTATTCCCGGCTGTCTGGACAGTCAAAAATGTGATCGGCGGAGGAGCGGAAAAATTCAAAGCCAGAAAATGCTTCTGAAATTATTGGCTCGATTCCAAGCTAAATCACTGATTTTGATAATTTTTCAACGCTTCTCTGATTTCAACATCCGGTAAATCTTTTTATGCTGCTCCAATAGCACCAGCGTGGCAATTGTTTGAGGACCCAAGCGAACAAAGCTTGGGGTCCATCCACGAAAAACCCACCTTGGCCCCTCAGCGTGCATCAGATTTCGCACGACATCGAAAACCGAAGTCTTATTTGAAGAGCTCATTAACTGGGTTCTGATGACATCCATCGGACTTGAAATTGAGGTTGCGACCAAACTCGCCAACAGAGAAGCAGCGAAGTGAATCAAAGGCTTTTCCTCATCTGTGTCGCATAATTTATGTATCAATCTTTTGAATGAATCATATGATGCCAACTGACTGGCGGTCATGATCCCAGAGCGGAAGCAATTAGGCCACAATCCCTGCCGGAAAGATCTCCAACCCTCGACTCGCTTCATCTGGACCCATGCGTCGAGTACATTTCGATAGTTACGGCGCTGCTGCTGCGGTAACGAGGCATCATTCTGCATTCTCACATTTGCAATATCAGCAGGGGTGCCAAAAATAGCACCGATAAACCCCGATGATGCGGCCATCATCCCTAGAATGGGTGTTGAAAGCGGTTGGTTGGGCTTTTCCGCACTTTGTTTCATCTCTTCATAGAGAGCAATGCGCGATGTACCATAGGTCACTTAGAATATTAGAGTAGGCCATTCTGAAAGGAGAGATTTTTCAAGGCTTACATGCTCGCATAAATCCAGCAGTAAGCTAATTCAAATTGACAGGTATCCAGTTAGCAATAAGACTACATAGCAGATCCAGTAACTGTTTCCGAGAATCTGCCACACGACTTACACCATGATAAAATCCCTTGACTCCTTCTCCCTGAAGAATCCTCATGCCGGTAATAATAGTGCTCTGCTTAGTGCCGTTTGATACTGTTTGCATTCGCACCTTAACTGTTTTCTCGCAGCTTTAGATTATGGACAATGGAACACTCTTTTTTTTGTACTTACTAAGGTCAAAAGGATGGGAAACAATAACAGCCACGCAAGAGGCCGACCCACCAAACCATCTTGGGTAACTAATGTTTTCTGCTTTGGATGATAGTACTGAACTTTCTGACGCAGGAGGAATCCGCGCTACTTTCGTTGTCGCCATTCTGAGTTGTTGATAGCAGATGCGATTTATGCTTCAAAAATCCTTTTGAATGTAGCAGAGCTTGCTTGTTAGTTGCCGACTCTAATATCTGTTTTCTAATTGAAAGCCTCCTTGGTGGGATGGAACTAGTTCTCGGTAACTACAAGACGCCTATATGCTTCGACCCGAGAGAGCGAGGGGAAGGCGATCTTGAATGCCTGAGGCATTTAACGGCAACACTAACGTAATTCCCAAGCGGGCGGTGAACCCAAGCCAGTGGTGAACCTCACCAAAAGCTATTTTTTTAAACTAAATTTAGACAACCAAAACACCATGATATTGAAAAAACTATCTACTTGGGCACCAGGTAATTGAATAGCCTATTCTCTGACAGCCGCTATACCTTCCCTGCCGCCGTCTGGTTGGTGGAGGTGGCAGAACAGGTGGTTCAACAGGCCCTGGCGGAGGTTGCTCAATACGTTCAATTGGCTCAGTTAGCTGCTCAATAAGCTGTAAGGCCTCTTCAACGGTGAACCCTCCTTCGTGTGGTATTTACCGATTTGATCTTGTACGCTTTTGTCGTTTCTTCTTATCTGTAGTGCGTAGATCAGCGTTTTCCTTTACTAGAAGTGCAGCGTTATGCATTGAGAGATAGCAGCCTTTGATAACTTGATTAAGCATGATTTTAGATAGAGTTGGAGGGCTTTTTGAACGTTCCTTAAGCAAGGCCTTGAGTGAGGAAGCTTGCTTTTGAAGCTGGAGAACTGTTTTTAGTGTTTTTAGTGAAAAAATACTTGATCTGCTGCTTGGTCGGTTCTCTGGGGGTGTATGTAATTGTAGTAATATATTAAGATGTGAGAGTATACGATCTGCGTTGATTAGTACTAGACCTGTAGTAGTAAAACTATTTTGAATAGTTTCTGATTAAAAAGCCTCTGTACGTACTTGAGGATAGGCTGCTAGAAAATCTAGCTTATCGACATAGTTGTATCCCGTACGTGCTTGATTCTTAACTAAATATCTATATGAGCGTTTAAGAACAGTAAAATATCTAATATTAAGTAGCTAAAGAAGGTAGAAAGAATATACTAGTATACAAAGTGGTATGATAAAGTTTTCAGTATAAATCTAATTAAATTAAGGTATAAGTGTTACGGACCCTGCAACGTGAGGGGTCGCAACCTACAAATGGGCCATCAAGAGCCAACCATTCTGCAACCACCATGACCGCCTGCAGGTCACGTGCAGAAAACAACAAAAACCATGGCATCCCCACCAGGAGCTGCACGATACAGAATAATTAAGGCACACGGTGGAAAGACCATGAGATACTCCAACAGAACCCTAGTACCGTGAGATGGGCGATATCGTGGGACGAAACACGTCGCGGGGACCACACCGTCCCACAACGGGACGATCCGCACGACACGCACCATCCCACGCCAGGGAGTATCGCACGCACCAAGCTATCGCACGATAGACCACGATTCCCGGACAAGCAAGAAGAAGCCATGGTCGATCGTACGATAGGGCTGAACGCAGGAACAAAGAGGACATGCGACAAGGTCACATGACGTCCCAACGACAGGATAGGATCCCATCCTACCAGTAGGCTAGGATTCCTACCGCATGAATAGGAAGGACTAGGATATATATAGGACACTCTCTACGCACATATATTTAGTTCTTCGCGATCAATCAATCTAAGTTACTACAGTATACCTTTGGATTATTCTTCATTCAGTTTCAACTCTTGTGACAAACATACTACGAATAGGGGAGCTCTTCGGACTGACCTATTCGGCGCACTACCTGGCGTATCCTTCGAAGTTACTCTATAGGATCCGAGTCCGTGTAAGGCTTAGCATAGCAACGGTACGATTGCGAGTCGATACTTGAGGATTACGAGTGATAGATATTACGTACAACTAACGACACAGAGAACAACTGGTAAGTTGTTAACCACAGATCTAACCACTCACCGTGACCAGTTAGCTACGCGTAACACATTGATCGCCCTGTCAACACGAAAACTGTGAAGTTTAATCATTATGTCATCGACTGGCAGCAGCAGAGGCAAGGCACTAGCGCCCGTGCCTCTACAGACTCAATCTCGTCAGGAAGAACCCGACTCTGACGAAGAACGAGAAAATGTACGAAGCGAAGAAATTCGACAACTCAAGCAGGTTATCAAGAACCTCAAAGAGCGATTTAAGGAAATGGGGGGAAGCTTCACCGAGCATGCCAAAGGAACCAACGATCACATCGAACAGATTATGGCACAGATTAGCGCTATCCCACCCAACAACGCCATCACCAGTACGCCTAAGCTACCTAAGGCGGAAAACTTCGACGGAACTCGCTCTAAGTTGCGAGGATTCCTGACACAGATGAACATGCACCTCGACGTAAACAAGTTCAAATTGACCAACAATGCCGACAAGGTCATCTTCGTGTTAACCTACTTGCGAGGACAAGCATAGGACTGGCTCGAACCATATGTCCGAGAGTACTACGAAAAGGACAGCTCGGAATGGTCAAACACCGCAGTCAATATCTTTTCTAGCTACGACAAGTTCAAGGAATACCTGGAAAAGACGTTCGGTAACATCGACGCTAAGAAAACGGCTGAACGGAAGCTTAAGCGACTCTGACAGACAGCCTCAGCATCAGCATATACGGCTGAATTTATACAACAAGCAGCTATCCTTAGATAGGACGACTATACATTGATTCCTTACTATAATGAAGGACTTAAGTCGTACATCAAGGACGAAATCGCCAGAGTTGGTGATTTCAACACAATAGACAAACTTATCGACTTCGCGGTTTGAATCGATAACAGGTTTTTCGACAGGCAAATGCAGAAGAAAGAGGTAGAGGGATGGAGAAAAGGCAACGGACGCCCGACCCATCACCGATTCCAGCCTTAACGACAACAACAGCGACCTAACCGGAACAGCGATCCGTATGGTCTATGACCAATGGAGCTCGACGCAGCGAGACTCCCAGAAGAAGAACAGAAGCGTCGGAAAGACAACAGACTCTGTTTCAACTGTGGTAAGCCAGGCCACATATCGAGAGATTGTCGCAGCAAGAAGGACGATAAGAGACCACAACAACTACGCGCGACTTAGGAAAGAGGAGCGTACGATACCACTAGGACAAAAAAAGTACAGCGACTCTGCGCTACCCAGGAGGAAAATACGCCGACCTAGGAAAAACGGGTCAGGAAGAGCGTAATTCTACAAGAACAGTAGGCGGCAGGATGGCCACTATTGCGCACTAATGAACGAAAGGCAGAGCTAGAACCTGAAACGCAGGAGCTTATAACCTCAGTTGACTCTGAGCTCGAAGAGTACGACAGACAGGAACAGTATCCACGGATTAACCTAGACACAGTAGAGAGTCAAGGATAGACCCAGCACGTGTGGGAACCCATTGACTCCTAGGGACCAACAACAGAAGCCCCAGAAACGCCTCAAGAGTCCCTAAGACACGACGAATTCCCTCGGACAGTTTAAGAGCTTCTCTAAAGATGGATAACTCTTACCGAGCAGGAAATACAGGAAATCCCAGAGACCCTACCGGAGGGCTACTGGATGAGTTACCAAGAGGAACAAGAACTATAACGGGTCTACAAGACAGGTGGCATGGCCCCTGGAGACCCCCGAAGGATCCTCTTTAACGAATCAGACGACGACGAACCAGTACTATACGTTACTAGCACGGAAGGAATATGCCCGTGCCACAGGGAAGACTGCGTCTGTATAGGATACGCATAACATCCTGATTATGACCTTAGGGCAACGATCGGATGCTACGACTACGCATGCAGGACGTATATGCAAGGTAAGCTAGATGCTGGAGGAATTGAACCTAAGCCATCGCCACGGCTACGTCGCCCAGAGTGGAGATAAGTTCTCGCGGCAACAGCGTGGGGAAAATACATGAAGGCAGAAGCACTGATAACTTTCTATAGGGGAGATGAGATTAGCGTACGAGTTATGATTGACTTAGGAGCTGCAGGAAACTTTATAGACTCAGAATATACCTTAAGCGGAAGAGTACCGACTATCCAAAAGAGAATTGCTACTCCTCTCGTCGGACTTAATAGAGAAAAGCTAAACGAAGGAATCACACACCACACCGAAATGATCGACATGATCATCGGCAACCACCTAGAACCTATATGCTTTGACGTCACAGGGTTAGGAGGGTACGATGTGGTACTTAGTATTCCTTGGCTACGCCAGCATAGCCTAAGGATCGATTAGCGAAGGGACGAAATCCACTTCGACTACTGCGATTATACACAAACAGAAACCAGATAGACTGGAAAAGAACCACAGAGCATTGAAGGGCCTAGCCCCGGGACGGCAGGTACCTATTGCGGCCCGTACGAGGTTGACCCTAAACGGAGCAGGCAGCCTAGAGGCGGGGCATCAGGTAGGATCATAGATGTGGACGTCCTCGCAACCACGGAACAAAGACCAGATATGTCGGACGACGAATTAAGAGACTACATCATAATACACCATAAATCACGACAAACCCTCTGCGCAACAGAGGAAGAGACACAGATACCTAAAGAATACCAAGAGTACCGGGATGTGTTTGAGGCACCACCAGACGGTATACTCCCAGAGCATGGTCCGTTTGACCACAAGATCAGGTTGAAGGAAGGCAAGGAACTAACCTTTAGGCCTATCTATCAGCTATCGCCATTAGAAATAGAAACCTTGAGGAAATATATCGAAGAAAACCTCAGGAAGGGATTCATCCGGAAGTCATCATCATCAGCCGGATATCCGATTATATTCGTACCCAAGAAAGGGAACGAACTTCAACTTTGCGTAGACTATCGATATCTAAATGAGATTACCATCAAAGATCGACACCCGTTGCCTCTTATTCAGGAAATGCAAGATCGCATTTAGGGAAGTATTTATTTCACTAAATACAACATCACCAACGCATACAATCGCCTTAGGATCAAAGAAGGCGATAAGTAGAAAACAGCGTTTAGAACAAGATACGGGCATTACGAATACACGGTTATACCGTTCGGACTTACAAATATACCGGCAGCATTTCAACGATTTATCTTCAGTGCGCTAGAGGAATACCTCGATATCTTTGTGATGGTATATCTCGACGACATCTTGGTGTTCTCTAAAAACATAGAAGAATACGTCCAGCACAATAAGAAGGTGCTGCAAAAGCTCAGAGAAGCTAAAGTTACACTTAAACTTAAGAAGTATGAATTCTACGTTAAGGAAACAGAGTTCCTAGGATACGTAATCAGCGAAAACGGATTTAGTATGCAAGAAGAAAAAGTCAGAAGCATTCTGGATTAGCCAACGCCCAAGAACGTAAAAGAAGTTCAACAGTTTCTGGGGTTGTGCAACTACTACCGACGCTCAGTCGACGGGTTTGGGAAAGTTGCGGTTAATCTCAACAAACTTACGAAGAAAGACCAGAAGTAGGTCTGGGACGACTAGTCAGAATAAGCGTTTAAAAATCTCAAGAAGTTATTCGTTGAACGAATAATACTTGTACCTGCGGATCTAAGCAAACTATACACAGTAGAAACCGATGCATCGGATTATGCACTCGGGGCATAACTTACTCAACCAGGAAGTGACGGGAAACCACGACCGATCTCGTTTTGGTCAAGGAAAATGATACCCGCGGAACTTAACTATGACATCTATAACAAAGAATTGCTAGCCATAGTGTCAGTACTCAAGTACTGGAGAGCATACCTGGAAGGAGTAAGTCATTAAGTTCTAGTGAAGTCAGATCATAAGAACCTTATATTCTTTACCAGCACAAAGGAATTGACAAGACGTTAAGTAAGATGGGCAGGAACCTTAGTAAGATACGATTATAGGATCGAACATTGCCTAGGTATAGCTAACAGCCAGGCGGATGTGCTTAGCAGAAGACCAGACTATGCGATAGGGGTCAAGGAAGCCGTTCTAGCTATACTCAGAACAAACGACGACGGTTATCTAGTGTATAATTACCAGACCCTGGCCGCTACTAGCGAGATCAAGGACAACGAGTGGATCAACCAAATCAAAGAAGGAATAATGAAAGATATTATCGTTCAGAATATTATGACGAAGAATTGCGCAACATTAAAAGATGAACTGATCTACATCCACGGATTGGTATACGTGCTACAACGACTTCAGAATAAAGCTATACGGCGATACTACGACGATCCAGCGCACGGATATATGGGGGTGGAAAAAACAGTGGAATACCTCTCGAGGAACTACTATATCCCTAATATGTATAAAAAGGTTCGAAGATACATTAAGCAATGTGACACTTGTCAGCGAAACAAACCATCACGATACACCCTATATAGCGAGTTACAGAACTTAGAAACGCCAACGAGACTATAGGAATGGATTACGATTGACTTCATTACTAAACTACCTAAATCGGACGGACACGATATGATTATAGTAGTTGTGGATCGACTAACGAAGTACTCCTATATGATACTAACAACAGAAACGATCAACGCCAAGACGATGGTATTCCTGTTGTTCAGATATATATTCGCCAACCACGGAACACCTGAAAAGATAACATTAGACAGGGACAAGCTCTTTACGAGCAAGATGTGGCAATTGTTCGCGGACTTGGTAGGTATTGAGCATAGACTCTCCACTGCCTATTATCCACGAACGAACGGCCAAACAGAACGAACAAACCAGACACTGGAACAGTACCTAAGGCACTATGTGAACTACCAGCAGGACGACTGGGCAGGACTGTTGCCACTGGCACAATTTGCGTACAACAACGCTATGCACGCAACAACGAAAGAAACTCTATTCTTCGCAAACTATAGGTATAATCCCTCAATCATCGGAGAAACCATCGGGAGATAAACAGAGGCAGAAGCATCGCGGCTTCTGGCCACAGAACTCAAGCAACTGCACCTCTAGCTGGCCAGGGACATAGAGTTTTTTAATCTACGGATGAAACACTACTACGACCAGGGCTACCAGGAAGGACCAGACTTCAAAAAAGGGGGAGAAGGTGTACCTCCTACGTCGAAACATCAAAACTAAGCGACTAAGCTCAAAGCTCGACCACCTAAAACTGGGGCTATTTGAAATCGAAAAGAAAACAGGACCAGTTAATTATCGCTTGAAGCTACTAGACAGTATGCGACGCATGTATGTAATATTTCATATCTCGTTACTCGAAACTGCACCAGAAAACGCTGAACTCGCTACAAATGTGGAAATAGAGGAAGAAACCGAAAACGAATATGAAGTCGAAAACGTCCTAAGCATAGAACGCGTTAACGGAAAACCTCACTACCTAGTGAAATGGAAAGGATACGATACCTCGGAAAACACATGGGAACCTATCGAGAACCTGACGGACTGCCGCCAGCTGGTTCAACAATACCACTAACGGGTGAAGGGGACTTCGCAACCTCAAAAAAGGCGTCTAGGTCGTCCCAGGAAAGAGACGGTAAGGGATCTACCGACGCAATCATCTGCGTCAGAGTAGGATCCTCAGACGTCGCCGTAAGGACCTGATAGTCCGGCACCAAGGTATGATCGATCCTCTCGGAAGCGGCACGAGAAGACTCAGCCTTACGCTCTTTTCGCTCGGACTCGAGGCGTTCGTCCTCAAGGCGCTGCAATTCCTCCGCCTTGCGACGCTCGAGCTCCTCCAACTCAGCAATTTCTTTATAATCACGGGCGATGAAATTACCCGCACGCTTCTTCAGCAGTCTCTTCTGTTTTTGAAGGTGTGCTAGTTTGGCCAACATCTCTTGCTGAGCGAGAAGGATCTTTTCCTCTTCGTTCTCCAGGGAGGTTTGGGACGAAAAGCAAACGGCGCCATTCGGCATCGGTAAAAGACTCTTTGGGTATTTTGCACTTCACTGTACCACCAGCGCGATTGCAACCGGCACAGCGATAGGAACGATCGGATCGGATATACGTCTTATTCTGGGCAACACAACGAAGATAAGGAATGAGAGACTCAAAACCCTCGCGTTCGATCAACTGGTGGAGCTTACGGCTGGAAACCCCAGAAGAAGGTATGATCAGAAAAACATTAGGAAAACAAGAAAAACAAAAAGACTAGGTACTTACCAGAGGGGGGTGAGCGGTTATAAGGATTCTCGAGGACGAGAACCAAGGAGAGGGGGAGATAATGTTACGGACCCTGCAACGTGAGGGGTCGCAACCTACAAATGGGCCATTAAGAGCTAACCATTCTGCAACCACCATGACCGCCTGCAGGTTACGTGCAGAAAACAACAAAAACCATGGCATCCCCACCAGGAGCTGCACGATACAGAATAATTAAGGCACACGGTGGAAAGACTATGAGATACTCTAACAGAACCCTAGTACCGTGAGATGGGCGATATCGTGGGACGAAACACGTCGCGGGGACCACACCGTCCTACGACGGGACGATCCGCACGATACGCACCATCCTACGCCAGGAAGTATCGCACGCACTAAGCTATCGTACGATAGACCACGATTCCCGGACAAGCAAGAAGAAGCTATGGTCGATCGTACGATAGGGCTGAACGCAGGAACAAAGAGGACATGCGACAAGGTCACATAACGTCCCAACGACAGATAGGATCCTATCCTACCAGTAGGCTAGGATTCCTACCGCATGAATAGGAAGGACTAGGATATATATAGGACACTCTCTACGTACATGTATTTAGTTCTTCGCGATCAATTAATCTAAGTTACTACAGTATACCTTTGGATTATTCTTCATTCAGTTTCAACTCTTGTGACAAACATACTACGAATAGGGGAGCTCTTCGGACTGACCTATTCGGCGCACTACCTGGCGCATCCTTCGAAGTTACTCTACAGGATCCGAGTCCGTGTAAGGCTTAGCACAGCAACGGTACGATTGCGAGTCGATACTTGAGGATTACGAGTGATAGATATCACGTACAACCAACGACACAGAGAACAACTGGTAAGTTGTTAACCACAGATCTAACCACTCACCGTGACCAGTTAGCTACGCGTAACAATAAGGTGGCTATTATGGCCATCGAGAATAAGAAGACAAAATTTTCCTTTCGTATGTGTAGTTATAGCCGGAATAAAAAGCTTTTTAAGCTATTGTAAGCCGATCTCATTTATAGTCTAGCTATTTTAAGAGACCTTAAATCGCTAGTCTTTTAGAAGGTTATCAAACCAGCTTTTGATATAGACTTTACCTTTGAATATAATGTATGGAGGTAGTATAAAACTACTTACACTAATTATTTTAATTGTTGTTACCTATTTATAATTTCTAGGTTATAAAAGTGCTCGCCGACCGTAGTATTCAGTACGTATTACTACTTTAGCTGTTGCAATAAGGCCTATTGCAAAGCCAGTCTTATTAAAGTTGTAGATATTGTCGGATTAGATATTATTCTCCTTAATCATATCTTTAACAGTCTTAAACTATTTATATAGAGACTTTGGATCTTTATTTTGAGTACGCTGATAGTTATAGCGTTTTGAATATCGTATACGAAGCTCTTCGCATTGTTAAACAAAAGTTGATAACTAATTTTTACCAACAGTAGGTGATAGAGTAGATCTACGATCTGTAAGTAGAATATTAGCTAATTCTCGTACAGTAGATAGCCTGGGCACTGCTCTACGTAGATCTATAGAGATTATCTATTCAGCAAGCGTATCCTTCTCAAATTAAGCTAATTTATAACCAGTAGGACGTTTATCAGCGTGATAAGGTGTTCCTTTTATCTGCGTACGTACTGTTGCCTCGGGTACACTATATATGCTAGCTACAGCACGGAGAGAAGTAAATTAGCCATTTTGAAAAGACTTAATGGCTAAGACAACCCTACCCTTGCGACCTGGCGAGTTTTGGCTATTTTGAGAGCGAATTAGTGGCATGGTGGGTGTTTGAAGATGGTGAGTACGCGTCGGGACGCGAAATAAGGCGGTGTGCGCAGACCGGCCGGGTGCGCAGACCGGCCGGGTGCGCAGACCGGCCGGGAATTACGTTATACGGATGGCGCACACAAGCGGGTGGCGCACCGCAAAACACATAGAAATGTGATAAATTACCACTTCATATCTCAACAACCATAGCTTAATTTTACTTGAATATTATAATATGGGCTTTTCCTAGCATATGAAATAATACTTCTTAGTTTTAAGCAATTTAGATAGTTATTTCGATGCTTTACCAAAAAATACAGCGTAATTTTGACAAGAGGGATATAAATATATATATCTCTATGAATACTTCCTATACTTTCCTCACACATCGCCGGTAGGCTAGAAATACTATCTAGATTATATGCCTTTTATTTATTATTATAAATAGATATAGTTGTTGAGATATGAAGTGGTAATTTATCACATTTACTATGTGTTTTGCGGTGCGCCACCCGCTTGTGTGCGCCATCCGTATGTGAATTATGTTAACTAACGTAATTCCCGCCCGAGTGAGCCACCCGGCCGTGTGGGCCACCCAAAAACACATAGTAAATGCAATAAATTACAACTTCATATCTCAACAACCACGAGTAATTTAAGTAGGCAATTAGAGCTAACCACTCTGAGTACTATTTGTAGCTAGTTAATACAGTATGAAAGCAATAAGACAATTAAAGGTGGAGGTATACATATTAATTGCTTGAATGTCTAAATCACTCTGTATTTTACAGTAATATAATTAAATATTAAACTAAATATCTTAGTATCAAAAGATATTGTACTTTGTGTATAACAAAGTACATATACTCAAAACCAGACACAATTAATAATTGGTGGTTGAAATATAGAGGGACAAAAAATGGAATTTACTATATGTTTTTGGGTGGCCCACACGGCCGGGTGGCTCACTCGGGCGGGAATTACGTTAACCTAACTACCGAGGCAATTTAACACGGTATAATGAGTTTCTTAGCGATTCGAAAAATGCTTGGTGTGTTATTCTCGCTGGTGCTAGTTTTACCAACTACAATGTCCGCCATCAACGCGTAAATCAGCGCCAGTCATAAAACTGCTTCCGTCGGCTAACATGAAGAGTACGGGTGCGCGAAACTCGTCTGCTGTGCTCAGACGATACAGCATATTATCTCCGGTCCACTGAGACTCCATGCCTGGCTTCTGTAAAGACTCGGCAGTTGCAGCCGTGCGAATGTAGCCAGGAGATAGCGAGTTGACTCGAATGAGTGGTATTTCGACTCTTGACCCCCACTCAGCAGCCAGAGAACGCGTGAGCTGGTGAACGGCGGCCTTGGATGCATTATAGCCAGCTGTGTCGACACCCTGGTACCAACAACCACGTCAGCAAAAAATTGTAAAAAAAACCCGTCGTATTATCTACCTTGTTGGAACAATAACCGCTCATACTTGCAACCAAAACCATGCTTCCAGTGGTGTTCGTGCGGGTCATCTCTCGGGCTGTGGCTTGGGCGATCAGGAAGGTCCCTGTAACATTGATATCTAGAACTTTTCTAAATGAAGAAGCCGGAAATTCAGTCGCAGGGCCATTCAGTGACAGCCCGGCGCAAGCGACAAGTCCCTTAATTGGGTAGCGCAGAGAAGGGACAAACTTGGCAAAGGTTTCCGAAACCGCATTTTCATCAGTAACATCGAGCTGGAGATATGACAGTTGACATTGGTGCTTCTTTGCAGCATCCTCGACATCATCTATTTCCAAAAGAAAATTAGTTCTATCACAGGATAAGTCGAAACATCATCTTAAATTCATACTCCAATTAGCGGCGTTAGGTGTGGGAGAAAGATCGAGACAGACGATGTCGGCACCGCTTTCAAAGATGGCGATTGCTAGAGTCGTTCCCAAGAAGCCCAATGCACCAGTAACTGTGGCCTTATAGTTAGTGATTATCCCGAACAGTAACTGCTAGAGTCACAATAAAAATCATACTGATGACGGTGCGATTGTCGAGACGGAAGAGTTCTGATACAGGTCGCGATGAATCTCCCTGCGAAGGCTTTGCTTCGCGATAATGCAAGGCATGGACATTTCCTTCGCTTGTTTGAGGCATATTAAATTCCTGTCTTACCACTTATTGAGCTTTTTATCACCAAAAAAGAAAGTGAGTACTTAAGTATCTCCAACCTGCCTTACTTCTCGATGAGAGGGGCTTCCCGGGAAGTTGAGAGCCGACTGTGCATCACACTATGCTGTTGCAAACCCCGCACGCGTTCAATGAAATGGACGCTTCGATTAGACGGCCCGTTCGTTCGACCTTGCCGCTCTAGGATATGGAATGCGGAGTGTTGGGGATCTGCCATTGGGGGCGAATTGACCCCGGGCCGTCAGTTGGCCGATTGCACGGCTGAGGCAATTATCCGTTGGCCGCGATCGGATTGTCCGAGCGCACCTGGGCATAATCTGTACTCCTGAGATTTAGTCACTGGCACCTGCTACTAGTAACTACCAGCTTTTATCTATAAAAGCGAGAGGTACATTCTCTGGGTATGACTGATGCATTCCACCTGTCAGGAACTGAACCCATGCTGCATACGAATCATATAGCTGTCCAAAGAGTAATTTAGGTATTACCATGGTCTATGCCAATCTACGGAATTGCAGAACCGGAATATTCCGCCGATTCAACGTCTTCGGCTCTTGGTCTCCGTGTTTTCTTCTTAAAGGAAGCAAATATCGTCTTAACAGGCGGTTTCTGGGATAATGCCTTGAAAAGTGGCCATAAGGGAGCAGCGCTTGAAGCGATCACAACTGTCCACAACTCCATTAAGTTAAAGAACATCAAGGCCTCTAATGAAACTTCAGATTGGTTATTGTAGGGGCCAGGTTAGCTATGTCTGGAGGTTTTCATATATTTGAATTGCAGCTAGCCAATGA